AAAAAAAGTCCCATTTTCCCCTTATTGGACATTGTAAAATGTGATTAAATTTCAAAATATCCATTAAAAGAGTTTTGAAGTAATTTTAGACCCATTACTTCATTGAAACATATTAATTTCCAACCACCAAAGCTCTGGAAAGTGCATTTTTTATGTATCCTCCGAGCAAAAGTTCAATTTCATACATTCAGATGCCAAAATGCCGATTTATGACCAAATGACAACGAAATGGATATTCAAGTGTTCGTGGACTCCCATTATTTTCACGAAAAAATAGCAGTTTTCCAAGACCAAAACGACGTCAGAGGTGTTTTTCACGTGTTTTTCGAACAAAAACATCATTTTCAGTGAAAATAGAGCAAGTTGAAAAATTCACTTCAATCCGACCTATTTTTCGACCATGAAATGCCCTCAGATCGCATTGTGACCACTTTTAATCGATTGCTCGTCAAAAATTGAGCGGATATGGTCTTTCGTGAGCCTTTTTCAGCCAGTAGATGCGTATTTTTGGCAGCAATTTCATCGTAGAATGCGACTCTTCGTACAAATTCCGTTCATTTATGAATTGCCTATGCCCAGAACATCGAAATACGAATTTTCCCGGATATGTGGCATATGCCATTTTGTTGGTATGGTGGCCGGCTACAAACGCTCAGTTTTTGGTAAATCATTGTAGGGCTGATTTTTGAGAAATCGTGTTGGTGTGAAATTTAAGGGGGTCGATTTTTCATAAAAATCGACTTTTTTCTTTTATATCACATAAACATTGGCATGTGTGTATGGAACTTTTTGAAGGTCTTCTCAAATAATTACGAGCTGACTTTGCCCGATGGGTGTCTGAGTTGATCTAGTGTGCGAAATAAATACTTGAAAAAATCGTATACATGCAGGCTAGTGAAGCCATAGCCAGCTCTCCTGTAATGCAAATGTCAATCTGAGGACGGGTTTCGATGTGGCCCGACACCAGCTACAGCTCAGGTATATCGGCACCGGAATCTGTGGGGGTCAAAAAAGTTTCCGGACAGACGAACGGACGCACAAATCAATACTTTCATAAAAAATCAAGATCAAACTGCCAATGCCCAAAACTTTTTCGTTTTTGAACCAATCGGGGCACTTAGACTGGCGTTAGAAAGGTGGCGAGGAGGAGCTTCTCTTGGCTACCTCAGACCGCCCCCTGGGTACCCCCTTCGTAAGATATGGGTATAGATTTGAAAATTTATCGAAATTTTCCAACCGCTATATTTTTGCCTAGACCACACTTTAGGCATGGGATATATGGTGTTTCCGACTATTTGGGCCAAGACCTTTCGAACGGTACCTAACATGCCGGGGCCCAAATAGTGCCCTGAGAAAATAGCATATTTACTGTATATATACTCGTGACGCAAAAACTGGCATTTTTGATATTTGGCTTGAAATGCACAGTCTATGAAGCGTCACTTGTCGGACTTTCGTCCCCCGTGATATGGCTTGTATCACATCCGTATTGTATGAAGTCGGTTAGAAATCACAGTGCTGCCTGTGACAGCTCATATAAAGAACAAAGGGCTACAAACAGCTGATTTGACAACCGTATAAAATATCGTGTAATTTACATGTTACTTGTCTAAACGACGGCTATATTTTGATTGCGGTTCTAAACTTTCAGTAGAATACACTATGTTATGTGCATAAACAAGTGAATACAGCAGCCCAACAAAATTTGAAGGTCAGCTGAATTGCGTTCAAATCTGTGCATTCTCTAAATTACACTGTCGTCATTTTACACTATAGTATCACCTCAAAAATTTCAATGAATAATGTGCGTTGAATATCATTTATCAAACGAGATAAAGTGCATCGCATCAAAAAAAAATTGCTTGAAAGATGAAACTAAGAGCATCATTCGTTCATTTTCCAAAGTTTATTCTAAAAACCGGCAAAACTATTCATCTCTAATTCAGAGTCGTTTTTGGGAGAGGAATGAGTCACTTCGTTGGAGTGTAATCAGTGAAATGATAGTGAATTAAACATTTCTGATACATACATTATTCTGTCATGAGTATTTTTTTTCAATTTTACATTATCCTTCTGTCACGTGACCACACATGCAAATATAAACACTACTACGAGCAAAAGTATGAAACGAAAACCTGTCATGCAATAACCGAATAAGAAAGAAACAGCGAAAAGTAACAGCCAGCCCACATAAAGCCTTTATAGCCAACAGTCGATGTCAATCGAATCAAAACGATTCTTTGTTTGTCAACGTTAGTGCTTAAAAGACTCATTTTTAATAAATAAATCCAGGAAATGAAGTGTATAGAATACGGATTAATGCCAAGACGTGAGTTTTTGTTACATTTATTTCGATTTTCAATTCATTAAATCTCCTTACTTTCCGTTTCTATTTTTGTCTTGTCAAAACGATCAGTGTTTACCATAGGAATTCGTTTGAGATGCTAGTTCAGTTCACATAACCGGTTATTCGATTGAATTCAGTGTTTCCAGTACAATATGACCGACAATACAAAAAATATTCCCGACGAAATTTATCGCTGTTGTGATCGATGGCATTTAGATCATTTCCCACCAATCGCAAATGAACGGAATCATACAGTATTGTTTGAATGTCCATTGTCGAATGATCAAGCACAGCCACCTAAGCCACGTATTGGACCAAATAAATGGGACTCAAATCATGTTCGTTTGCCATGTGCCGCAGAAAATGTGGTAAAGATTGAGAGTTCGGAAAGATGATTATAAACACAGGTATATTTTTCATAAAATGATTGTCAAACAAGATGAAAGTAGATTCGATAAAAAAAACCAATAAAATACAAAATCAACCAACTTTGTTAATGAAAAGTAAAATTTGTTGATTGCTCATCATCCCATCAGCTGTTTGATAATACAAAGATTTTATTTGTCAACATCACATTCTATTGAATGCAGTTATCAGAAATGAGTAATCTGATTCTGTTTATAAACAAAAATAAATAATATTTTGACTTTCTTGCACATTAATCATTTTCAGTTCGGCTGATTCAGTATTATATGTAATCGTATTTCAGTGCATATGCACTAAATTCTTTATTATAACGATAATATAACAGTTGTTATATTAAAATTATTAAATAGAGTTGAAATTACTCTAAAAATTACAGTTTTGGGCAACTCGATTCCATAAAGCAGGCTTTAGGCTCAAGTCTAGTTTCAACTTCTTCGATGATTGTTACAGGGACTGAATGTAGAATTGGGCGTCAATGAAGAGTATTAATATACGAAACATATTTGTTTATTCATTTTCCGACATCAAATCTTCCAGACTGACTCGACCGAATTTGAAATAAAACAACGATGGAAGGTTATCCAGAATGCTCTATCGAAAGACATTCGATCGACACAAGAATTAGAACAAGCGATTTTTGAGTACAATCCAGAATATGTGGAAATATGGAATTTTGAACCGTTACACACACTCTTTGAACGGGTCAGTACCACTCTTTTTCGAAATAGTTCATAAATAATGAAACGATTATTATAATTTTCCAGTATTTGGACAAATCCGAATCCGAATTATTTTTCGAACAAACGTTACCAAAGATCATTCGATTGGCCCTGCAACTACCAGAGCTTGTCCCAAATGCGATACCATTACTGAAGCATGGTCAAAATAAGTCGATATCGCTGAGTTAACAGCAGATTGCTTGTTTATTGGCCAATGCGTTCCTTTGCACATTTCCCGACCGCAGTAAACCCTATAAATTGACCGAGTTTTCATCGTATCCAAGTGTCAATTTTAGTAGTTTATTTCAAACGTTCGGAAATGCAAGTTTGCAGAAAATTAGATGCATTTGTAACTATTTTCGCCGCCAATTATGTAAGCTGCAGTCAATGGCATTCATTTAAATATATTTTTATTAAGTGTTGATTTTCTTCATAGTGCCAGTTGGTGTGGTTACATTCTCACGGCGTTCAATATCTCTGGCAAATATTCCAAAGTGGAAAAAATGTCAAATGGACTTCACAAAGTCATTGCTTCACGTTTCTAAAGATGGAAACATTGAGAATGATGGTGATGCTTTATTGCAAGTGGATTTTGCCAACAAATATGTGGGTGGAGGTGTCCTCGAAGGAGGCTGTGTTCAAGAGGAAATTCGTTTTTCAATTTGTCCTGAATTGATCTGTAGTCGACTGTTCACGGAAAGTCTTGAAGATAATGAATGCTTGACCATTATGGGTTTTGAACGATTCAATGACTATAAAGGCCATGGAATGTCCTTCGAATGGACTGGTGATCATAAGGATGTAACGCCATTGGACTCATTTCGACGACGAAAGTGTACACTTGTTGCAATTGATGCTTACCCTTTTGGAAACAGTAACAGGGCTGATCAATATCGAGAATATATGCTGAAGAGAGAACTTATTAAGGTATTGTTGAGGAGCAATCACTCAAGAAACTCCATACATATTAGTGAAAATTTACATTCTGCTAGGCTTTTGTTGGTTTCGAACATGAACTGTCTACACCAGCGCCGGGTGTTGCGACGGGTAACTGGGGATGTGGTGCTTTCAATGGTGACACACGTTTGAAAGCAATTCTTCAGTTGATGGCTTGCGTTGTTAACGATCGTCCATTAGTCTATTTCACCTTCGGAAGCAAAAAACTTCGCGATGATCTGGTCACATTCCACAAATATTTATCAGATAGCAAAATCACGATTGGTAAAAAAAAATTCCAATGTGTACTTACGTTTAATTATTTTGATTGTTTCTTTGTATGAATCTTTCATCGTTCAGCCGAATTATGGGATCTTTTGAAAGGGTATACAGAGTCAAAATCCAAAGAACCTCTTTATGAATTCATCAAAAGTGGCTACGAAAAGTCTATTTGAGTGACCAACTTATCATCATTCCACACACGATCCACAATGAAGTAAACATTTTCAATAATTCATATTTAGCCAGGAGAAAAGTACTTTAAGTAAATTCGACCAATTTTGTTCAACACTCAAACGGCATTTAAATGTACTTATACCAAAGAGAACTGATGACGATAATAAGTCAGATGATACAGAGGATGGAATCCATGATTTACCTTTGCAAGAGACAAGTCTTAATGATGATTTCAAGGCATCTGGCAGTAAAGATCTAAAAACCCAACTGAGTGTAGCCGATTTTTTCAAATCTTTTACCATGGAATCGGAGAATATTGCTGAAGATATTGGTGCTTCGAAGTCCTCATAGCATTTTCATTTCTTCGATTCTTTTACATTTTTGAAGCATTTTTTTGGTCTCCATTTTAATTATAACAGGAGAAAAGGAATAAACAAGTCATTTTATACTAAACCAAAAATATAAGAAATGAATTGGAGAGTTCTACCCTAGGCTCTACCGGTTGTTTTCAATTTAATTCATTTTCAGCTAGATGTTGAATCTTGGTGATTGTGGGTAAGTAATTGCCGTGGAATTGTATACTACCTTCAAAGTTTGGGTGGTTTGGGAATCACATGCAAAACCAGCCCACAAATTTATTTAGTGGGCTTTTCCGGAATTCAATGTCATGTGAAACATTTGGCACTTTGACGAAAACCATAACCGAAGCATACACACCTCTTTCGTTCATATCCCAAATCGTCTTACAAATTCCTACATAACTTGATTTCTAATGTGTTTTGGTAATATTGTGGAAAACTTTTTATAGCGCTCAACTCTGTAACTACATGTGACGTAATCAAGAATACCACAATATTTAAATTCATACATTTATGCGAACTATTGGTTGTGCGATGCATACCATGCGTACAGTTTGAAAAAAGACTCAATATTCAACATACAAACACTATTCACTGGAATGTTTCGAATGGCTTATGCCCAAGGATTTTAGAGCATAAATGATTTTACTCTATTTCTATCATTATTTGATTTTTTTAAATCATGATTCCCTGTTATGTCCTTTTTAATCAAAGAATTCAGTAGCAGTATGAAAAATATTTGCAAGAAATTATGCCCTGAATATTTGTTGAAAAAAAGTTTTCAATCGAATTCTACTTCCGATTATTCAAAAATTCCAATTCTTCTTAATTTTCAGACAAAAAATGTGTTGAGCCGGCATATATTTCAATAATATAAAATTGGTTGCATTGCAAACAACCTTTACACTGGATGGGTTTTTAAATTTGGCTGTTCAATACCAGACATACAAAAAACAATCAACAGATGTTTGCTATTTGAGAAGATTGAACGATGTGTCAGTAGCACTTTCGCAACAAGCACAATGCGACGCATACGTGGATGAATCTACTCGTAAAATGAAACAGATCGTATTTTTGGAATGTCTGAAACGTCAATTGTGTACAATTAGTTTGGAAATATGAAAAATCTCCAAAAAAAATAAAAATAATCCTCAATACATAAAAAGAGAAATCCAAACGCCATTCGATATTCTTTATTTTTTAGAATAAAATTTTATTTATCATCTTTTCATATGTTTTTATTTTCTTGAAACGCGTACAACTTCAAGATTTCTTCTTTTTTTTTTTGGTTGATTTCAGTATTTTAATATTTAGTAATAAAATTATTACAGCGGTGTTTGCATTTTCTTACGTAAAAATCGTTATTTTTTTTTCCATTAAATTTTATTAGAGAAAAATTGTTTCTTCTTAAGAATGATCTATTACTAATCTATCGATAATTTCTTGAGGGATGGGGGGAGGTGTTGAATCTATAAACCTTTTTTTTGGATTACTTCGTGCAATTGATTGTTGCGTATTTCTTTTATATTTCGTCCGAATTATTCTCATCTCAATCTATATAACAAAAGCACATTAGGAACAAATGAAGGGATTTTCGAACATAAAATATAGATAAATAATAGGATGGTCTCTACTTTTCTATCTATCGGACCTTCAAAACGTTTAATTTTGAGTGTTTTTCTTCTTCTTCCAAGTGTAGAATCAGTGAGTTCGTAGATGACATGAAATTCATTTCGATTTTTTGCTCGACACTTGTTCGTTGATACATGAGGAGAAATAAAAACACTTCACTTTTTCATTAAATGTTATATTGTACTTCCACTTGAACGTATCTATGCACAGAAATTTTTCTCGACATTTATTTTACTTCTTCTGTTTTGTTTCTCTTCTCTTTAATCAGTTTACTTATGCATGTCTATTAAATTAAATATATTAACGAAATCAGAGCGAAAGAAAAATGTGTAAAAAGAATGTGGCATTTGGCCAAAAAAAAAACATTGACATTATGTACGTTTGATCGAACCCGTGAAAATAGCATTTTAAATTGCAAACAAATGCAAATAAGAAAGAGAAAATGCATTAAATAGAGCAAAAAAAAGAATTACGTTGAATTTGCTGTGACTTAAAAACGATATTATCTGTCTCATTTCCATAGAGAATTACAGCGCAGCATCACCAAATAGCCGTTGCTTGAGATAGTGTACATCGCAGCGTATACGATAACAGATGTTGCGTCAATATTTTTTAGCTGGTTTGGCACTCCCTCTGCTGATGAAAGCAAACAATGAGTATGATTTGCAATGTAATGGGTTTTAATTTGAGAACACAGAATTTTCATAGAAAAAAAAAAATGCTAAGGTACTCACATAACCACAACGTTGTGTGGAACGGCTGCTGTATGCTTTGTTTCTATTGTTGTTGTGTCGCTTCGAATCACTGCTATCCATGATAATTATTTTGACAAATCAGAGGTTGAAGAGATATTACACATACTGCCAAATGCATTGTTTGATTTTAATTTTTTTTTCTTTCTTTTTTTCATCGATATTTGCATCGCACGGAACGTTTTTCTTTTAAATAGCACGCCATATAATTTCTATCTTTTCTTTTCGCTCGTATCTCCTTCTCATTTGTATTTGCTTGTCGTAAATCGTAGATCAGTTCTAAATTTAGGCTGGAAGCTGAAGTTTTTTACCCTTCAGCACCTTTGTAATGTACAAGTAGAAGAAGTCACAGTACAAAATCGTTTGAATGACACCGGCAAAAATGGCAATCAAATCGTAGTGACTTTCCATGATGTAGCGCCAAATCCAGTTGATCAAATATAGTGCCCGGTATGAGCCCAATGCAAACAAATAATGGCTGGTAATGCTTTCTGCTTCGCCGGTTTTGCTCACCAAAAACAGTTGCGGCAAAATTGCCACCGACTCCAAGTAAATTGAAAAGGTCCACAGCACCTCGAGCACGGTAAAATCATGGTTAATCAACAGAGCCAAGATGACGGTTGGTATCAGCAAAAATTCAATACGGAACGAATCATGGTTACGGTCGTATGTGGCACGAAATTTGACAAACATTAGGAATACAGTTGCCACGGATGCACCGATAAACACGACTTTCATCACTGTATTGTACACGCTTATGAATGTTGTGACCAAATCTAAATAGCGCGTTATGTACACAATGGCAAATAAAATTTGCGATTTGCCCGATATACCGGCGCACGATCTCGTTTTCCATATTTTCAATAGCAATATGATAATGGCCAATAGATGCGACAAATCACCCGTCAATCGAAAGATATTCATGTTTATATCGGATTATTTGTTTTGACTCTATTCGCTAACAAAATTTAAAAGGAAAAAAATCTTTGACGTTGTCGCTGGCGGATATTTGACACGTTCACACTCTTTCCAATCGTATTGAATATTGAACGGACCGAGAAAAAAAAAGACTGCACTTTTTTTCGTGACGTTCAAATGCCAAATGGGCTGAATCTCTTTGCTCTGATTGACGAATTCTACTGTTGGTTGGATATACGACGAAATCCAAAATAGCCACGGAGACACACCGCAAATACTGACTGACACTGACGTGATCAACACACAAACGAAAAATGACGTGGCTGACGAAACGACCTGATAAATGTAATATTCTTGCCGATTATACTAGCGACGGATCAGTTTGCCGCAACAAAATGCGATTCACTGTACTTTGTTGTTCTACAATGGACAAAAAGCAGAATATTCTGACTGGAAGAAATTTGTCATTACGCCATGCGATAGACGTGAAGTTGGCAACACTTGTGCTCCTGTCTGAATAACATAATTGATGTATTACGACTCGTTTACACTTCGGTACACATGGATTTGTATTCGATGATTTTTCGGTAATAATTTGAATATGAAAAATTAAATTCAAAAATTTATTATACAATTTTTTTTTCAAATGAACTATTTCATTCAAAACGAAACAAAAAATGTGTGAATTAATACTTATTATTCCCATCGAATCAAAATGAACATTGATGTTTGTGAACCAGTTCAGTGGACTGTTTGCAGTGTGTTATTCCACTATCAAAGTGAACCGGATCACAAAGCGTTTCATTGACAACTTGTGCATCCATACACGAAAATTCAATAGCTAAACAAAAAGAAATCCTTTTCCGTCACTTGATTCGTGAATATTGGTGCATTTGGATTGAAAAAAATTACGGCCAAAAATATGGACAATCTCACGGATCAAATGGGACTTATGAGTGATGATTTAATTGAAGAATGCTCTGAAGATTCGGACGATCATCATACATCAAAACATGCACCACTGCGGGAACAGGATCGATTTTTGCCCATTGCAAACATCGCGAAAATCATGAAACGGGCCATACCAGAAAATGGGAAAGTAAGTGGAGAATCACAATAATTTGTTGTTTACCTTATCTAAATTGCCTATTGTTTGATTGTAGATTGCAAAAGAAGCACGTGAATGCATCCAAGAGTGTGTATCTGAGTTCATATCATTCATTACATCAGAGGCTAGTGAACGTTGTCAAAATGAAAAGCGAAAAACAATCAACGGTGAAGACATACTGTACGCCATGTGTGCACTTGGTTTCGATAATTACGTCGATCCATTAACACTGTACTTACACAAATACCGTGAAACTACCAAAACCGATAGAAACATCAACGAGGCATCGAATAGCAACACAACCATAATCAACACAAATGGAACGGTGGCGAACACAAATGCCACCGTCAACAATATATCGGCTGCGAGTGGTAGTGTTGTATTAGGACAAATTGGTGAAAGTATATTGTACTATGACTCACAGAATCAACAGTTTCAACTTTAGAATTTAAGAGAATTTTCATACTTTTTTTAAGAAACCTAAGCATTGTAGAATAAAATAAATAAAAAAAACAGAGCCAGTACAGTGTGTTCGAAAAAAATGGGTTGTCTCTTTCTTATTGAGTGATGTTTTTGTTTCTCTTAGGAAAAAATCGAAAGAAAACCTTAATAAAGTCGGGAAAGAATGAAAAAAAATTGAAAAAATGCAAAACAATTTGGAATAAAAACTTCGGTTAGGTTCTTTAATGATTTGTAATGGGTTCAAATTACAAATTTGTTAGGAAAAACAAAATTGAATGAATATAAACCAAGAGCAAAAGGTATGACTTTGGAGTAAAATGACCGATTTAATAATCTGTGCCACGTGAGACGACTTCCTTACAGGTTGGCCGCAACATGATTGTGTGTTCGTATTGGGCAGTGTAGCTGCCTTTGATATCGCACAACGGTGGGTATGCTTCGACAACACCTTTGTCGCACAAGTCTTTGAGTGCCATTTGATACTTGGTAGCACCGGCACGGTCCAACCAACGCTTACAGAATGCCAACGTGCTGAAGTTCTTATTGATTGTGTTCAACAATGATTTCGATGACTGTAAACGCAATGGAACATATGGAGTGTCAAATGTCTTCATGTAATGTGAACAGTCCTGGGTGAAAGATTGAAAAAAATCACATTAAAATTAAGAAAATTAAATGAATAATTTCAATTTAATAAAAAACAGTTACCATGTCTTCATGAATCAATCCTCGACCCGTTGAACCGAATGTTTCGATGGCATAGAATTCATTCTCCTCCATTCGTGTTGTTTCGCCACCCTTGACAATCGGAACCGTTTTGCCAGCATGAATACCTAAATAAAGTCGAGAAAGAATGAAAAAAAATTGAAAAAATACAAAACAATTGGGAATAAAAACTTACGGTATGGGCTGATTGAATGGCCGTTCAAATTACGGATGCTTTTCACTTGATACGTTTTACCATCGATTTCCACTTCATACGATTCCATGACTTCTTGAATGGCAGCACCAATGTCGCACAGCCTAACATCAATACCAGCCTCACGGATACCGGTGTTGGTGGCATCGCGTACGGCTTCTTTGAGTTTATCGAATTTTGGATTGAATGCCAATGTGAAGGCACAATCGATGATACGACCTTTGATGTGCGTACCAAAATCGATTTTACAAATGTCATCGTATTGCAAAACGGTAGTATCGCCGGCATTCGGTGTGTAATGCGCGGCACAATGATTTAATGAGCAACCGGTCGGGAATGCCAGACCCGCTTCCAAACCATTTTCAGCGATGAGTTTACGTGCCGTATTTTCTAATTCTTCGCAAATTTGGATCATGGACATGCCGGGTTTCACCCAATTCTGGATGTACTGACGCGTTTGGCGATGCGCTTCGGCCGCCAAACGGAGTTCCTTGTAGATGTCGGTGTGCAAGCGATCCAAAGCACGTTTTTCTTCACTTGTGAATCGATCGGCAGCTTTGCGATCGTCAGTGAATGTTGGATGCTTTAGGATTTCTCCTTCTGGGAAATTGCCATCGGGGAATAGTTCGGCGATTGGGATGCTTGGCGGTGTGGTTTGCACCTTTTTACCATCTTTGCCCTTGTTCTTGTTCTTATTCTTCTTCTTCTTTTTCTTTTTGGCAGCATCATCACCGTCAGCCTCCTCGCCATCATCCTCGTCTTTTTCACCAATCACTTTATTCTCTTTTTCATCATTATTTTCCGCCTCGACCTCCTTTGATTCGGCCGCTTCTGTTTAAATAGTTAATTTTTTCCCAAACAAATTATCAGTAAACAATGTCAAACGAATGTGACAAACATTTTTTTTTGTCCGCTACTAAACCTGTTATCATACTCACTTTTCTTCTTGTTATTGGGCTTCTTTTTGTTCTTTTTGGCATTTGCAGTTTTTTCATCAGCCACTTCTGCATTTGCGTCTACATCATCTGCACCATTTTGCTCTGGCACCGATTCATTAACCTTCTTTTCAACTTCGGACATCTTTACCGGTCGCTATTTTTCACTTTCAATTCGATCGAAGTCAACACAAAATGATTCACTTTCTATAGTGGAAAAAATGTGGCGCAGATCATCATACAATGGTTCGTTTGACATTTCACACCAAATCCCTATTAATGTCTGAATATATAGCAGATGTATGCAAGTATTTGTTAGTCCCTATCGGAAACTGTCGTAATAATAACACATGTTTCGGGTGTCAAGCGCGGATTTAAAATGAAATTTGGATAATTCATTCAAATAGTTATGGAAATAATTTCGATTTTCAATTCGTGTTTGTGTTTCATAATTTTTCCATTTATTCATTTCGTTTTATAGCCAAAATGCTTCATTTTCTTATTCATTTCCATCTGGATGTGTTTCATGGAAGACACGATGGTTATTTGTTATAATTCTTCGGCATAAATTGAATGAGAATGACCAAATACGTTGCCACTGCTGATATGATCTACAATTAAAGTTAATGATTGAATTTAAGCAATTCCCATTGAATCGTTCATCATTTTCATCAAAATCATCGATAAAAAACTTTGACTAAATCTTTGTTATCCCAAATCTTTGTAGATCAGGTATATTTACTCTTTTCAACAGCGTCCAATTAATTATGAGGAATCGATGGGTGTGTACATCAAATGCTAGCACAAAATTCTGAATGGAAAATTTTCGAATCTGAAAATCAAAATAATATAAAATCATTGAATTCAATTCAATAACAAGTTTCAAATTTAAATAAAATCAACAATTTCACCAATCTCTTCAACAAGACATCTTTTTGGTCGCATTTTATCCGGTGCAGTTGCATGTTCATTTTTTTCCTCTAGAAGTGCATAGAAAATTTAATTAAAAAAATGAGATAAAATCGAAAAAGTTGGGTGTGAAAAAATTGTATGTTTCTTTAATCATATGTTTCCTATCCTTTGTAATAGTAAATCGTCTGTTTCCATTGTGAAAATTGGCTAAACTTACGCTGTGTCGAAATGCTTCGACCGAGTGGAATAACGTTAAAATGCTCAGTCCAGACGATAGCGTTAAAATGAATGCCTCAAATACAAATGGGCTCGATCGAAAGTGTCGAATTGCAAAAGCCCAATACAATCCAACATTGATGCATATGAAGTAAGAAATGATGGTTGCAAGAAGAGACCAGCCTGGAAATATTTTCAACAATTTATCGTTTTCATTTTATGATTATTTTTCCATGTCTCAAACCAAATGCTTCATTGATATCTTCAACAGACAGCCACAGCATTCCATAGGATTTCTTGCAGCACCGTAGAATGGTCAATCGATTTTTTCCCGCGTTCCGAATGCCTCTTAAACAAATAGCTATCATATTTGTGCGGTATTTCAATGTGTCGATAAAAAATACGCAGAACAACACTTCTGATCGGCACACAATTGACGTATAAAGTGAAATTAGAATATGATTGCACCAAACTTCATCCGATCTAACACGAATTGCCGCAAAGATTTCAATAGCTGTGGTTGTTACAAGGATCACGGCACATTTGATTAGAAATTTATTCATTGACATTTGTTTCATTTGCGAAGTTATGTTCAATAAAAATGTGTCCATATGTTGCACGCGGATCCAGAATCTATACTTGATATAGTTTGTTTGCAGCGATTCAATGATGATTATGTATTGACTGAGGGCTGGCAGCAAAAACTGCATAATATCCGTGAATGCACTAATCATTTCTCTCATTACGAACAATCGATTAGCGTAATAGATCGCAAGCAAAACCGTTATGGAAAGCACAATAAGGTGGAAACAACTCCAAGCAATCAATAACTTTGTTGACTTTTTCCTGTTGAACTGCTCAAGACTCGTGAGATGACAAAATCCACAGATTTGAAAATACAACAAGATGAGTTTGGTTTTTATGCTATCCATTTTTCCGTTTCTGAACAAAACTAGCTCTAAATTCTAAACCAAACTGATTTTGGTGCAACCTCTTCTTTAATGAATTTGTAAATGGCGGGAGACAAAAGTGTGAACAGACAATTTGGAACTATACTAAATCGATTTGGACAACAATTTACTGTGCATAATATATTAGTGGAATTATAAGCCATAAAGTGAACACAACAGGCACATGAACGTTGCTAACATGCCGATGATCTGTCAAAATGCCAAAAACATAAACATTAATCAAAATGGAAATGATAAATTATAAATGGTAATTTGGTTTGAATTTGATTCAATGAAAAAAAAAATGACAGTCGAAAAACAAGATGTATACTTACGTTAACGTAAATCCCATTATTCAATTCGAAAAGCCTCATCACCGAAAAATCAAAAGGACATAACTGAATCATGTATGCGATTCTTCGAATCTGCAATGAAATTTTGTTTTGAATTAATCAATGAATATTTTCAGTAAATAATTTCACTGACGGTTTTACGCCTACGAAATTATTCTCTCAGATTTACCTTTCGAGTTAGTTCATCGCTGAAATTTTGATGAACAAAAATTGACTTTGAGATTTGCTTTGTAATCGCTCTCCAGTTTTCCACCTCACCAATCAAAATAATTATCGGCATTGATAGTAGGAAAATGTTTGAAATATTCTCTGAAACAAGTGAAGATTAAGTCGGAAATCGAACGGTTTTTCGAAGCAGAAACGCTCTTGCTTACGCCACATTGTGTCTAATCGAGTTTTGGATTTAATCCGCATAAACAACCAATAAAAACTCGCAAAGATCGTACAAAGATAAATGTTCATTACAACACAAATCGTCCATTCGAAGCGTTCATTAATTTGTGTGCTGATTTTCCAGAGACGACCATACAGCGATTTCAGTTGTCTCAGTTTAGGAACTGTACAGTTCGCATTCCTACTGTACGGATGTTTAAGTGCTATTTGAATGGTTCGATGCATGTTATTTCGTACAAATTCAAGCCGATTTCGTATCTTTAATGAAAATGAATTGAAAGCAAATGAATTTTAATGTTCTAGGCTTTGTCCATCTTTCTTGTTTATTTTTCTACTATTTTGAATCATTTATTTTTATTCCATAACAAAGCACAATCATTTGTGCTTCATTTACCCAGTAAAAATGACAAGCGATATAAAGTAAATCGACGCGAATCATGTTGGCAGTAAACTGGCGTACGCAGATGCTTTGTCGCCAAATTCTATCATGATCAGGTATCGTCAGTAAAACGGTTGTATCAATGGCTAAAGGCACCAGAAGTATATAGAACGCTCTGCTAATCGAAAACGGCCTGAGACTCCGCCTTCGGCAAAAGACACATCCTGTAGAATCGCGGCAATAATGGTTCAGGAAGATCTCCTGATCGACATTTTCGATGGCCTCTTTAATACACCGATCAATGTGACGCTTCGAAATATTCTCCACAATTTGTATGATGCCAGCGACAAATAATCCAAACACTTGAACCACATCAGTAAATGCACCAACAGTTGTTGAGCGATGGAAAAACTCTTCTGGATATTCCAACAGAATGTACACTTCGAGGGCAACGATTATTGATTGAATGAAAGTTGGAATGAATAGAAGGAAATTTCGAATAGGAAAATTTCCACGGAAATGCGATTGTACAGTGGCCAAGCCCATACAAGTAAATACGTAAGATATTGTCTTGATTTCATCTTTTGGATGCATTTTTGCAGAAAACTCTGGTCAAAATAACAGAAATCAGAACTTAAATTTCGAACCGTTTGCTAGTATGGTACAAACATGAACTGAACAATATACAATAAGACCAAAACGGTGGTCTGCTTTTGAGGATGAATTAATGCAGTGTAATTATTTTTAATTAGCTGTCACCAAATTCCGTGAATCATTGCAATGAAACATTATTATCAATAAGATATCCTTCTAATAATAACGGTTCGAACTCTTTATTCCATTGAGTAATGCATCAAAAGTTAACGTCAAATGTAACACATTGCTATAATGCTTCGTCTTTCGGATGTAAAGCGGTTATTTGTTACTGGCCAAATCTGTAGAAAAAATTGGATTTTCTTTGATTTGCTCATGATTTCTCTTTCAAATGTTAAGTTTGTTGAGAAGCTACAAAGCAAAAGCATGTTAATCAAACCACTCCATCTGTGCCATTAGTGAATCAAAATTGGGGATTTGTCTTGTATTATTAGCTTAATTCTTGTGGAATTTCTATTGACCTCGATGTATTGTCCCGATAACCAGAAAGATATATTCATTCAAACAACTGTTGGATATGAAACCATCATACTTTTTGAGTTGATTTATGAGAAAATCGACCGTAATCATTTATAATAATGTGAATTCCATTGGAACGTGTGTTGATTAATCGATTTCTGCTCCATTTATTAGGCAGTGACGATTTATTTTCCCAATTTTCCAAATGCTTTGGTAAGTTGTGATTAGTTCTTGCAAGTGACCGTACACAGAAAAAGTGTTGAATAGTGAAAATGTCGATATTCAAGGGGCAAAAGCCAGTTTCCAAAAAATTTCAATGGGCCACAAAAATCGAAAATTTATTATACAAATTTTTTAGCCTCATTACAATTTGCCCGATTGACATAGCTCAAAATTCAGACCAATTAAAAACAGAGTTTAAAAATTCCTCTCGATTTTACGCACTTTTGGGGTTGGTTGTGATTATTCTCTATGTATCGGTTATTGTGATTGTGCGAATATTCGCTCTGCATCCGGATAGTCAGCTAAGCATTTGGAATGAATTCACGAATATTGTTGGTATCATAATCACATGTTTGGTTATTTTAATTGAAACCCAATTTACGCATGAACATTTTGCCGACTTTTTACATCTGAAACAGAAAACTGAACATGAATTATTGACATTGTGTTGTCGTGAACTATTTGAAAATGAAAAGTATTTGTACTTGAGGTGTTATTGGAGAATGTTGTTAACGTTTCAGTTAATCGCATGGACAACAGTAGTAATAAATATAGTTGATATTCAAAAAGACCCTCTGTGGCGGTTCTATTGTTATTCGCTTGTAATACCGATTATGATCATGCGGTTCAGGTGCTTTCAACATCGGCTATACACCAGCACACTGAATTTCTACATAAAAATGATTCGATCGAAAATTGAAGACAGCATTAATGACATTGAAAACAATGAATCTTGGGCCAGACAACAAAGCCGACACCAATTCACAATGAACAGCAAAAAGATTCTCATCGATTTGAATTTATCAATGCAAATTTTCACATCAATTTTTCGAATGACTTATTTAGTGAATAAAATGTTTGGATTTTCGTTGCTCATGAACATTTTCGAGGGTTTTTTTCAATTACTTTCGAATATGTTCTGGGTTTACTCAAAACTGTACCATGAGGATACGGAAAATATAACTGGTTTGCCATTTCAATGAAATTTATTCGATTTCAAATATTGAATCGTAATTTCCTTTTAGACATTCTACTTCATTTAATTCCCACAATTTTCATCTTCATCATACTATTGACCTCGTGCGAAAATTGCACCAAAGAGGTAATTGCAGTCATATATTTTGATTAATTTTCATTTTCTCTTAAATTAAACTCTAATCTTCTATAATCAACAAAACATTTCAATTCAAAAGGTGAATTTATTGGCTTTTCTCGTTACCAGCCTGGAAGTGAACAGCGAATTTGCGAAAACTTTCGATTTACTGGTATATATTTTGTTAATAAATAGCTTTTAAGCCATTGCTCCGATTACATACATGAATTTGTTTTCAGCTTGAAAACTTTTCACTGCAATTGATGCATGAACGCATAATCTTTTCGGTTGTGGGTGTTTTTCAACTAAATTTTACACTTCTTCGAGCGGTAAGTGCAAATCATTTTGTGGTAATAAAGTTAAATTACTCACATATTTAATCCTATCTAGATGGTCGCTGGTATCACCACATACATGGTGATTTTCATTCAATTCATGCCGAAGATCCAAAACTCTTAAGCTCATCTCAAGCAAATTCATACAAAATGTGTTGGTCAACAAAACTATTAGCAAAATTTTCTGCAAACTCATTCGCAAAATTTAGAAATATCGGTACCAGTCATTTCTAAATAAAACAAATGAACGAATTTGGTTTATTTCATTCATTTTATATTCAGTGATTGGATTATCTATAATTTATAGATTATAAATAAATTTTAAATCAATTGAAAAACAAAAAAAGGAGTTTTTTTGTCATAACACTTTCGTCATAGATGTTCATTGGCAAGTCTCTCAAATCACAATTTAGACCATGAACAAAAATATCATTTCTAAAGATACAGAAAAGTAGTCATCTACAATACTCTTGATTTTGATTTTGATTTTGCGGTCTAGTAACTCCTTTCACAGTCAGAAAACCATTCTGGAAATTTAATGGTAGCTTAATGACGTCAAAACACGACTCTCAGCCAATTTTGAGCGATATCTCGAGTGGGCAAATTGAGTTGTTATCAAAAATGTCGCCCAGCACGGAACAAATGAAGAAATTTTCAAATGATGACATTTCTGACCATAAGGATGAACATCGTTCAAAACATTGAACGTGAACTCGAACGAACATGAACAGATTTTCCCATTGATACAAACAATTGAACTGAACACCGAACGGACACGAACACGAAATTTACAAAACAAATTCGAACTGAACTGTTCGTGTTCAGTTCATGGGCAGCTCTAATTCGAACAAACAATGAAAATTTGTAAATGGATTGATGAGCAATTATTGTAGCGAGTGCAAACGTTCTCGTGCGACTATGGTAAGCATAGCCACACGATGGACGCCGCACGAGCGGCATATCAATGAATAGCGCATATCAAAATGTAATAACATGTAACGAAATAAACCTCAGTCTTGAATTGTATGTTAATAAAATTGGACTTGCGTCATTTGTGAATAAAAAGGAAAGATTTGATTATCACCAAGATAAACCATCGAAGCAAATGCCTAAGATTTGATCATCACCAAGGTAACTATCGAAGCAAATACCTAAATTATAATGGATTCATTTTATCGGCTGTTAATTTGTCCATAAAATTATGAAATATCCCAGAGTAATTTTGACAAAATTTTTATAGCCCTAGATAAGATGTCTCACCATTCACTAAATCAACATTGTTGACTTTATTATTCGTAAATTAGAGATGCTAAAACGTTTTTATTTAAAAATGTGGTTTAATCAGTTGCTAGTTGTCAAAGTGCACGGTTGATTAAAAGTGTTCACACCATACATCCCGAGTAGAAATGTACAAATTGTATATTCTTACATTGTTGGGCATTGCCTTTGCATTGAATACGCCATTCCCGTGTATACCAAAGAACGTTAAATTCGGGATAGTTTGCGTTTGTAACAGCACATATTGTGATACTTTGAATATTCCGGAATCAAATGAAAGTAAACGTTTCACTTTGGTAACCTCTTCCAAAGGCGGTGAACGTTTTTCCTACTCCGAAGGAGCGTTTTCGAGCAGAATAATAAAAGTGAATAGACCTGTATCATTTTTGTACATCAATACTCGTGAAGTTCGCCAACAAATACATGGATTTGGTACAGCGATCAGTGGCGCTGTCACCTATGTGCTGAACAAATTATCACCAAAACTTCGAGAATATGTCTACAATAGTTACTATTCGAGTGATGTGGGAATGGGCTACGAGTTTATGAGAGTACCAATTGGCGGAACTGATTTTGAGTACTCTGGACCTTGGGCTTACAATGAAACTCCTGAAGAAGACATCTCCTTGAGTAATTTCACACAATTGGACCAACGAGATGTTGAAAACAATTTTCACATCCGCGAAATGATGCGCGTGTCAAAGAATGCTTCCATCAAAGTCTTAGCTGCGGCTTGGAGTCCTCCGCGATGGTTAAAAGTGAAGTATGAGTGGGAAAATTCCCTTGGAAATGAACTTAAACCGGAATATTATCAAACTTGGGCCAATTATCACTTGAAATGGTTGGACTTGATGGAAAAAGACAAAGTTAAAATTTTCGCGCTTTCGACTGGTAATGAACCGGCTACTGCAGCAACAGGTCAAATACCGTTTCAAATATTGGGATGGCGTGCATCAAATCAAGCCAAATGGATTGCAGAAAATCTAGGACCAACAATTGCAAATTCAAATTATTCACACGTTCAAATTCATGGTTATGATGATAATCGAGATAAGTCACTCTCTTGGATAAGTGAAATGAAAGAAACATACCCAAAATCGATGAGTTATATACAAGCATTCAACATTCATGGATATTTAGATCGAATGACATCACCAAGCATCTTAGATCAAATACACTGGGCATATAAAGATAAGCCAATTTTGTACTCTGAAATGTCTTTTGGCGCAATGAATTCGGTAGGAGAGTATGGTCCTAGGCTTGGATCTTGGGAACGTGCAGAACAATTGATTAATATTTTAATTAGTGCCTTAAATCATTTTGTGGTTTCGTATATCGATTGGAACATGATTCTAGATCAAAACGGTGGACCAAATTACATTAAAAACTATCTTGATGCCATGATCATGACCAATGCTGACTTTACAGAACTATACAAACAACCACTGTTTTATGCGATGGCACATTTTTCACGCTTCATACCGCCCAAATCCGTTCGAATCGATACAAAATTAATCGGAATACATGTTCAACAAGTGCAAACTTTGGCATTTTTACGTCCCGATAAAAAAATTTCAGTTATTCTCTACAATAACAACACTTTACAATCGACTTATTTAAAAATAATGAATTGGTCAAAAGGTCTAGCATTGATTGAACTGAAACCAAAATCCATAAATACATTTATATATTCAATTGAATGAATGGTCGCGGAAATATTCTCGAACAGTTCATTTTTATTACACAGACGGGAAACAAATCATGGTTTTACGATTATGGTTTTTTGAAATCAGACAATAAAATCATAAAATTGACACGTGTGTACACCAACTATTCAAACAACCAAACATTGTAAAAATTTATGTGTAGGGAATAACTTCCATAGTAACATAACAATTCATTACCATACCAATTTGATTAAAAGTAAAGTTTGAATACTCAAGATAAATTGAGAGTGAAAAAATGCTGAAATATTATTCTAGACATAAGTAGTTGAATTCAAATTTAATCACTGCTATAAGTAGCTACTATAGTGGCTGGATACTTGATAAATATATGCCAAACAAATAGATAGAACCACAAGAATCTGAAGTCACAGTATGAGTCGAGTCACACAGTTTCACACTCTTATGTTTATTGCCATTCGGCACTATACTTCTCGACCGCACTCATCACCAGTTTACCACTCACCTTTGTACATACGTACCCAATAATTGCTCATAAAATACTTTTTGTAACAAATATATCATTCAACATGGAATAGTTTTCGGATTTCCTTTGTTTACATTTATTGATGTGGATTTTTTATTCTGTCATTACAATTACATTTGCATTACGTATCTCTAAATATATCTCATTGATTTCATTTCGTTTGTTTTTTTTTGTGATTGAGGTGACAAAATGATGAAGTTTATCTGTATGCTATCATATTTATTCTGACGGGACTGATGATGATATATCGAGTTGAGCTTGTGCGATATCGCTGAGAGCAGCCTGAATTTTTTCCAGTGTTTTCTGACCTCGATCGATAATCTACAAACGAAAAATGGTTAAAAATGGTTAAAATTGAATGGAACAAACAAATCTAATCTGTTCAATTGTTATTAATTTACTTCTTCTAAACGTTTTGCGGCTTCTTGATTTTCCATTTCCAAGCGTTGCAAACTTTGCGCTTGTAATTCTTGTGAACTGTCTTCATTGGGCAACGATTCAATCAGCGTATCGATATCCTTAGCACATCTGAGAAAAAAACCATTTGAATTGAATGCCGAACATTTTTCACAAAGCAATTTTATAGATGTTTTGTACTGAACAGATTGATTACCTTGAGATAAGTGTTGAAAATAACTGGGCATAGTCTTCTTGGGTATTTTGTGATGATTGTTGGGCACCATTCCGTTCAAATGCCGGGAATTTACTCGGAACCGAACACTGGAAATAAATTAAAATTTGAATATTGTTGGTTCCATTGAAAAACATTTTTATTTCAAAGTAGAATCGACTTACCTGTTGCAGGATACCAATGCTGTTACAAAAATGTTCAGCTTGCTGTTGAAGAAAAGAACCAAACAATGGATTTTCATATCATATCTATTTCCCGATGTCATTTCCAAAATGATGAACATTACTCACCAAATTAACTGTATCCTGTAATTGTGTTAATCGATCAGACATTTCGCTATTTTTTTTTATTTGGTCTTGTTTTGAAATTTACTGAGAAAATTATTTATTCAACGAGAAAATGAGAATGGAAAAAGACCGACGATGAAATTGTTTATGTTTCTTATGCTCACAATTTTTTTTTTCTTCTGTCATTCAACACAAATGTCAAATGAATGCTTTTTCATTCAACTGTTGACAGTTAGCATTCTTGTACGTTGTCGCAATATACGCTGTAATATTCTCCCAATCGATGGAAACTTCCTCAAAGCCACTTGAGCGCCCTCTATCGATATGAAACTGCGGAAATGTCAAAATAAATCAAACTTAGCTCTACATGTGCATCAAAACAAACACAATTTCCAAAACGTTGAACAGTTTTACATAAAATTCAGTGAGCAATGCCATTTATTTGGGACGATAATCAGTATCATTTCGTCGACGATGAGGATGAATACGATAAGAATCGGTTTATAATCGTGCGAAAGTTGTTTGTCACACTGAATAAGGATGAAGCTGAGTTACCGGTAAGCGTATTATTTCGTCGTGATTCGAACATATAAACGTTTCGGGATTTGGTTCACAGGAAAATCAACAGTTTGATGAGGCGTTCATCGAAAGGCAGTTGAGGAAATTCGGAGAAATTGAATCGATGGAAATGTGTAAAGGCAGTGTAAATGCCGCAGCGTATGTGACATATGCTGATGATCGAAATGCATATCTTGCTGTGGCACATAATGAACTCGAAGGTAGACGCATTAACCGAGTGTTCAACATACAGCCTGCTGATACTTGGAAACAGCCCACACTAGACACATCTTGTGAAACTATCGAAATTGACGAAGAATTCACACCTGCATTTTTGACATTGAATGAAGATTGCATGTTGGAGATTTTCAAATATGTCGATTTCGACGGACTGGTTAATTTATCTGAAGTCTGTAAGCTGTTTCATCGATTGCTTCACTCCCATTTCTTTCCACGTTACCGTACATTTGTGGTTGAAAATAATACATCGATAGTGACGATGCCGTTGGCTAAAATGCGTCGATCATTAATGTGCATCGGACCATACATCAGTGAATTAAAATTCTGGTGGCACCATTTTGATCACAACAATCGACTGAAACGATTTTTAGATATATTAGGCCAATTGATTGGGAAAAATATACGACGAGTGTGCTTTCGTGATATTATTCTTACTGACGATCACGTTCCAGCTATTCGTGACATCCTTAGCCGTTTGGAAACATTAGAAATCACCGTTTACAATCCAGATTATGATTTAGATTTAGATTTTGGAGTCATATGTCCGAACTTACGAAAACTCAAATTATTGGAGAATATGCAATTGCTCCGAAGTTGTCGTCCGTGGCCCACATTACAGCATTTATCAATTGTGGGCAATGAATACATGGTGTTGAATACATTTCGTTCCTTTTTGTCGCAAAATCCACAAATTAAATGTTTAAAATTCACCGCTTATCACGCTGATGAACGCCTTCAAGCCGTGGCACAAAATTTACCAAACGTAGAAAAGTTGACAATTTTACCGTCATTTCCAAATCTCAACGCATTGAATATCGTTTACTTGAGCTCGCTCAAAAACCTAACAAAACTAAACCTGATGTATTTGGATGAAGCCGATCTGAACGAAATTCTTCGATGTTTGACGCGATTCAGTGCATTGCGTGTTCTGAAACTCCATCTGTTATATGACGGTGGCGAATCAGACGCACACTACGAGCCAAATCAACAGTCATTGATTGCTCTAGCACAGGATCTACCGAATTTGGAAGTGTTTTGTACGCGTTACATCAAATGGAAAGAGTCGACGGTGATCGATTTTTTACGCTTCTCATGTCAACTTCGTGCCTTGCACATTCACTGGTGTGATTTAGTAATGACCAATTCGATGATTTGGAAAATTGTTAAAGCTTTAAAAAACAGTAGACCACAGCCACAGACAATGCCGTTGAACATGTTTGTGAATCCGAGCGAGATTAACGGCGTTCAAATGATTTCCGACCCAGATATCATACGCTATCTAATTGTCAACACCAAATGCCGCCATGCCGGTGACGAATGATTATCATCATTTTTTCAAGAGCAATTGTTACAGTTTTAAGATATTTCGAGTGCATGTTGCAGTGTTAATAACCTTTTTAGACACAAATAGTTGGGCAAACAAAATGAAATAAATTTTTTTAACAAATAATCGAAGCAATGCATGTTGTTGGGATTGTTGAAATTGAAATAAAAGAAAATAAATGATTGCAGAAAAACTAGCGAATTTTGTCATTGTTTTTTAGCTTAAATTTCAAGGGTTTGACAAAAGAAAAGAGACGTAAGTTCACATTTTGGTATATTTTTTCTATTTTAATCTTTTCTTCAGTACTAAAAATTAATTAACAATCATTTTGAGAGTAACACTGTCGGTTTACCACGAATGATGATTAGCGTTGTATTCGTGAGCGTGAACGAGTTTTGGTTGGGCAACGATTGGTTCGATTTGGACAATTGGATGTGGAACGGCCACCTTTGAAATAACTGGAACGTGCACTTTCCGTTCGACTTTCACAATGTATGGCTTTTCAATGTATTTGACCACTTCATATGGTCGGTCAACTTTGTAAGGGCGATCAACATAGTATGGCACTGGGCGGTCAATTTTAACGTATTTGTTCACTGGGTATGGAACCTAAGAGACGATCGAAAATAGAAACAAAATGATTAGTTCGGAAACACGTCAAACATTTCCGAAAAAAATAATTACTTCAATGTGTTTGATGACAGTTTTTTGAAGATGAACGGTTGGCTGTGGTGGCACAACTGGTTGAACGTGTTGATCGACATGAATTGATTGGACAAGTGGAGTAGTATCATACTGTGGAGCGGCTGCATATTGTGGAGCGGCTTCGTATTGGGCAGAGACTTCATTATGACCGGCTTGAATTGGAGCAGCTTGATAAGCTTGAGCAACTGGCGATGGTTCAGATACCTCGTAGCCTGCGCTTGACGATTGTGGTCCAGCAATTGGCAGGAATGGTGTTTGATAACCTTCATTTTGTTCATGATGATGAGCTACGCCAGCATTGACTGAAACGGCCAACAATGCCACAAAACCTAAGATCTGAAATAATATCACCAAACACATTTTTTTCTCGATTAGTTTGCTGTCCCTATTTTCACTGATTTATCAAATTCAAATGTACCATCGGATTCATTTCGACTATCACTCGACACAATGTATTTTTCACAACGATTCAAAACACTATGATTGTGAATCAAAAGAGCTCTTCGTTTATGTAGTCTCCATCAAAATCGAGAGAAAAATCCCCTCCTCGCCTACAATTTTCAAGTGGGATTCGGAAAATAAATCGGATCGTATCAATTAGAAATGCTTTAAATTACATTGCATAAAATGTTGCGACGAATTTTTTTTTTCTTCGCTCAAATGTATCGGCGCGTTTGGAGAGAGGTAAAAGGCATCTGCTTAGTTTAATTATCAAATCTTGGAAATTTGCATGTGCCCGTACACATTCACACGTTACAATAATACCTTATTTTCAGTTAAATTAATCTATTTCATCATATATTGTTAAAATGTTTGCATACAATTCGAATAAAAAAAATACAAATTTGATGGTTTAGTAATGAATAAATCATCGATTTCTAATGGTTATAAACACGTTTCTATCGCACGCATTTATCGCAGAACGCCGAATTGAATCATTTCCTATTCAATCAATCAACCGGTGTTCAATTTTAATCAACTGATTTATTCTTATAGTGTCACGAGATACAGTTTTAATTACGATTATATATGTAATCTTACTGCGACCATACCCAAGTGATGTAAAACGTTAATGAATTCCCGTATCACACAAAAGCCATGTAGTACTTTGAAGTTGTAAAATGTCAACAAAAACGTTTTAACGATTCGATGATCAATCGGCCTAGTCCAGACAGAATACTTACTCGTTGTATTACAAAGTATCTTACGCATACGGAACTTGATTCGTCATTTTTTCACCGATCAGCTAGAGTCAATGAATATTCCATTGATGTAAAAGTGTGATAGTCAGATGTTGAGAGTGAAAGGCGATATAATTTCAAGCAGACAAAATTGATATAGTTTTCATGGGTTCAATCATATTGCATAAAAAAAAGTCTTATTATTAAACTCTCATCAACACATTCCGATATGTTTTCAAATTTTAGCGATTATTTTCATTTGTTTTCTGTGCTGTGCTGGAATTCTAAGACATTCTACCAAAATCGTGCGGAATTATTTTTTTTGTACGTAAGACTATATTGGAGTGAAAGAGAAAGATTCCACAAATTTTTTGGTTACCACCGGAATTATTCCGATAACTATCACTTTTCCTTGAGTTATCTTAATAATCCAGAAAATTAGTGGAATCTCTCTCTTTCACTCCAATATAGTCAGTCCTACGTACAAAAAAAATAATTCCGCACGATTTTGGTGGAATGTCTTAGAATTCCAGCCCTGATGCATTAAAATCAATATGAAAGCATTACAAATGTGTTTTGTTTAGTTTCTCTCTTCCTCCGCTTGATGAATGAAAGTTTTTATTAAATTTCCAACGATTTTTTTCAAGTTTTGGTTTAGCAATGTTTACTTTTGGTTTTTGGTGACCGAAATCAGCTGTACTATCGCAAACTGCAAGTGATTGCGATACAAGAGACGAGAATTCAGCGTACATAATAAGTGTGATCAAAAGGCAAATTTTATATTAGAACATATTTTCATTTAGTTTTATTTTGTTTTGTTTCTCAAATGTCAACAGTCTTCTTAAATAACTAGTAATGGTTTTTTTTGCTACTTCTTAATCCCATCCCCAACCATGATGGCCACTACGTGAGTTCTGTTGAATGACGATATATTTTTGTGGTGCTGCTGGTTGTTGAACCAACACTTTTTGAAGCAGCAACTTCACATGATGCACGTGTGGCTGTGGAACTTGGATTTGTTTCACAATAGGCACAGTAATCGGTACGTCGACGTGGATTGGTACAGGTTGTTCTACCAATTTTACATGTGGCACGGGATTATCGATCGGTACTGGACGTTCTACGGGAAATGGGACTGGATTGTCGATAGGAATTAAGTCTATAAGGAACGCAAAGAAAAAAACCAATCCAAAATTGAAATTTCCAAAAACTTGACTCAGTGAGTTTGCATTGAGCTAATAAAACTACTTACGTTCATGTGGGACAGCGATTTGCTTGACAATGGTTTGAACTTGAGCTGGTGCAGCTTGAACGGCGTAACCGGCACTTGGTTGAAGCATTGGAGTAATATCATGCGCCAATGGCAATTGCTCAGCGGCAAAATGTTGTTGAGCAGCATAATCTGGAGCTGCGGCAAATAATGGCTGAGATGGGAGCTCAGCGGCGTGGAAATGGGCAGCTGGGAGTGGAGCAGCGTGGAGTGGTGTGGCTGCAGCGTAGCCGTGCTCGTGATTAATGCCACGTTTTTCCTTCTTCTCGACACTAACGCACAATGGGACTGAAACCACCAACAAAATTGCCTGTACAAATGAATGAAAATGCACATTAAAAACCAAGTTTATTTCAACCAATTTCGATTTTTTTTCGGTCAAAATAGAAACCTACCAAACACTTCATTTTGAAATTCGAACTGATGCCAGTGAGAACTGAATGTGAATTGATTTGACTTTGCAACATTGCGAACTTTTATACATACCTCAAATCGCACTAAAAACTGTCCCTCCTTTTTGTGGACGCTCTACCTCTTTTGCATGTGGACACTCAGTTTTTTTTACTTACGAAAACCAAATTAATTCCTTCCGTTGAATGAAACTCGATTTTTCGGTATGAATTGTGCATGAGATTTTCGTCTAATTTCCCTTTCATATTCGGATTCGTAAGCACTTTGCACACACCATTTGCGTTGATTAACCAAAAGCAAGAATTACATCACGATCGATATTTGACACAGATTGGATACACCTTTGCAAATTTATGCTTAAAAAAAGTATATTATAGTGCAATCGGAAGAGAGTTGCAATGAATCAAATGAAGCACTCTCTCTCGGTCCATTTCGACGGCCAGCTAATGAAATGAACTCGTGTAAGCTATCATTTTGACAATAAAATTGATTTAAATATGCAAATGAAAACAATCATTCAAATCGAACTTGTATCTATTTCATTGCCCATATTTTTTTTTTCGTTAACGTTACCAATGTGAAAATTCGCCTGAATTAATACTTCTCCCATCAATCAAATTATTATCATTTTTTTTGTAATTTATGAATATAGACCACAAACCATATATTTACTCATGCAACAGGACCAGGTTTGTATTTGAACTTCTAACTTTTACGTAAAATTTAGAAGATTCTCTGTTCGATATAGTTATCAAGAAAAACATTAATCCCTTGCCTAGGCCAGTAAAAAAAGAAATGTTCACAATTTGAGAATGACTCAAACTACGAACCATTTCGATAAGGATTGAACTGGAAAGAATTGTTTATTAGACATTTTTAGCCGATTACAGTACTCATGCATACGTATGCAAATGTGAGAACAAGTAATACGAAGTAGATCGGTGCAGTTATCACTTTACGTCTCATCAGTTTCAGTGTGATACTGGACGGATTCAGAACCATAAATCTGTTCAAACCGTTATGAGTTTCACACAATCAGTTTGGTCAAAATAGAAGTTATTTTTATCAGTGTTAAACGTTCTAATTATAGTTAAAAAGTGATGGCTGGTGTATTGTTTGTCGTGACAATTCCAACCGAACCGGAGGAACTTCGTTTGGATCAAAAAGAAAAGCAATCGAAAACGGGATCAATCTTGAAAATTGACAGTGCCAAACAAAAGAGCGAAAAACATGATAATGGAGTATTCAAAATCGTACGGTTTTTTGTTCATGATTATCTTGTATTTGTGATACATTGTGTTTAATTTGCAAGAGATTGAAGCGCAAAAAAAGCCTAAGTTCAATGTCATGGAACAAAATGGCAATAACAATAATATTATTTTTTGCATCGCACAAAAGTGAATGAATTTGATTTATACTCGATAAATAGTCACGTTATGGTTTGACTTAGTAGTTTGTAGAAATGAGCTGCTTGTCAGCGATATTTTTAGTAGTATTATCAGTTGAATAGCTTGTTTTTTTGGAAGACGCTTACAACACCAAACAAAGTCAGCGACACGCTGCTGTGAGGTTATCATCGCGCGCAATCAGTGACAAATTAAATCGATTTTGTTTATTTTTGTGTTTGAACGTCAATGGTTTTATTCTTTTTTTAAACCAGAGTCCACCAGAGGGTCTTCTATTGGAAAAAGATGAATACCAAGAATATGCTGGACTGTTAAACATTTCGGAAGACTCAACAATGGAGAGTATAATGAATGAACTGTTTAAAAAGCTGAAAATTGACAACGCGGCTTGGCAGCTATCGAAGAGCATGAAATATTATCAAATTACATTTTTTGTTGAGTCAAATGCACGCCACGAACTAATTCTGTCTACACTGAACGAGTGGGGCGTCGGACAGAGAAATGGCTCTCTTATGTCAATGATCCCATGCGCCATTTATAATCAATCGCCGAAAGCCGACAATCTTGACCCTAGAATAGAGTAAGTTTTAATACTCTGATTAAAACGTGATTGTAACTGAAATTGAACTTCGTTTGCTTCAATTTAAGGTCAATTGCCGAGTGTAAACAAACCGCTTGGGATAAGTTTGTAAAATCGGCTCAAGCCAGGTATAGTGTGGCTAAAATTGTTCAACGAGTGAGAGAGGAAGCCACTCTAACATTCGATTTCGTAACACTCATCATAGTCGCTGGAATGTTGGCTGCATTTGGATTGATTGAAAATGATACAACCACATTAATATCGTCAATGCTTATATCTCCCATGATGGTTTGTTGATTTTTGCTCCTTATATAGATGTTTGAATACATAAATTGTGTATTTTCAAGCATTTTGAGCGTTAAATCCAATTTCTTTGTAATCTAGCCTTCTACAAATCGTTTTTAGGGTCCGGTGATTGCGACAATTTTCGGCATTGTTATCAAAGATCATGCGCTCATTCGATTCGGTCTTATAAACGAAGTGATTGGCATTCTAATGGCAACCACAATTGGTTTTATATTTGGTTCGATCGTATGCAGCATTGATCTATCATATGCTATTGGATCAAAAGAGGCTGTAACATCCGAAATGGTTCGAAGGTGAACAATATAAACACACATTATTCATGAACATATTTTGAAAAGTTACTTCGAATCAGCATCGAAAATTAGAATAAAAGACTCTTTGACTTTTGCAAGATAGATGTGAATTTCATTCACTGTTAATTGGTGTTCTAACTGCTCTTCCCACGGGTGCTGCTGCTGCTATTGGGATTTTGGGTGAAAATGTGGGTTCATTGGTCGGTGTAGCAATTTCAGTGTCTTTATTGCCGCCAGCTGTAAATGCGGTAACTCTTAGCAAAACATTCGTGACCAAGAGTTATATAATTTAAATAAAATTATGATTGACAGGGCGTTCTATGGGCATTGGCCGTTTTGTACAAGTTGAATGAGAATGACGAAAGTTTATACGGCAAACTAGTCCAAACACAATACTATTCGGATCATCAATCGATTGAATTAGCCGTGTATGGATGTATTAGTATGCTTCTTACCATAGGTAAACATCGGAAAAACAAAACAAAACAAAACAACAACAAAAAACGTTGGAAATTAATTAAAAACTTCCATTTACCATAGTTAACGTGCTTTGCATATTGTTTGTGGGCTTGTTGACTTTAAAGGTAAGCAAAATACTTTGTGCAAAATTGAAACTAGAACAATAGAAAAGACGCACAAAGTTTCTACCATTCAAATGCATTCGTTTATTTAGATCAAAGAAGTGTCACCTCTAACGCGAGACCAGCGTCAACTGTGGAAGCACGACATAAAAGTGGCTCGCAATTACAATAGCACATCGAATGTAAATGAAGGCCGAATGTCTCGACAATTAACAGAAGACGGTTTGAAACCGAAAACAAATGAGGAGAGAATGCGAAGCATGTATAGTCAATCGTATCAGAATACGTGGTCACCAATGAGTTCACCATTGCCTGAATTCGATCCAATGGGTATGACGGCGTCAATTCCCATATCGAGTAAATTTAATGAACCCACCCGTTTAAGAAGCTATAAATCAAAACGTCGCAACACTCTACCATATTCGAGTTCACCATTGAGTTCTTCACACATTTCAAGCCTAAAAGAAATCAATCGATTTCCACTGGAAAAGATACCAGAAATTGTCGTTTCACCATCATCATTGTCGAATGACTCAATCAAAAGCAACGATCCAGGCCCATCAACTTCCAAGAGATCTCATAAGTTTATTGTAACACCAACCGATACCAATGTTTTAGACAAAGAATAATTAAAAACGAGCAACAACTTTGATCAAATTAATTGTTTTTATTGATCATTTCACTAGAGACATATTCCAGTTTTGAAATAAAATTTGCAATAAATATGGTTTGCATATATGAGTAAATGAATAATAATATTATGGAATGAAAATTGTAAAATCAGTTCTGTTCTCTGTAACGCTCTAGAAAGTCCAAAAGACCAGCCAAACGGAGTTTGTGCCTGTTAAACAAAGAGAAATAAAACCATTTTAAATATTTGACTCTAAATTATGCTTCGATTCAAATTACTTGTTCTTTCGGCGCGATTGGATTTTCTTAACTGGGACGACATCCAAATTCGATTGTTCATCAACAACTGGATCGACATGTTGTGGTGGCACTGCTACGGCTTCATTTTTCACAGCTTCTTTAACAATCACTACACGCTTCACACTGTTGTCTTTTGTTGGCTCTGGTATCGATGTAATTTTCTTTTTATCTTTGGCCTGTTCGGCCGTTTCTTTCTCACTGGCCGCCGATGGAGCCGTTACACCGTTTTCATTGTTGGCATTTTTCACGAATGGGAAATAATCACTGTCGTCATCATCATCAGCAGCCCCTGCTGCCAATTGGAGTAAATAGTTTGTCGCGAGACTTCCTGCCGCATTACTAGCCTGACTCGACGACGACGATGGGAATGCAATGATAACACCATCAATATTCAATCTAATGTTCTCCGTGCCATTTTGTCGCTGATCATACGTTAAATCATGATCCGGTTCATTTCCCGGTTCATCGATAAGGTCATCCAACAACATGAAATCCAGCGGCGATGCATTATATGTTTTGAATAGCAACACCAGCCAAAGTGAACACCAAACAATAAACAAATTCTGATTGAATTTACACATTTTCAACGAACAATGATATCAAAACTGATTTTTCTCTCGTTGCAAAATCCACAGGCCAACTGATTCGAACGGAAAGTAAGCGATGACTAAAAGTTGATCACTATTTGCTACTCGGAGAACGGCCAAATCGTCGCGTATAAAGAACGAAGAAATGTGTAAAGCAAGAATACACAAAGAAAAGGTCGCAAAAAAGAACGGTTACATTGCATAAGCTGGTTTAGCTGCTGCGAACTGGTATTCTCACTCTACAATAAAAAAAAATAAAAAGAACAGTCGCGAGAAGAGAAAGGCAAATCGAGTAACATGAATGTTCTTTCCATAGATCCATCGCGGTTTAGTAAAACAAACCAAAAAGTCGATTGTTGACGATGTGCCTTTTTTCTACTCTTTCTCTCAACCATCACTGCAATAAATTACAAATGCAAACTGTTTCGTTTTCTTCTTCTTTCTATTTCGAGAGCGCACGCTTGCTCTCTCTTAATAAAATCGCTTTGTAACATGAACTTCAGATGGGTTTTTAGAATATTCATGCTTGCCCAGAGTTGTGATCGCAACGACTGCATTTGATACCATAACATTTACTATACACGATATTCGATGCTGAAGGTAAAGCTAACGGAAGAAAAATGATAAACAAACAAATGAGAAAGACATGCTTAACGATGAGGTCAACAACCGAAAGCAGCGAAATGGATTGGCTCTAGAGTGGAATATGCATCTGTGTGACACTTTGCACAGCAGCAGCAGCAATAGTAGCAGTAGCAGTAGCAGTAGCAGCAACAACAATAACATGAGCAACAACTGAAATTAATGAATGTGAGTGTCGTAAACAACGCGTATAAAGAAAGCAACATTTCTTTTTCACACAATAATCATTTTATTCGAAATATAAAATCGACGCAAATTCGATATAAATTCAACGTTAAACCCGTTATTATTTATGGTCAAAAACACATATAAAACATAAAACCGAATAATAATTTCCGAATTCAATCAGATGGCCCATGGTTATCATCATTCGATGCTGATCCATCATAAGTCGGCTGATTGTCTTCGTTTTGATTAGGTGGGTTGTCGCGGGATTCATCTGTAGTGCTTGTAGTTTCTATGGTACTCATTTCGCTGCTGTAACGCTCATGCAAATGTTCTAACTGTGAGTCGACATCTGTTGCTCGTTGATTAACCAATTTCATTCGATTCACATGCACTTGAGACTCAGCTTCAAGTTCGTCTCTACGTGAGAGATACTCTTGTTCAGTAGAACTTAAACATTGTTCATCCGATTTTGAAGAGTCTTCTGTTTTTTCTATTCCCAATGATGATGATGGTTGCGGCTCATTGGTGTCATTTTGATTGGACGCGTTTTCAATTGATTCGTTTGAAGTGCTTGTTGGATGAATGGCATTTTCCACGGTTTCACTGGTATGTTCTAATTTGTTATCAACATCTGTTGCTTGTCGCTGAGTCGCTGCTCTCATTCGATTTATGTGCGCTTGAGACTCGGCTTCAAGCCGCTTCAGGCGTTCATCTCGACGAGACAGGTATTCTCTTTCAGTTGCACTTAAACAGTCTTCGTCAGACTTTACTACGGTAGTTTCTACTCTTGGTGATGGTGATGATGGCTGTGGTTCAGTTGTTTGTTCACGAGATCCACTTGTATCACCATTTTCGTCAGTTTCATTGCCATAACGCCCGTGTAAAAATTCCAATTTGTTATCAACATCGGTGGCTCGTCGATTGATCGATTTCACCTTGTCCATGTGCGCTTGAGATTCAGATTCAAGACGTTTTAAACGCTCATCTCTTCGCAAGAGATATTCCTTTTCGGTGGGGCTCAAGCATTGTTCATCTGATTTTGAAGAAATACTTTCCATCGTTGATGTCGATGGCTGTGGCTCGGATTGTGATTCAGATTGAGTCGGAGCAATTTGTTTCTCTGATGATAAAGCCTCGCGATCTGGTGTATAACGACTGTGAATGTCATTGATTCGTTTCTTGAGGTCATCGCCCCTGTTTGAAGCCCGAGTCACTTGTGACAATAATTGTTTGCATTGCCCTTCTAATCGTTCAATTCTGGCCAATCGTTTACGTTCACGTTCTTCTGGGCTTGGTGCTAGTGTCGGCGGAACGTCAGTCGGTTCATTAATTTGACTTCCACTACTTTCATTGTCCTGGCTGCTCCTTGGTTCTTCACTTGCTGGTTCATCGCCGGACAATCGGAAGAACATATCCTCCAATGACTCTTCATTTTTACTCGTCGATGGTTTCGATGTGGTTGCCTTTTGCCGCATTTCACAGCACATTTTCGTTTTGCTACCCGTTGCTTTCGATTCAACCAACTTCTGGGCATTGGTCAATTCATGTTTGGCACTGTGAATCACTGGTTCTGACACTTTGACTTGATCGGTGGATTTCTGTGCCTCTGCATCAAAATGAACCGAGTGCTTGACACAATTCTCACCACATTCGGCACTACAAACCGTGTGCACGATTGGCTGCACAACGTCCGATGTGGGCTGAAACACTTCAGTGGCGTATTGTGTTATGTGCGAGTCACTATTACGTCGAGTGACACTCACTTTGGCGTTTCGCACCGGCGACACGCTGTGAATTCGAATTGTCTTCCGGTCCTTTTCATCGGTGGTGAGTAAGAAATTATCCATGTTCAACTTTTTCTTCAATCGGCTGCTTCGTGGTTTTTCAATCGAAGCACTGCTGTCCTCTTCGTCTTCTTCCGATGCTGGACTATCGCTGTATCCACTCTCGCCAGAATTATTCAAATCACTTTCTTTGCGTTTGCTAAACTCAAGTCGAAGCGTTTCCCATTGGCTTTGAGATTCATTGTTCTTTTCCTTGGCCAACGCCCACTTCCGACGACAATATTCCAATTCCTCCTTCAATTCGCTGAGCATTCGACGCTTTTGCTGCAATTGATACCGTAACACTTGCTCATGGGTATGTAGTTGACGATGTTGTCTTTGCATTCGACCCACTAAATTCCATGTTTTATTCAATTCAATGCTTACAGCACCCAAACGCTGCTCCTGTTCTCCCAAACGAGACTCAAGATGTGAGTTCAAGTTTTTCAGCTTTTTCGTTTCCTTTTGCAAGAATTTCTTTTCCATAATTAAATCCTTTAAACGTATGTAGGTTTTGCTAACGCTTAACACCATTTGAGGGCCGCTTGGTGTTTGGATGGATTTGTAGCAGTGTTCGCCTTTATTCATTTCCTAGGAATAATAAAATAGTTTTGAAAATATGTTTTTATTGAACAATTCTCGTGAAAATTGTTAAAGAAAATGTAAAAACAACTCACCTGGAGTGGAACCGGCTTCAATTGTTGGTGATTGAGAAGCTCGGTTAAAACTCTCCATACTTTGGGCAAATTGTGAATGATTTCTTGAGCAGACGACACTTTTGCTGCACTTTGTTCAGTAGCAGAATCAGTCGATGGTGAGTCAGATGCCACAGTTGCTTCGACAACAATTGGATTTTCGGTGGTTTTATCTGCTTGAGAAACCAAGTCAAAGATCAATTTCGGAATTTGAGCGGCTCCCTCTTTACAATTCTCCTTGCTTGTTATGTCATTCAACAGATCGCGATTCTCCTCTAGCATCAAAGTCAATTTGTCAATATCAATGTTATTGTTGCCATTAAAGCCCGCCAATAACTGACCGAATAACTAAAATGAAACATCAACCAAAATAAAGTTGCATACAAATAAATTGTCAAATGAATAATGCCAAGCAATTCAATTTCATACCTGATTCACAACGGTCATTTCATCGCGTAGGTCTCTATTTTCGGCTTTGTAAAACGTCAGTTGCTCCTTTGTCGCGTACAAATCGGTAGTCGTTGACTTTAGATCGGTATCAAGCGATGCGATGTGATCTTCAAGATTTTTGTTCCTGTTTCAACAACAAACGACACACATCAAAATATTTCCGTGAACAATTTCCATTTTTTTTTTTCAAAGATATTTTTAGCCCGAGTCAGTCAACTTAAATTGTGAATGATGACTAATGCATAGGGAATGGCTGAATGCATTTCACAACCATAGTTTCAGTTGAATCCGACACGTAGCAAGCGAATGAGTGAAATTCGTTCGCAACATGCAACAAAATAACCATCTAGCATAATATTTATATGCAAACATATTTCTCGAGCAGAGAACATGACGGTATGGTTGGACACGAAAAGAAGAAAAACAATGTACCGACTCCCATGAAATGTGATGAATTGATCTATTTTAAGCTTGTGTTTGGCATCAAATCGGACGCGTCACTAACCGCACGAACGAGATCATAAGAAGCACATTCTGAGCACGGGTTTTAGATATAAAAAAAATACGTATGGCCCTTGATTGATACGATTTCACACAATAAATTGAGAGAAAAAAGAAACGGCGTTCTCATTTCAATTTTATCGCATTTTCCGTAGCGTTGCAAAATAACAAGAAAGCAACAAAAATCGAACTTACTTTTCAACTTCAGAGCTGTGTTCAGCTCGGCTCGTTTCCAATTGGCGATTGAGATTTTCTTTTTCAGCTGCACTGATGCGAGCTCGTTCTTCATACAAAGCACGCAAATTGCGTATGTTAGCCAATTGTCGATCATATTCCTGACGCAAATTTTCCGACATCATATGCAACTCTCGTTCGGCCAGCGAATTTTCGATTTCTTTCAGTTTGGTTTTCAACTAAAAATAGATGGAAAATTATGCAAAAAGGAATTCCGTTGTCTCTCTGCCTGTCTCCATGCGAACAGATTTTTTCTTAGGGTTTTTATGTGTCGACTATGACGGATACGTTACCTGTGTCAATTCCGTTTCACGAATTTCGATAATCTCCTTGCTGGCAGCGATGACTTCTTTCAATGATTTTGCTTGCTTTTTCGTAGCCGCCAATTCACTTGAAAGCGTCAGTATTTCAGCGTTCGCATTTTGAAGCGAAAATTGAAGCTCGGCCAATTGTGAGCGCAAAGTAATGTTTGATTCGGTTGAAGCGACTGCTGTTGCGATGTTTGCTTGAGCCGTACATTCGAGCGAATTATAAATGCTACCACAAATGTTACAAAGATTCTCTTTGTTTTGAGTTTCTTTCAATTGTTTGGTGAGCTCCTTTTCATCGGCCAGCTGCTTACGTAGACTGCTTATTTCATTTCGTAATTCACTAATTGCGTTCGTTCGCATTTCACGTTTAATTCGTAATTCTTCTTTAAATTCTTCAAGGCTTTGTTGCCGTTGCTGTACGCGTTCCGTTTCACTATTGGTCGCATTTGCACTAGATTCGGCGGACGATTCAATTTCAATATCACTTTTGCTCAATTCCTCGAATGAGCCACTAATATTTTCAATTGAATTGCTTTCATCCACATGATTTTTTTCAGAATTATTTGATAAAGGTTCAGATTTCTCCGGCAGAGTTCTTTGTTCCTCAACACTATTCGTATTCGAATTATTTGGCGTATCCATTGCATTTGGATTTAAATCTAAGATTTGATTTTCAATCGGCCACCAAGGATCATCACTTCTATCACGAACTGGCGTCGACGGTGTACTACCCATTTTCAGCTGCTTTTGTACTCGACGATCAAATAAATTGCGATTCAAAGTGAATAGATGAAAAAAGTTATTCCGTCTTAAACAAAAGAAATTCCGTCTCAAACCCAGGCAATTAAACGGTTCCTATATTGTGTTTGCGTTCGTTGCTCTTTTTTTCACTCTTTCTCTCTCTCTCTCTCTCTGTCGTGTCATCCAAAGATTCGTGAATTTTCTCTTTATCTTAACAAACAATAAATGTTTTTCCTTTTCGTTTTCGTTCGGATGAATTACGACTGTGAATTTTCCGCTGAACTACGCTGTTGTGTCGTTGTTTGTTCAATGAAACAAAAATTTTCTCAATTGGATGAGCAGCGTTTTTCTCTCTGCCTCCAATCGACTGTAGTGCACTGTTTAACTAAAGCACGGGATTTTCACGTCGCAACAAAAATGCGATCACATTACGCGACCGATTTCAAGATTCTTTTCGAACGAAGCTAAAAATAAATGCTCGGAGTGAAAACGATTTTTCGTCGTTTTCCCTCGCTTCGACACAGTCTTCGACTCAACGAATCGATGGAAAACGTGCTAAGCTGATCTGTTTTGTGTTCAAGGGATTTTCATGGTTTGTTCGCACATATCAAAATGTACATACGGTCGTTCATTGATTTTTGGTTTTGTCACGTGAATCAAATATGAGTTCACAGACAAATATTTTGCGAATTTTTACAAGCTGGCAATCGTACTGAGTTTTCACCTCTCCCCAGCCAGATGACGTATGCCCGAATTATAGATGTGATTCAATCGAGTTTATAATGCACGCTGTGAATGTTGATCTTAAAGACTGAAAATGAAAACAAAAAAATACAGTAACTGCATGGTACGATAGACAGCAGAGGCGATTTTGGATGATACACATTTGCATTCGAATAATTTCGACCCATTCAAATTCCAAATTTGTGACACTGCTGTGTTTATTTGTATATAATGATTCAACATGTTCTTCAATGATCAAGTCAATTTTGCCATATTCTTTGCGAGCGCCGCCCGTACTGAGGTGTTGACACATACATTTCATGCACGATCAAGATGAAAGAAAACACATTGCAACTTATTTAATGATTTTTCGTTTTTTTTTTTAATTTTCATTTCACTGTTTGTGTTTTTATTGTTCATAAATTGTTTTCATTTCTAATATTCTTTTGGTAAACTGTAGTAAACTGAAAAATGAGTGTGTCTGATGTGTTGAAATTCGTTCAAAGTGTTCGTTTTTCTGACTTAGCTCTGAATCATATAGTCAATTTGACAAACTGCAAAATCAGCGAAGAATCTAGATCTCACCAATTTGTATTCGTATTGTGCTGATTTCATTCAAAATGTCTGAATATGTCGATAATTTCTTCTGCTTTTCTAGCGTTCATATAAAAATGCTGATACTTGTAGGTACTAACTTCATTTTTTCGTCTCTACCCTCGTTTTTTTGTCCGTGATTTAAAATTGAACGCTTTAAATTCAAAATCTGTTTCAGTTCTACGTTGATTATCTGTGGCCAACTGCAAGATGAGTCATCTGAGATGACTATAAGCTATGTTACCAATACAAACAAACGATAGTTTTGATGAGATTGGAACGTGTTTAATTCATATATAATTCGAACCTTTTTACACTATTCATTCTTTCTGAACATTCCAAGATTCTCTATGCAAAGCAACAAACATAAACCTGTTTTTAATCATCTTCTGGATACTTCACACCGATTTGTTTTCGGATTTCATCTTCGATGCGAGCAATCAGAAGGCTTTCGTTATGAGTGACGAGATTGCTTTCCATTTTGCCTTCGCGAATGCATTTTCTTACTTCTTCAGCTTCATATCTCAAGCCGCAGCTACCACTTAAATTGAAGTAGTGTTGTGCTTGAGGCAATGACCATGTTTTCTGTGTTCCATCCACGTCGATTATTGTAGTTGATCCATTAAAATTCAAAAGCTAAAACCGAAAACGAACGAAAAAAATAAAGAAATTTTTCTGTAATCATTTCTCTAGTCATATTTACCGTAATTTGGCCCTTCGTTCCAACGATTCTAGCATTTCTGCTTAACTTCGTCAAACCACTTGATTTGATTTTGGCCATTTTATTGTCACCGTATGTCATTTCAGCAAACATTTCAAGGTCAACACCTTCTTCGTTCAATGTTCCTCTTGCGTTGATTGATTTGGGTGCTTGTTCATACACCCATTGACAAAATTGGATTAAATAAACACCCAAATCCACAACTGTTCCGCCGCCTAAATCTTTTTTCCTAAAAAAATATTCTTCCATCAATCAAAAAGCAATCGACCAAATGAATGACGAAACTTACGCAATCCGAGCGACTTTGTCCAAACCTTCAGATCCGATATCAGCTTCAACCATAGTAATATCGCCGAGCATTCCATTTTTAATTTGATTTCGCACGTATTGATAACTTGGAAAGAAACGTGACCAAATCGCTTCCATCAAAAAGAGTTTCTTTTGTTCGGCGTATGTGATGAGTTGTTGCGCTTGTTTTTCGTTGAGGCACAATGGTTTTTCCACCAAAACATGTTTTCCATGCTCAAGCATCAACAGACCGACTTCCAAATGTTGTGGATTCAATGTTCCAACGTACACAACTTCTACATCTGGATCTTGGGCCAGCTCCTTATAGCTGCCATATGCTTTTGGGATATCGAAACGCTTAGCAAAATCCTCGGCTCGATCTAGATCACGGGCAGCAACAGCAACTACATGATGGATTCCTTCGCTTAAAGTTCCCATTGCGTTCACAAAATCATGTGAAATTTTGCCAGCAGACGCGATACCCCATTTTAGAGCCATTTTTATGAGATTTTTACTATCACTTCGTATTGTAAATCGATTGGACAACAAACAGACACTGGAGAATTCGAATAAATGAAAGTGTTTTTATAAGCGTATCGTATTGTGATACACTCTAATCACCTGGACACGCCTGGACATCAGACATTGGAATTCGTGTTTTTTTTTCATTTTGTTGATCTTCATCAATGAAAATAAGGTCAACCACATCGCCACAAATCAACAGCATTGTTTATTTCGCTCAAAGCTTTGAAGCCTTTGAACGTTGATACTAGTATCAAGTGCCGGTAAAAATTATGTTCAATCATTATTAAATTGAGCGAGTTTCAATTTGTTTTTGTGCCATGCAATGATAAGAAAGAAAGAAAGAAAAAAAGTTAGCAATCGATAACTTTGGTGTGATTTAATTTCGATTCACTTAATCAATCACTCAAATCGAATACTTGTAATTTGCCTGAAAAATAAATCCATCAACAATTGGCTTATCATCAAAACATGACCGAATAAAAACAATGCTTTTAATTTGATTTATTCAGAAGCAGCTTATCGGTCGATAAAAAACGAAGTAAATTTTATTCTGTTTGAAAAGAAAAAAATTCTATTACCAAAAAATGGCTTTAAAGTGGGGTTTTGCAGCTGCTGGAAAAATATCGCATGATTTTGTGACGGCCTTAGGAACATTGAATGAGACTGATCATCAAGTGGTTGCTGTAACCGATCCATTTTGTTCATCGCAAGAGTTTGCCGATCGTTTTGGCATTCCTAAAGCATACAGCACTTATTTGGAGTTAGCTCAAGATGCAAATGTTGAAGTGGTGCATATCGGTGTATTAAATCCAAAACATTTGGAAGTTGCTCTGTTGATGCTCGAGCATGGAAAGCACGTTTTGCTCGAAAAACCATTATGCATGAACGAGAAACAAGCGCGTCAATTAATTGCATTCGCCGAACAAAAGAAACTCTTTTTGATGGAAGCGATTTGGTCGCGATTTCTTCCAAGCAATCTGTATGTTCGCCAACAGATTGAGAGTGGTGTACTTGGTGAAATTACCTCGGTCGAAGTTGAATTTGGTTTCGAAGGATTGGATAAGCTTGAACGAATTTCGTAAGTGGTGTTATTGCATTGATATTATTTCAATATAAATAGCTCAAATTGAGCTGCTCGATTAATTGTAACATTCTGGAAAAATAGGAGGAAAGATTTGGGAGGCGGATCACTTTTGGATTTGGGAGTATACACGATTATTTATTGTCAATTCGTATTCCAAAAACAACCATTATCGGTTGTTGCAACGGGAACATTAAACAAAGATGGAGTTGACCTTGAAATGTGCGGTGAAATTCGGTACGGCGACAATAAAGTGGGCAAAATCAAATCAAGTGTTGTGAAATCTTTGAGCAATACGGCAAAAATTATTGGAACTAAAGGCCAAATAACGGTAAATTGCGCTGAAAATGAAACAAAGAAAGAAAATTTTCTTCAAATTCTCCTTTTTTTTCAATAGATTCCCAACTTTTGGTCGTCTTTTTCACTCATCGATGTGGATGGAAGTGAGAAAAATTGGCCGTTGCCAGAAGCAAAGCACGCTTTCAATTATACCAATAGCTGTGGTTTAAGATACGAAGCTGAAGAAGTTCGTCGATGCATTCGTGCAGGCAAAATGGAAAGCGAGTCTGTCACCCATAAAGAAAGTCTATTGTTCCTTCGCATCGCCGATGAAGTCCGAAAACAAATCGGTGTCAAATTTCCGCAGGACGATTAAGATGTCCATATATACTCACTGTCATTACTTTAAAACACCGAAGTAAAACAATCAGAAAACGCAATGAAATATCTAAATATCGCCTACAGAAGTAGTTTTTATTAATGAATGTTGGGATTCGTTTCAACATTTCTACTCTTTATTCGATTTATATTACAACCTTCCTAACAATCACTCAGAGATGCAGAAAATATGCGTTAAGGCGATGTTGATTGGCATCGATTCGGGGAAATGCATTGGCCATTAATGCGATCCGGTTTGCATTCTGGCATGCACGAATTCAACGTTTCATCCAAATGGTAATTTTCATTACAGGCGCATTTATTTGGGGCAATACATTTTCCATTCGGGCAATTTGATTCACAAATTGGATCGCATTTATTTTGATCGGCATCCCACTGATAATCATCATTGCATGTACAAATATTTGGCGAAATGCATTTACCGTGCTCACACCCATCACACACAGGATTGCAGTTACGTAAACTGTAGAAAAAAACAGTTACATGTAATGATTTATCCAATCACTTATTATTTTGATCAAATCACGCTTATTGGTTTTGTCTTTTGTTTCTCTGGGCACATACTCATTTTCATCACTAGCGTATCCTACGAAACATTCGCAATGTTCGGGTGCCACACAGGTACCATACTCACAGTCATTCGTACAAATTGGCGTGCATACGCCATTCAGCTCTTTATAACCATCACGGCACTTGTAAATTGGTACAATCTTCGTTCCATTCTTCCACACGGTACGCGTTCTATTTACAATTTCTAAACACATTCTAGCGCCACAATTTTTACGTATTCTTTCGATATAAGTTTCATTTTGGGGTTCTGACATCATTATCCTACAAGGAAATATGTAAAGTATTTTTTTTAGCACAATTGTCTGTATAAAACATACCTATTATATCCGATAATAACGCGATGATTGTCATCTTCCGAATCAGTCACACCAATTACAACAAAAGTTGACACTGACAAACAAACGATTGCTAAAACTGCATTCAATAAACTTATGGAATACATCGTGCAAATTGGACAAAAGTCACTCAAAGACGTTCGATTTGTCTCTCTCTCTCTCTCTCTCTCTCTCTCTCTCTCTCCAATTAAATCATTTTATTTTGTAGAATCCGAAAATCTTGGGTGGGCATCAGATCACAGCAGCTGCAAAAACAGCAGGCGATGTATTTATATGGCAAATGCTGGCTTCAGTCATCATTCCAGGTTTCGTAATCAATCGCATTACGTGGGGAGCTGGCATCCTTTCGAAACGAAGCAAAAATTTACCTTCGATTGCACGCAAATGGTTACCTACATGTATTGGCCTAGCGGCTATTCCACTGATTATTCGACCAATTGACAACGCCGTTGACCACGCCATGGATCGAACCTACCGCAAATACGTCTAATCAAATCAAACGATGTGCAATGAATTAATGCTCAAGTGCTATTTTATTCTTTTAACGCCTTCTTAGTTCTTAGTATAACTGCCAATATTTTGTGATTGTTTATTGAAATTTGTGAATTTCTTTTCCATTCCAAATCTCAACGTACTACAAATTCAATTTGTAGACTACAACCAAGTGCTATTCTTTTTTAAATCTAATAGGACAATTCGATTTTTCACTATGTTTACGTTAAATGTTGTACAGACACTTTGGGAAAAACTAAACACTCTATAAATAAACCAGTTACTATTTTCACTTCTCAACCTTGGTGATGGTTTTTTCTTCAATTGAAATAAAGATATATAAAAAGTTAATCGTTCTTAATCATTTCATACTTTGGGTCTAAACGGCCACATTATGACTTTCCTTGAAACCTGATTTGATATTGCATCAATTTATTATCCTTTTCAGATACTAATCATGTATTAAAAAAGAAAAATTCAGTCTAAATATGGATAAACAGCTGTTTCAGTGGGTGTCTTCCAGCCACCATTTACTTGAACACCACGATGATGGTAACGTCTACTGTAGTCGTAGGCTGGCAACATTGAATTGTTGTATTTTATTTCTGTGAAAATATTTCGCAGATTATGGGACCGTTTAAAAATTTGGTTTTACGTCATATCTCACATCCGTGATATTTGAGACTGATAACATAAAAATATGGATGAAAACATACGGACGATTAAGAATGGTAAACGCAATATAAGCTATTTTAATTAAAATAATTCTTATCATCTTCCAAGTATTCGACTACCACATCTGTTTACTTGAAAATCTCTTCTCTTCTGCAATGGATGCATTACATAGTAACAAATAAAAGTCTACATTAGGGCGATTTCTCAGCTAAAGACCTTTGATGCAGGCGAAATTTGAGCTGCAGGCGAAATTCCACTTATAATCTAGTCGTAATTTCACCTGAAACTTTATTTGTTAGGTGAAACATAAGGCTGGGTGCCTTAGTCAAAATTCCGGCTGGAAATGTAGAGTTTATTTTTGACTGTGTATGATGAGGTAAATTTTCCAGAATTTTCAAAAGCAAATGACATTCGCATTGGATTATCTCGAATGCATTTGCTCTTGAACCTAGTTTGAACTCAGCCTGGCGTATATAAATGAAACTGTGGAGTGCGATCGATCTGAAATACTGGTAATCATCAGTATTCATCATAATGAACAGTGAAAAGTATAATGCGATGGACACTGGACAGCAAAGACGACGTTCGATGGCAAAATATCGCATTTGAATGTTGCAGGCAATGGTTTGCGTTAAAATCATCTATTTGATTTGCATTCTTCCGATATTTGTATTTTGACTCTGAATGCGCCACACACAACAGAGACGGCGATGTATACAACTTAGCGAACGATGTGCAGTACATGTTCAAACATGTTACTTTGTGTATATGTATGTTTGCGTCTCTACTGTGTGTGTCCACTGCTGTGCAGTGCGCATTCGAAGTCAATATAAAAATATCGGATAAATGCAATTCAAATAGATAATTTAAACGCACACCAAACCCTGAAATTTTGTGAAAGATACTCCAACTCTTCGACCTCAATTCCAAATACGTGATATATCTGTGTTCATTTTTATAATGATTGTGTGTTTTCAACGATTAATATAACATAGCCACATTCCTTGCGAACGCCACCCATGCTATAGTGTCGACATATAAAACATCCACTAAATACATGATCAAAACGGAATAAAACGCATCTTTCATTTAATTGTTTTCATTTTTTTTTATTTCAAATTTCTATTCACTTTTTATGAAATGATATAGGAACAATTGATTTTTTTGAGATATTTAACAACATTTTAAATTTGGTCATATTACACACAGAAGAAAAAATATAAAAAACTACACAGTAAGATCAATCAAAACAGGATTTATGCGACAAATCGTGTAAAATGATAAAATATCGTGTAAATTCAAATAAAACAATGAATTGGTCAATACTATTACCCGATACACGGATCGGTCAAACGTATCTTTGAAACATTGAAAATTACACGATATTTTACACGTTTTTAACGTTTTACACGATTTGTCGCATAAGTCCTGTTTTGATTGATCTTACTGTGTATTTCTTTATATTTTTTCTTCTGTGTGTATCATTCACACATTTTTGTTGCAGAGATATTAGAGTCCAAGAATTGGAAAATAATTTGGTTCGTATTTTGGTAATAATTCTTCTATGACAAAATGTCAAATTATGCAAAATTGCTTAAAGTTAAGCTATCGCAGGCTAGCAATTCGAGTCGACAATTGATTCACACACATTTGAGGAATCATTACCAAATCGATTTGCAAATGCCATCCTGCTCTTCATATCCATCTCTGCACTTAAAAATTGGTACACTCATGTCTTTAGAAGCTGCCAACCTGCAAGGAAAAGTTAAGGGAATGTAATTTATGAAAAATATTAAGCACACGTTTCTGTGTGAAACATACTCTTCCCAGCCAAGTTCACGATGATCGTCGTGAGGATCGTAGTTACTTTCGCTGACATAACTTTCTCCTTCCGTTGTACTTTCATCTTCATCAGTCACAACAACACCACCAATTACAGCAATAATTAACATTGACCAGCAAACGATTCCTAAAATTGTTCTCAATACACTTACAGAATGCATCGCGCAATTTTTTTTTTTTTCGAAAAATAAAGTCTCTCGAAGAACGGCACGTCCGATTTATTCGATGGGTATTTTATTTGTGCCAGATGAAAAATAATTCACAGATTTTATAGAACTGTGTGGAAACTTGCGTTTTTACGTCATATCTCACATCCGTGGCATTTGAAACTGATAACATGGAAAAATAGACGAAAACTAACAGACGATTAGGAATGTAAAACGTAATATAAGCTATTTTATTTATAATATTTCTTATCATATTCCAGGTCCACATCTGTTTACTTGAAAATCTCTTCTCTTCTTTCAACTAAAATCAAATGGATGCATCATGAGTTGACTTTTCTAGAGTTTTTAGTTGCAAACGACAATCGAATTGGATTATCTCGAATGCATTTGCTCTTGAACCTAGTTTGAACTCAGCCTGACGTAAATATACCTAAAAATAAATGGTACTGTGAAGTGCGATCGATCTGAAATACTGGTAAATATCAGAATTCATCATAATAAATAGTAAAATGATGCGATGGACAGCAAGGACGACGTTCGATAGCAAAATATCCCATTTGCATTTTGCAAAAGACACTCCGACTCTTCGACGCAAACTCCACACAAGAGTCAATATATAAAACGTTCACTAAATACATGATCAAAACGAAATAAAACGCATTTTTCATTTAATAGTTTTTCATTTTTTTATTTTGAATTTTTATTCACTTTTTACCTTACTTACTTTCCAATTTTTCGTAGTTGATTCGATTTTCTCGCTGTATGAGTTTGAGTTTATTTATTTTTGTTGTTGTTTAATAATGGTTCTTAAATATTTTTTTGTTCCTTTTCATTTAAACAACACAGTAGACCAACCGAAGGGTGAATCATTTACTTGTTTTTTTTTTGGTGGTTGCATTAGCATGAAATTGTCAAAAAAGTTCTATAGATTTTGTCTGCTGAGTAACTTGTGTAATCAAAAAAGTTTTTTTGTCCATTTTTAAATTGTTCTATTCAACAAATTGCACATCAAAAAATTTGTTAATTAGAATGAACAAGAAGCAAAAAATTCGGCTGGAGCTTTTGTATGTGTGTGTGTGTGTTTTTTTTTGTCCACTTTCTTTAACTAGTTTGTATTCCATTTCATTTTGTTGTGGTTGTCATTTATTTAGCGAGGGCAAATTTGGTATGATTAATTCATTACATGAACTGAGCTTCCGCGCATTGAAAGAGAAATAAATGAGTTATTTTTTTTGGTTGGTTTTATTTTGTTTTTTTAAAGATAAACTTGCTTAAAATTGTTATTCAAACGTCAGAAATATGCGAATGGTTCGAATAATATGATGTAAACGTGTTTTTTTTATTGTTTAATTTGAATGATTCTCTACAGAAAATGAGTGAATGTGAGTATTTCAAATGGCATGTGTTTCTTTTGTCGTCTTGCCTTTGTTCAAAGATTCTGCGTGCTGTGGGTGTGCTCCTAAATTTCGGGACACTATTACTTTGCTTTGATTCTTAGATATTTTCCTTACAATATGTGTGTGTTTTCGATTGCGATCTTTTGCTTTCATTTTGTTCTCAGACATGCACTTTTTTTATTCGAAATTTGTACAATTTCTTAGTTCTTTTTGTTCTGTGTTTGGTTGGTTGGTATAGAGAAATTGCCGTGGAAAAGACGGACACATTCGTACAAAAACTAAGCCGGATGAGAGAGAAAAAAGTCTACATCACAAAGTCAGTGATAGTTAGTGTTGTTGTTGCGATGTGTGTGTTTTTTTGATATTAAATATTCCAAATAAACTACATCAGTTTTGTGCGATTTGTTCTGTGGACTACTGCAATATCTGCTATAAAACCGTTGTTTCTTTTTTATAATGGCTATCTATAGATGATGGTGTAAAGTGTTTTGTTTTTAATATCTCATTCCAAGATTTTTTTTGTTAACGTGCACACTAATGAAATTTGTGTTTTTTTCCTTGCCAGTTTGGAATTTGGATGAAAAATTGCAATTTGTTTTCACTTCGAATGAATGAGTGGCGGTCATAACGCCTCTACGACGGACAGCATACTCTAATGTAACAGAAAACACAAAAACATGCTATCCGTCCGAGGCGTTATGACTTCCACCCGAATGACTTTTAATAAATGTGTCCGTGTGGTTTGGTGCTTTACAAATAGTGTTTGTGCAAATATGTTTGAATATTTTTTTTTTTGGTTTTTAGTATTCCATAAATTGTTGGTCTTTGAATGTTCATTGTGTGTTTATCATGTTCAAATGTTCCGGTCTTAGCTACTTTCTTCTGTTTTAACGACAACATCTCTGTTCATTGGTTAAACTGCAGAGTTTATCTTATTTCTCATTCATGTCAGATGATTTAGTTTTCGTTTTTCTCTTCATTTTCATTAACTTACGATTCGAAATAAAGAGCTGTTAGGTTAATAATAGACTCTCTTAACATTAAATATATATTTAATACGGTTTAATTGATAGTATTGTACAATTTGTTTAATCTTTTGTCGGTTTTTTTTTTCTTCTTCATTTTCATTTGCCTTAACCACTTTTCATTTAATATATATATATATAGTGAAATGAGTCAATTACTTAACTAGTTTAGTTGGAAGACTTAACAATTGTTTGAATGTCACATCAAAATGTCAGCATTTCTCAGTTTTCTTTTCTGCGCACTCCTATTTTCCTCGTTATGCTTTTAGTCGTACACACAGTTATTGTGTGTATCGCACACCTAATAAATTCTTTCTAATTATTGTTTTTGGTTTTTTTTTCTCTTCATTTTCGGTTCTAGTTACTTATCGTCATCCCTTCAAAAATACATGTCGTTTGACTGTGACTTCATCAGTCACTGACTTTTAGCTTTCATCATAAACTTGCACTTCTTCTCAATTCATTCATTTAACGTGCATTCATTTAACGTGATTAAATGCATCGCCAGTGTATTTAATACACTCATACAAGAAATCGATTCGTCTTTTTTCCGCACATTGCAATCGATTCGTGACCTTTCATTGTTTACATGTGTTTTGCTTTCGCTCTCTTCCTGTCCATGTATCGGTTCGGTTGGCGCAGTAAATTGTCAAAAATGAAATAAGTAATATTTTGAATATAGGGAAAGGGTGAAAGGTTTCTTACAAGTGCAGTGTATTTGTTTGTCTTGTTTCATCGTCTGAAAATTGCATTATCGATAATATGGATTTGAAACGGTCGTTTTTGTAACGGTCTCGGGATAAATGTCCCAATATTTTTAAATAGAACTATTTTATTAATTTTTGCTTATATCACGACCTTGAAAGCAAAGCAAAAGCGCTTAATAGGTGTTAACAATGATCGTGAATTGATTAGTTGATCATAAAATGGTTAAATTTATTTGCTTTTTTTTTCTTCTTGATTTTGATATATGAGATTATGTATGTGTTATGCACCCGCAAAAGAAAAGGAAAAACAAGTGAGTGAGAGAGTGTGATATGAAAAAGAATAAGAAACAACGAATGACTGCTATATATACATATTCTATATACATATATGCGAGAAGTGGCCGATTTTTTTCTTCTTCGTATTTGATAATAAGCTGCCAATTGATCAATGAGTAGATTCAAGTATCGAATATTAAATATAGATATGTGTCATTGTATTTTGGTAATTCGATACGCCGATATGGTAATTGCTGGCAAAAAATCGCTCAAAATATGATTAAAATTGCATAGAGAGAAAGAGAGAAGGATATGCATGGTCTGGAATAAATTTCAAAAAAACTTCTGGACAAATGACTTATAACAGTCTACACATATCAAATTGGACACAAACAAAAAGCCATAAAATACTGCCAATGCCTTGGACAAATGTGTACAACGACTTGTTTTCAGTGTCATATTTTCAATAGCATGAACATTTCAATAACAACAATATAACAGGAATTAGTTACACGGATACAGATTTGTTCCGCTTCAAAATGTGTTTGTGTGTCTTTATTTGATCTTCAGTTGTTCCAAATAAATTAACATATTGGAAACAATATTATTTTAAAGTACGATTTTTTTGTGCGTGTGAATTATTCACAAATCATCTTTCTTGTCGCGTTGATCGAAAGAAAAAGGAAGCAATTTTCATTATAAATGTCATGTTATTGTATCTGATTTGTTTCCTTCATTTGTTTGCTTTGTACAAATGCATTTGAAGAATGAACGAAAATGAAGAAAATAGTAGAACGAAGTGCGCACACACGAAAATCACGTGTTTTCATTTTGGTGTTTTGCACTTCTATATAAATCGTAAATAAAATCAAAGTATACAAGCTTCGATCACAATATAATTCATTTTTTGTTGTTGTCATTATTATGCTTTAGAATTATTTTAAGTAAATGTTTTCTTTTAAGTTGTTGTTTGGTTTTCGTTTTTGGATTTGAATTTAAATTTAAATTTGTCCTAAAATCGATAAAAACAAAATTATTGTCAAGTTTATCTAGATTTCAGCCATTTTTTTCCATATTCTTTTCTTCATCAGTTTATTAAACGTAGGTCAATTTAAAATGTAACTTCACCTTCCGTTTTTTTTTTCTTGTGCGCGAAGAGAATTTCGTTTCTAATATGACTCACACCAATTTTTTTTTTTTGCTTTTGAGTATAATCATTCTCATTGTTTTTGAATATTTGGTTTTGATTCCAATTTTCATGTTGCACCACGTAAAGCGCGATTTTTAATTCTTTTTTGTCTAAATTCAAAGGTACCGCAATTTATTTAATTTTTTTTTTGCTTCCACTGTTGCTCAATACAATTTCCCTAAAAATTATTATTATCATTCACCTATGGTCTATATTGACTAATTTTTATTAATTTTCATTACTGTTTTTTTGTTGTTATTGTTTTAGGTTTCCAATTTTGTGAGATTTGCTATATATAATTATTGTTTAGACGATCGTTCACATTTCCTTCATTTTTTTTTTCTCTGGAGGACTTATCATTATTTGGAATTCATTTCGAAAAACAGAAAAAGAATTGCTTCCATTTCGGAGATGTTGGATTGTTTAGGCGTTCGAAGCGATTTATTTCTCGAAGCAAAAAACAAAAAACAAAAAGCTTCAAGTCTCCGAAATGTTTAGGAAAAACTCTGCGAGAAAAATTGATCCAATTGTTTAGTTAATTGTTCAAATTCTGTGTATTTAAATGGATTCTTTGTGCCGCCGTTAATAAAAAGGTACGGCTTCAGCGTTTCATTGGTAAATTTCCTTCTAATTCGATATTCGGAAAAAGTTCTTACATTTAGCCTATTTACTCATCTCTGTATCTCATCAAAAATGTATGACGATATTTACATGGTTCACATTTTTTTTTTGTTTCGTCGAAGCTTAAATTCCAATACTATGTTTTAATTCTTTTTCTTTTGGTTCGATTTCATTCGACGTTTCCCCTTCGACTCTATATTCTAATGACTATAGCTTACTGTTTTGTGTTGTGGCTCAGAAAAAAATTATGGCCAGAAACGATGTGACGATCTCATTATTTCTCCTTTTTTCTTCGTCCGATTTTCTATGGTTTCTGTTAATGACACTTATCACGCTGATAGTATCCAAACTTGTGAAACGATGAACATGTTGACGAACGCCATCCAACCGTTGAGCAGAGTTGATGCGCCGCCGCATTGTTGTATTTCAATCTCTTCCGGATGATAGTTTATGCATTTGGTTGGCCGTTTGCGTGGCAAACGATCCTTTCCCATGCGACGATGGTTGCATGCAGCTGAAATGGGAAACCAATGTTAATGTTACGCCTTTAAAAAATTTAGTCTAAATTGCAATGCAAACCTTGTCCACCTGGTCCAGTTGATCCAGTGGTTACTTCCTGTGGTCCAATATCCAATTGCTTTGAACCGCACGGGCATAGTGTGTCAACAACCAACAATATCAAATTACTGTGCGGAATCTTTTGAACGCTAAAAGGTCGCTCGCAACCCGATGAATGACAATTGGTTAATTTTCCTTTCAACGGAGTGCTTGAATTCAATCGGTCCGGTTGCAGTACAAACAATTCGGTTTTCAAATCGCACGGCCGTGTATACGATGAATCATGAACAACTTTGGAGTGTGTTGCTGGCGGTGGTGTTGATTTCGGTGTGTTTTGTGCTTTTTCTTCCGGTTCACTGTGTTCAGTGGTTTGTTCAACGTTTTCAATCGGTTCGGCAACTTCATCATCATATTCATCTGGGTAGGTTTCATCTTCGGGATCTTCAATCAAGGTATGATCAATGTATTGTTCACTGTAATGTGGCCAAGATTGTACAGTATTTGGCAGCAATGAAATCCAAGTCGTTGCCAACGATACAATGTATTTGAAAAGCCACGAGAAATGACGGTGTGGTCGTGTAGTTATGTCACCAGCTGCTGTATACGGATTTTCACGATCAGAGCACAGTCCTTGATAGTTCATCAACGAAACACGTCTATAAATGCGATCTTGTACCAAAGAATCCATGATGGTTCCATCTATGTGACCGAAGAATTTGCCAGTGTGCTCAGTGCTTTCGGATAGAATAACAAATCCATTGTTGTCAAGCACATAACAATCCAATTCGTCCGAAGCACATGTCTTTCGACAGTGACCCGTGCCAGTACAAGCTGAAGTAATGTTTCTGAAATGTCGAGCCAGTGAATCATGCTGATATTGTAAGCCAACGACGGCAGCCGGCGCCTTATTATGACCACGATGATCAATGAATATTGCATGCGCTGCCGTAACTAGAGTTGCATTCGATTTTCCAGTATAGCCAGAGTCAAATGGAACACTAAAAACAAAACTGTCCGGTTCAATTGAGTGCTGATCAACAGCTCGCTTAAACCATGTGCTGTCCATTGCCTTGGCATGTACTTCTCCAAAATGACTGCAATTGAAAACCATTTTTTTTAAGTTTATTTGGAAATATTTGGTTTTCATATGAAACGTACGCATCTGGTGAACTTGGATCATGTGCAATATGATCAACCCAGCGTAGAAGTCCAGAACGAGTTGCAACGAATGACAATTTCACTCCAAACATCTGATAGCCTTGTCTGTAAACAGGATAGAATGTATTAGGAAAATGTGTCAGATCCACTCTTGATCGTTCCTTTTGGCGCCTTTAACAAGCTCATCATTTTTGATCGATTAAAAAAAAGCAAGCAACCGCAGTTGAAGTTGAGAACCATTTTACTTTATTTTTCAAGTGATATAATCAGAGATTGCATTTCTGCTGCTGAGTAGGCCTGAGCTGAGCTGAATTTGCTAACTCAGGCGCCTGGAGCGTTATTTTAACTCATTCACAGTACAAAATTCATATTTCCAGCCAGATCAGCCTCAAATTTGACTTGGCAAATTTGACTTGGCTGGGAATATGTACTGTGAATGCGTTAAAATAACGCTTCAGGTGCCTGAGTTAGCAAATTCAGCTCAGCTCAGGCCTACTCAGCAGCAAATATGCAATCTCTGGATATAATCAAACAAGATCTTCAATGATTCGAAAGAACAGAACCGAATTTGAACCAAATGGAAAATGTATTGAAAATGAACGGGACTGTCGTTCAACAGAATAGAAGCTTTCATCTCATTCATTTTTTAGATTTTTTTTGGATGAAATTGGAGAATATATTTGTAAATATATCTTCCATATCTTGAAATTGGAGAAAAGTACAGAAGCGATTGCTTTGAATCGATTGCTTGCCTTTTAGGTCAACACACCAAACCAAATTCGTTTATTGCCTATATCGTAAATTTCTAGCGACTAATTCAAGATTGATTAGTCAAAAGTGCGTTATTTTACCTGTGCAGCAAAGCCATTAATGTGGCGATTGGACTTGAATTTTGCATTTAAATTTAAATAAGTGAATAATAATGATAATTTGTGTGCTCATTAGTGAAAATATTTAAAGAAAAATTGATTAAAGTGTGGATTAAAGTGATTGGAAAGAAAATTTGATTAATTCTTTGGTTAGTGAAAATAAGTGAATAAAATGAAAATCATCAAACATTCATCTCATAAAGAAATTATAAAAATCTCACAAAAGATACAAATTCAAACGAAAAATAAATAATTTGCTTCCGAATAAAATTGGTGGAAAAAAGTTTTCTTTCAATGATATTGATCACAAAACCACAAATCAGAAAAAAAACTAAAAATTTCATTCCATCAAAAATGTACGATAATGTTTACTCACTGTTTATCTTCTCGTCGCGGTGGATGCGACGGCTGATCCAGTGCATCGGTGACCATGGCATCACGAACTAAACTCTGGACTAAATAACGGTCACAATAGTATGGTTCGGCTTTGCGTGAGCCTTGTCCATTGTTTCCATTGTGATGGGCATGATGACCGCCAATGGGTGTTGCACCATTGTGACCGAAATGGGGAACAGGTGATCTTGGTCTCACCGACATCCATTTCCAGCGCGGTCGCCCCGCCCGTGCCAAGAAATGCAACACTTGGTCTTCGGCCGTGTCAAAGCTTGTCCGATCGTCAAGTGTTGACGATGCTTCGCCGGAATTTTCACGTTCCTTTGCGAAATCGTACAAGCTATTGTATTCGCAGTAAACCCTGCAAAGCGAAGCAAAGCAAAAAAAGGTGTACGTTAGCATTTGTCTTTAATTATTCAACATTTTCCTAATGAGAAAATTTTTCGCAGATTAAAAAAACGTTTAAATAGAATACTCACCAATCGGGATGAACTCGCCAAGTTGTACCTTTCAAGTATTCGGTTACTAAATGGAATACGAAATACGGTTAGTGAAACGATTTACAATGCATCATTTGTGCACTTCATACACTTACCGTTTTGATGCGAGTGACGAATCTCTTCCTGCGAACTCAACTCATACATTCCATATTTGTCAGGCAATGCAATGGCCAATGTAAAGGGAGTACCATCAATCGGACCATAAAAGTATCTATAAATCGAAGAAAAATTAGAAAAAATATCGTGTGGCGTGAGAAAAGAAAAACCGATTGGTTCACACAGACACACAATGAGATGCCATATCGTCAATACGTCAAATGCATTTCAAATTTGGTGTAGCATGCGACATTACAAGTAATTGATTTTTAGTTTGAATGTCAACAAACCTTTGTGTACGTGTTGAAACTCGTTTCATATCGTCCGAATGCGTCAGCAGCGAAAATTCCATTTCGCCCTCTTTTTGAAGTACCATCTCATGTCGCATCTGATAGTTTTAAAAAATACGAACGAAGGACAGCGGCAGCAGCAGGAGAAAAAAGCGCATGTGAAAAGAGAACATGTGAATTAGGTTTTCTTGATAAACATTTTTAGCCAATTTTTGTTTTTTCTATTTTTTTTCTGGTCCGAATTTGAGTTTGTCGCTTGATAGAACCAATCTTGGATCAAATAAAATGTGTCTCTGCAAAAATGAAATCTGTCACATTTTCCCATGTGTATACGATGTGTGTGTGTGTATGTTTCTGCTATCTCCTTGTTTCCATTTGGTGTCGCGTGTATTTGTTCTGTGCCACACTAGGGAAAAAGTGTCCGCTGCCAAATTTGGCGGAAACTCTCACTATCAATTCGATAAAATGGCATTTGAAATAGATTTTAAAATTCAACGGATATCGCAGAAACTTATAAATTCAACGCTTAACAAGAAACAACTTTAACCCAGATATACAGCAAATACCGTATTGCCTTAGCCGGTCTGGTTCAAGTATTCATGTAATATGTTGCGAATGAAGAAAAAAAAAATCAACAACAGCAAAATTCCCGTGGAATGTGCTGTTAGAACGGCAGCAAAATCAATAGTTTTTAGTGCATAATAAAATAAAAATCACAAATAAATAGGAGGGAACAGTTTGTTCATATAAACGAAAAAAAAGAAGAGATTTTCTAAATGCACTGGGGGAAAAATGGAGCGTTTACATGCTTGAAATTCCTTAAGACTCTTATATCACGTATTTGTAATAAATTTTCTGCGAAGTGAAAAACAACATACACACACATCAGCAGTAGGGAAACGTTGCAACACTTAAAACTCTTGGCAAAAACGAAACGAAAAAATAAAACATGAAAAATAGAGAAGACGAAGAAAATATAGCACGAACGTTCGTATAGAGCGACACAAAGCAACAAAAAAACAGATTCGATATCCAGTAAATGCACAAATCTCAACAAAATGTCTGATGATATACGAACATCAAGCAACATGTTGGTATTCTCATCCATTCGCTCCCTTTCCATGTCACTGTTTGCTATGGTATTCACATCAGTTTCGGGTAGTTCCACTTCAGTCACATCGATTGAACTGTATTTCGGTTGTAGTGTATTGACATATTGCAATTTGTCGTCCTGCAAAGAAGAAGAAAATAGAAGAAGATTGAGATGCTACACTATTCAGTTTTGGCAAAATCTTCATTCAATTTCGCCTGTCGAACAATTTGTACATATGTATGCAGCATTCATACATATGTACAAATTTTGCGTGCGCTAAGTGAGCCATTGAAATGCGGAAATGCTATGATTGAACATGTCATTTAATTACCGAAAGTCGCAGGTCAGGGTGATAAAGTACTTTGCCATTGTTGTCCACTATGAACGAATATCCATTTGCGCCGAGCTACGGAGACAAGGAAATGCACAGGAAAACATTTGAAATTGACAGTTCAAATGGACTGAATGAATTCAATTTGACTGACACCCTCTCCCCATCCATCCAACGGTTGCGGAAGAGTATTAGAACCATTTCAAATTTTCGCTTACTTTGTATTGTGGTATCATTTTAACAATTTCCTCAATGGACACATCAGCACCCACCACTCCAAGTAAATTGGCTTCACGAACCGAATGATTTCTGCGGTCAAATACCGGCGTCGATACTGTCGTCACCAATCGCCGTTGGCGTTCATTTACATAGCCAATATTACCACTTGGACCGCCGAGAAATACGGGACTCCAATGAATCGGATGATCGGCTTGATACAATACCATCGGTCGTGCCATTACCAGCGCATAATCAACAACTCGAGCTCTGGCGTCTTCCGGTGAATTGATTTGAGCATAGAATCCTGTATGAAAATTCGTTTTTTTTTTTTAATTTTTCATCAACACATTTGTCTTTCTTAGCGAAAACTCATATGAAAAATGAAAATGTAATTTCAAATGACCTTTATTCGAACATGCGATGCCTTGCATACTTTCACGACTGCCTGATGCACCACCAATTAAATATGTGAAAATTCGGACTGGTCGATGTGGCCAATTATAGCGTTTTATTATCTGAAAATAGATTCACACGTTCACCAAAAGTTCTTCAACTCTCTAAATAAAACCTCAAAATTGTAAACCTCTGAATGTGTCTCGGTTGTACCGTCCGTAATCAACATGATGGCTTGGTTGCATTGACTACCCAAACTCGATTGGTTGTACTGTGTAGAATGAATGCAAAGTAGTTTAAAAGTTAAGAAATGTCGACAATTTACACTTTGATTGGATGAAATTCATACCCGATGCAGAATTTCAAAGGCATATTCAAATCCGGATGTAAAATTTGCCACATTTTCACATTTTATTGCTTTAACAGCATCTTTCATCTCCTTGACATTGTCGGCATAGGCTCGAACCTGAAAAATTGGAGTTAAACATTTCGATGAAATAGACCATGGGTTGGTCGAATCGAAAATCGGAAAATCAATTTGTCAAAAAATTTACCATTTTGTCCTTGAAACATGGTACAACCGATCTGGTTTTGTCGGAGAATGCAATCAAATTGACAAAGTCATTGTCGCTCAGAGTGTCGAGAATAGCTGACACAGTGGTAATGGCCAGCTCAAATGATTTGCCTGACATTGAACCAGAAGCATCCAACAGAATCATCTAAAAACATTAACAGATTTATTATCCGAATCCATTTATCACAGAATTGTTTCTCTCTCCATTCGGAAATATTTATTCAACTCACGATATCTTTGGGCGATGATGCAGCTTGTATGAACCAATCTTGTGTGCGAAAATCTTTGACCGGTTTCTTTTCGGTGGAGCCAGCATGTGGCCACGGTGTACCTGGAAAGCGTCGTATAAAACCCGATGTTGAGCCAAAATATTGCCAAGAAAGTGCTGCATCACGTTCCAAGTTGTTTGCAAATATTGGATCCAAATGCGCTGACCACGCAACTGATGACTGAACATTGGATTCTGTATGTTATTCGATAACAATGAAATGAATAATTCATCGAATAAATTTTTTCGGCTTATGGGTGTGTGTTTTTGTTGTTGTTGGGTGAATAAATAAATTCGTCTATTGTTTTCATACCGCTTAAACTGATGCCGGCCGGTGCAAGAACTGAACTGTGCGTCAAATTCACAATTAGCTTTTCAAAGCGTCGCATTGGTTTTGCTGGAAATTCCTTGCCATCGTCCGACATGTAATCGTTCATATGCCTCGTATCATACAGGCGATGCGACATTTGCGATTGAGCTTGATGATGATGATGATGTGCTGAGTCGCGTTCCGATTCGGATAATGCAGCTTGTTCAGCTGTTTCCATCACTCTCTGTGTGTATGTGCGCGTATTCGAAAAACAAAAACGGCCAAATAGGAAATTGCAATTTGAACAACATGACCGGAAGATAATAAATCTTCCAACGAAAATGAGGTGGGGAATGGGAAAGATTCTTCTCTCTGTTCAATTTTTTTTCATCGCACACACCAAAAACAAGCAAAAACAGAATTATGATACGATTACAAAAAGCGTCGCTTCTTTGATTTAAACCAGTGGGTGGGTAAGTCGTAACGCATCTCATGAAGAAGAAAATTTAATTAGCATTACATAAATTTGCTCATGACGCACCCGAACCAACATAAAATCAGTGCGAAAAACCATTTTCATGTTGAAATTCTGTGTTTGCTGTGGATGTATATGTGTTTGTGGGTGGGTTGGTTGCTTGCTTGCTTGTGACTTTTGCTTATCACATGCAAATAAGCAAAATAATAAAATGGTTAGAGAGAGAGAGGGAGAAAAAAAAGAGGCATAGAGAGACTGGGACGAGAAACACTGAAGATGATGTATATGTTACATTTAAACATGCACACACACATACAATATGAATGAAATAGGATAAAAAAAACTTCGGAATCTCTGCACTCACTAAAACTGCATTCATTTTAAAATCCATGAAGTTTTTCACTTCAGCCGTCAGTTCACGTAGCAGTATTATGCCGTTCTTGCGAATAACTTCTCCATCCAAGTCCTTGTATTTCTGTTCAGACGAAACAGGCAAAAATAATAATAGTAAAAATAGAAGAAGAAGAAGAAGAATAGGAAGAATAAGTGCATATATAGAGTAATCAGTTATGCAAACTTTAAATTCAAATATATATAGGTATATATGTTTGTGAGTATAAAATAGTGTACGCGCATTTGATTGGGGCACATTCTATAGAACTATTGTTGTGCCCACTTGGTACGTTGTACGCTATAAGGTTTACGATGGCAAAATTCATTCGTTTATGACTTGGAATGATTTCATTCAATTTACAATTACTTTACACATTTTCTTATTTTCCAAATTCTTTCAATGTTTGCAAAAATAATTAATTCGTTGGAAAGAGACTTTCTTAAGGCGGCCAAAAATCTTATATTACAAATTCAAATGTTCTACTTTCAAGTCTGCTGAATGTTGATTTTTTATGTTCGAGACCGTAACATTAAATATTCGTCAATAAAAAAAATGGCAAAAAAAAACGATTTGGGTTCACGCCGTTCCATTCGATTCAATTCGGTATATTGATTTATTCCATTGAGAAAAAAAAATTGTTGATGTCTATAATTACATATGTCTTTATAGCTTTTGAGTCTGCGAATCTTTTTTGGAGTGAACATTGAACAACCCATGAAAGTAGACAGCCGAAACGAAATGTGATAGAGTGAGAAAGACATAAATTTGCAGTATCGTGCCAATGGTTAAATGTGTGTGCATTGGAATACGCTCAGGTAAAAGTAACAAGTGCCGTATGCAAATTCGTTCGACATGATAGAAGCGCAAAAATGAAAAATTATGGCGAGACGATGGAGCAAAAAAACACCTACCCCGTCATGTATGTGTGTCGCTGTTTTCATTTTTCATTCCATTTTGCGAACTGTCGAAGTTATTATTTGATATTTTGTTGTTGCCATGCCTTTTATACATTGAATCACATCACATCACATCACATCGAATGAAATTAAATAACGACGATGCTTCTGATGTAAATTATGAAGAAATGTCTGCCATTTTGTACGTGTCAAATGATTTACCCATTTTTAGTCTAATTTTTCGTTTGTTTTTTTTCTTCTTCTTCTTTTTCGATTCTTTTTTTGGTGGAGAAAAACTTTTCTTCCCTCAGCAACTGAACATTGAAAATAAGTCAAACACTTACATTTCGAATCTCATTCATTTTCGTAAACTGTCGGCCAAATTCCCAGAGATCAACGCCAAACTTCAGTGCCCAATTTCGTACTCTGAAATGGAGATGAAGAGAGAAAAAAAATATGTATAAGTGCAAAAGAAAAGAAAAGTTAAATTCGTTATTCAACGTAGAACAGATGGTATGTATAAAAATTTACATATTTCGTTCCCTACGTAAAGCAAGTTTTTCTTTTTACTGATTTACGGTGTGCGCGGTGCGAGTGCGACGATGACGAAATATCTCACATTCAGTTGAGTTCTGAAGGTGAGAAAATATGAGTCGCCCTCCTCCCTTCAACAGGCGTACGCATAAAAGCAGTAGCGTAGAAATATCAATAAAGCGAGAGCATAAAGCAGAACAAAAACAAAACGACGAAGTACAGAAATGCACAACTTCCTCGTTGACAAAGAGGGCGACTATATTTATACAGGTTCTTTTTTGTTGTCTGCCATTTCCAGCATCAAACAAACGATGCTCAAAATACATGATAATGTTAGACGCGACTCCCTAAAAGCATGGCATGTCAATGACTTATTTTACATAGAAATGTGTCGCGCGAATATTTCTCGCAACACTCCAGATGCCTTGATTGTGATCAGTTAATTGAGTTAAACATCAAGATTGTAAATGGTGAAAATAATATGCTATTTTTAGTTTTGCACGGACAAACACAAATAGAATACAATGTGCAATGTACTTGAATTCATCATCAAGTTAACTTTGAAAAAAAAAGAGAGAGAATTCCATGATTTACCATGGAATTTAAGTGAATATGGCATAAACTGGTTTACATTTTATACAAACGATTTTGTGACTCGAGCACGAAAATTATCGTGGTCGTAACCAAGAGAACGATTTGTATGGTGCAGCACTTCGTTTTGATTTCGTATCAAGAACTCAATGAATACTACGAACATACACCCTACAGCTCTCTCTCTCTTTCTCTCTCTCTCTCTCTCTCTCTCTCTCTCTCTCTCTCTGTGTGTGTGTGTGTGTGTGTGTGTGTGTGTGTGTTCGCAAACACGATGTGTGAATATAAATGTTGTAATAATTTTGAATGAGAGATAGATCTAGGAGAAAATAGAAAAATCAAACAAAACAAGACAAGACGAAACAACCCCTTTTCGAAATATGAGCCATAAACACTCACTTCGAACTCTCTCTCTCTCTCTCTCTCTCTCTCTCTCTCTGATCGAAATGTACGTGAAATACATTTCACAAAAATGACTTGATTTGTCGTTGTGCGATAAGGAATGGAATTGCGTTCATTTCCTTTCGTTGGCTGTCTCTGAAAGAATGCAATAATATGTCGACAATGAATAAAATGTTGTCGCGTGCATTCAGCGAAAAATAGAGATAGAGAGAGAGAGAGAGCGAGGACAAAAATGTGGAATCTAGACCAAACCAAAGTTGTGCATTGCAATTAATGATAAAAGCGTCTCTTTTTTCCTCCCTGTTGTTGTTATTGCTGATGTTGCTGCTGCTGTTGCTGGTGCTTTTCTGGTGAGAAAGCACTAGCTTGTGCTATTAATGTACTTTAGATAGGACAGTTTACATGTAGCCCGGGGCCTTAGATGTGAAATCACACTTGAACTAATTTCTCTCTGACTCTGTGGGATTCTCGAGAACGTAAGCGCGGCGCACCAGAGCAAAAAACAAACATATAACACGAAAGATTGCGTGTGAACAAAGCAAAGAAGTTGAAAATGACGAATGAAAATATGAACGAGTAGAGAGCAAGAAAAAAATTAAATGTTTATTAGAAAACGGATGCCGAATTGGAGAAATGATATAAAGTTTTCGCATGGAATTGTTGATCCAGTTTTTGGTGTGTTGGCGAAAGCAGCGAAAGTGTGTGTTTTGTATGACTTCAGTTGCACAACTTTCTCGGATATATTGTTTCGATGATATCGAATTTTTCGGCTGTTTCTCCCTCTGTGTGTCCCTTTTCCACTCTCTCTCTCTCACACACACACACACACAATCTCAAACAATACCAAATGCGCCCGTTTCATACCGTCGTATCATGCCGGAATTTTCATTTGATCTAAATCATTTTCTTTGTTGTCGCAACGGAAAAACAAAGTTTAAATTATTATTGCAAGTTTCATGTTGCCGTTGTTGTTTCCTTTTTTTCCCTCTCTCTTGCTTTGCCTTCGAGACCGAACCGAACCGACACACACAAGCCAAAAACCAGTCGTGCACATTTCTAACAAGCTGAAAATTTAAACACCGCTTGATTTTGTGCCACATTTACGTGTTCTCTCGCAACAATATCGTTTTATTTTCAGTCGTTGCAAAACTATTGCACACGGCCATACGGTTTCAATGCCGAAATGTAGAAGTTTTTTGTGCGCTCCACCGCTGGTATGTATGTTGCTGGTTTCTTTCTTTCTTCTTTCTTTCTTTCGGTACGACCGTGTATGTGTGTGTGTGTGCAACGCGCGACAACACAAACCCCATAATACCGCACATAAACAGAAGCAAAATTGTTGGGATATTGCACTTAAGCTGCTTGTGTACGATATTTTATACGCAAAACTGTCAAAATAGCCCGAATGACAAAGCCAAAGACACAACTCTTTCTTTTTCATATTTTCCCTCTATTGCATTTTGTTGCAAGTCTTTTTATCATCCTTTTGGATAGTTGGTAGTCGAATGAGAGAGAAAGAGAATAGGACGAGCAAAGATAAGTACTTTGTGTGTGTGTGTTTCTTTTTAGAACAATATGAGGGCATAACAATGATTATAATAATTTTTAAAAGTCAATTTGATGGCACTCATTTTTGAATTGATTGAGGTGTAAGCCATTTGGTTGCACAAACTTTCGAAAGCTTTGATCCTGCTCGCTTTCAACAGTTCAAGAGGCCAACAGTCGCCCTTCTTCATGCCAACGGCTCATTTTGCGAGAATGAGAATGAAAACGTCGAAATTGGCTGTGTAGTGTTACAAATCTTGATGCAATATATATAGAATATTTCTTATGCAACACTGGAAAAAAAATCAAAATGCCTGCCACAAAATTTCCCACAGATAAAGGACATTTCTTAAGACGCATAAATTGCAAGAACATCGCAAAGATTTCCTTATTGAATTTTCCAGCAAAGTGTTGAAGCGCATACACATTCGGTTGAAAACGTATGATGAAACTTTGTCTGTTGCCATATGGTCGTTTTTCGCCCGCTTGAAATATGGAATGCTGTACGATGCCTCTCTATCTCACTCTCTCTTCTTACGCTGGGATGTTGAATTGAAAATGCTATACGTATAAAATGTATGTAAAGAGCGACGATGGCGACAACGACGACGATGATGATGAAGAAGGAAGAATCGATAGGGAAGTAAGAGAAAAATCTCTTGGCAAATAGATTGGGTATTAAGGGCTCAGAAATATTCAAACAAGTTTTGAGATGAATTGCATTTTCTTGACTATGACTAAGTTTGCGGTGTGGTGCTGTTATTATCGCGTCTGGCTGCGCTTTCTCTCTCTATCGCTCAATCTGAATTTTGTAGGTAAATAGATGCATCTAAAAGCTCCTTCTCTCACCGTTTTTATTCATATTTTTCGTCATCTAGTTTTCTCAAACAAGTGACACACACAAAAGTGCAGCATCTTTAAGGTAAGGTGGCTTGTGTTGGCACTACGAGAGACACCGAACTGCGGCATTCGTGTTAAAATATGGCAGTGTTTGGTCGGTGAACTTAGCATTGTGATGATATATGGCGATGAAATTATGGTTGGTTTTGTACATGCCTGCATGTCTGTGCATACGATGAAATTCTTATTTTCGCCCCTGGTTGGTGTGAGTGTCATATCGAAGCGAATTTTGCTGACATTTTTGGTTTAAATTTCTCGTGTTTTATTTGATTGGGCTCGAGTAAACAAATGATGGGCTTCAAAATGAAAACTTCAATTTTTCTTTCAATGTCTCTCTCTCACTCTGTGTGCGTCTGTCTCCGTTTTTCTCTGTCTCTCTCTCTCTCTCTGTGTGTGTGTGTGCGTCTCCGCCGCCGCTCCGTTTCGTCTCTCTGATTCTTTTCGGTTCTTCCGTGTGCGAAAACTTTCTTGAAAATTTCAAACATGTCCGTCATTTCAAGGAGAGAGAAATCCGCCAGTTTTCTGCGAAACATACAAATCTTCATGGTCCACGAAATACGATTTGATATAATTCCATACACATCAATTTGAACTCGCATCGATAGCTTCGAATGGAAAAAGATATGGATTCTTCGTTTTGGACGGGCATCGTGTGTTTGAATTTATATGTATGAGTGAGTGTGCATGCCCGTGTATATATTTGTGCGAGCAAGAGTGTGCGGTGTTTTATGGATAGGTACAAGTGATGGATAATGCTAGTGTAAACGTAAATGTATCTATGTGTATGAATGATAAATGGTGCGGAGTGCCCAAATTCAGAGTACGTGAGCTTTTATCGTTCGATTGAGCTCGACATTCCAACAGTTTTAAGTAAGTTAGTGCCTTGCACGCGCGCGGCGACGATACGTGCGGAGAACGAGGAGTGAGGATATGGATAGCAGCCGAAAACATGCTCTCATTTATGAAAATCTCTGATCATTAAATACATTTGTTGTTGTTGTTGTAGCCGATTTTTTGTTCCCTCTCTTCGGCAAGCATAAATTAAGTCCAATAAAGCACTCCTGATTTTATTACGAATCAATATGTGGCGAAACACCGAAAAACGAACTGACGACGACGGCCGTCACCGCATACAAAACTAAATCAGAATTTTTTGAATTTCTAATGAAGTGATGGAAATGTGTGCATGCAATTCAAATAAATTGCTCCACTTGACCTATTCATTAAGTGGATTTCGGATGAATACAAATAAATACAAAACGAGTGAGAGAGGGATAGAGAATGAGAGAGCAAAAAAAACATAACGATTCACTTGACAACCGACTTGACACAGCAAATACACCATAATACCGTTGACTGAATGACGATACACAACACACACACACATATTACATTTTACGAGGATAATTGTGAAAGCACATTTTTAGTCGTGTATCGATTAACCATTAGCAATGTTTTATTTTCGGTGCTTTGCCATTTCAACCACCATTGACTCAAGCGCTTCATCCACACCACTCAATATATTGCACTCTCTCCCTCCCACTCTCTCGATTTTACTCGTTTGCTCTTTTGTCGTCATTTTTCTTTCATTAACATCGGCTCTGTACGTTTTTCTTGTCTCTGTTTTCCGAGCGGCAGGGTGGTTTGTTGTTTGCCATTTATTCTTGCCATTTACTAGTGAATTTACTCGTCTACATGTTCACATTCATAGACATTAGACGACGACGACGTCGACACAGTGTTTGTACTATGCAATTTAATCGACATTCGTTTGTTGTTGTTGTTGTTGTTGCCGTTGTCGCTGTCGCTGCTCTGTAAAAATATGTCCTTGTCTCATTCGATGTTGTTCGTTTATGTCGTGTCTTCGGTTAACAATGAGGAAAAAATTGCAAAGGTGGAAACAAAGCAATGTCATGCAGTAAATTACGAATGCATTTGTGTGTGCTTTTTGCACGTATCACCTCATTCCCAAACACATCATTTCGAATCGCTTGTTGGCTAAATTGAAGAGCACTAAACAACATATCAACATACTTCTTGTTTCGAATTGTCGTTTGTCAAGATCGATTGGCAAAGGCTTCAAAAATGTAAGCGGTCGTTTGTTTCTGTTTCTCGTTGCTTTTTCCTTCCTCCACTGATAGCATTTCCGATATTTGCCCATAAATGTTTGATTTTTTTTTCTTCGCTCGCGAACGAATTCAATTATTATCTATTGATTTTTATTTTTTGGTCGTAAGGACATTTAAAATCGCTGTTCATATTCATTTTATTTGCATAAATTTGCGCAGTAGGACATTTGTAAATGGGAGTTTAGCGTGTTTGCACAGCTATTTTCCCATTCCAAGTGCTTTTGTAATTCAGGACATTTATGATTGCTAACAAAGTGCGAAACTAAAAATCCAGCTCACATTTGAACTGAAATGCAATGACATTTTTTGTGGATGTGCGCGATTCACATCATGTGAAATGCATTGTTCTGCGTTGGAAAATGGGGGAGCAAAGAAGCGTTCGCGCAATTGCCTTAAATGTGTATATAAATCAAATTCATCTGACATGTCAACTTACTCGTTGTGTGGTATATCCTCATCGCTGTCGGCTAGAATTAGCGAAAAATGCGCCAGTAAGGCTATTAATAACGACACCATTATTCTTCGATCCATTTTTTTTGTTCTTTCGATTTACAATTGTTTTTCGTGTGTTTTTCTCTCCTTCTTCTCTCTTTTATACTTTTTGAACACTTTACACTTGAATTCACTCGTTCGCTTAACCACTAAATTCAGTTTAGTCCAAAAGTAAATCTCTCGTTCAATAATAATATTTCGTCAACCATTCACGGTGTACACTTCCAAATGTAGTCGTTATCATTTTGTATATTATGATTAGGCTTTGATATGATTCGCATGTTTATTCGTGGTGTTTTGGTTTCCCCTTTGAAATTGATGATAATGACATTTTGTTACATTTGATATGAATGATTCTTTAAATGATTGCTAGTATCGCCGGCTTCGATGTATCATTGTCCGTTGTAAATTGCTCCTCTGCTGCCAATTTTCTATGTAATGATAGAAAATCACTGTCGGCGATTAATATTGTCATTTTCCGTAGCGTTAGATTTTAGTGGATATTATCCACCATAAATTAGGCGCATCGAGATAGTTAACACACATACATTTATTCACAAATATGGAACAATTTTGTGTTGGTTTTGAGCCGTTTGGGAATTGTAACACATCAAAGTGAGTCGCTTATATATGGTAACGGTGTTATTGATCTTTACGTACAATTATTATAATCCATGTATCGGCGAGTATTGTCAAATGTAATTGCTTACGATGTACCATACGTGATATTTGGTCCGTTAATGAACACTTTCACACACGCAGGCACCCATACACACACAATCCTTAGCGCTTGATTGAAAGTTGTCACGAAGATGTTGAATATTATTTGCTGCTCGAAGCCAAAATGAAGAGAGAAAAAAATACACAAAATTCACAAACACAATGAGCGAAAAAATGTGTATTCAAACGAAAATTTGCACAACATTCATGCTTAAAATCTCTTTTTGAATTGAATGCTTTTTTTCGTTTCACTTTTCACTGTGATAATCCCACAACACCCTGTGCTATGGTTAAAAAATTGATATGAACTGATTTGCTGCAAAAATAATCTCGTCTTCAAAATTTTGTGTTGTTTTATTGCTACAGCACATACGAATATTGTCACCGTGTAAATTGTTCCACTATTCCTATTTGCAAAATCACGACACTGAACACATTTTCGATTTTGATATTTCTAGAAAAAAAGAACTGACTCGTCGAAAACGAAAAAAAAAATTTATAATTCTTTCTGAATTCGAAGTGTGTTGTAATTTTCAAAATATTCGACGTGTTTTTTTCTTCTTCTCTCGATTAAATGATTTATTTCGCCAAAAAGAATGGGCGAATTGAAACTTTCATGTTTGCAGCAAGAAAAGAGATTACAAGAAGGGAATATATTGTCGAGAGAAAAAAAAATTTTACACACAGAATTTGGTTCGGATACTCGTCGTTCGTTCGTTCTTTTTTTTCTCTACTTCTTTCTCTATATTCAAACACACATATACACGAGGCAATTTTCTCTCGCTCACTCAAGGCAAAAAGCGCGTACAAACATTCTTGCACAGTTGTAAGTTTTTCATGGCAAGTGAAATAATGTTGCGCATGCGTGCCCTTCCCGTTTCCACCGAAACTCATGGTAAAACGCGTGAATGTGTGCCGTTGTCGTTGGATGTGTGTGTGAGAGAGTGAATGTCTGTACATGGCATGTACGATGGAAGAAAAAAAAATACATAAACCAAACATTTTCCCAACCAGAAAGCATACATAGGGTGCTTAATTCGCCCTTTTCGTCGCTATCTTTCATTTGCGAGTGTAATTAAGAATAGAAGCCAAACGCCGAACGTTTGTAAATCCCTTGGATAGAAAAAATGAATGGGCATGGTAAAAATGAACTAATTTTTTTCCATGGCAAATCAAAGTTCAACGAAACATTGCGATTCAAAAATACAATCGCATCAACAATGAACACCCTATGAAAGAGAGTCGACACATGCTGCGATGTCATGAAATACATGCATCGTATCCCTTTTCTATAAACTTTTATATTATAACACAGAACCGGAGAGTTGTCTGTGCGCCTTTTTTCCCATCGCTTTTTCGTTCGATGCCATTTTTTTCTCGGTGTTGTTATCTTTATCTATGTGATGCTTTATCCAAGAATCATAATTGTGATGAGGGAAAAAAAACGCACCAAGTAGAAGAGAGACAACCGAATACGCATACATACCATAAAAATTCGTAACATTGAAATGACAATAGGCAGGCTGGTGTTTGTGTTTGAGTGTATGTTTGAGCATGTGTAGCAATTCGATTGTGAGATTTAATATTCACTCACTCATATGTGTGCTCTTTTTAGTGTTCGATTCGATGTATCAGTATACGACAACACAACACTGAATACGGGATGAAAATGCGCCACTGGCATAAGTATTCGGATTTCACATCGTAATGTATATTATATTATGTGCATATTATATTTATATACATCATCAAAATACTATATCGAACGACATAAATGCCGTTTTCATAACGTACAACGGCACACACACAGAGAGAGAGAACACCAAAGCTAGATATATGTACGTGTGAGTAAGAGAGCTATAGAAATAGATATGAAGAGGGAGAGAGAGAGAGAACAAGCGACAATGAGATGAAATAACGTTCAGATTATGAAATTTGCTCTTGAGCTTTCTCTAATCGCCACACATTCCACATATCACAACTGTCCCGTCATCTTAACCACCCTCAATAATTGGATATTTACAAACGCCAAGGCTATGGATACGGATGATACATGTGTAAATGCAAAATGCTGTGCGAATGTGCATCGGGCGCGAATTATAATAGGCAAATACATTCAATGTATTCAAAACAAAAAAAAACACTGATGAATGCAATATGTAAAGTTTTCATTACGTACGAATGCCGAACAACTGAATGGACGTGATGATTGTAGCAGCTCAGTATGCTTGTCAACACCGAACAACGAAGAAAAGTTAAGCCAATCGTACTTTCCAATGGCATCAATGTCGCTGTCATTGATGCTGCTGATGCTGCTGCTGCGATTTCATGGCCCGAACAACACACGTACCACAATTATACAATCATGATGTCGCGTAAATACACTGAATTATCTTCGCATCAGTTTATGTACATCTATTTTTTTCTTCTTTTCTGTTCATTTGTGCTCTTTCGCACGGGTCGATGTGTATACAACATTTCGTTGGATGTCGTGCGAGCTCTTTCAACCGAACGGGTAGCAGAAGCAAAAAAAAACGCATACACAATTGAAACATTGTTATATTATCGAGCGAAGGATGTAAACGGTGAAATTACTATATTTATTCTCACCACATCTTATTTACTATATGTTTGACTGTTACCTATTTTATTGAGGAAAATGGTTTTTGGTGTCCGGATGGCAAACCATTTTTCTGATTGATGAACACCAATCGATACATATATCATGCATTGTTCTAACAAATCAGGTCAATTTCGATGCAAATGTGATATTATTTCAATTATCATTAATCATCTGGGAATTAAATACAATTTATCATTTCATTACGTACTGCATATATTACATCTTGTAATTTCAACCCCAATTACATGCGAAACAAATCCCAACCGTTGTCCACTTGCCATTTTTTTTTCTTTCTTCAAGGAGCATTTTTTTCAAGGCACTCCACTTGTTTTGGATTTTTCTGAATTCAGTAACGACCATCACATAACCTCAATCCGTTTGACATTTTCATTGCGGCGGTGTCGGCTGACTGGTTGTTGTTGACAATTAAAATAGCAAAGAACGCGTTAGTAGGTTAAAAGAAACAAACATTATTTTGTTTCATAAATTTTTGAAAATAATTCGGAGAAAAACAATGAGATCGCATACGAAATAAATGAACAAGACAAATACATTAGAGAAAAAGTGCATCCATAGAATTTGTTTAGAATAAAAGTGAATTTATTGCAGTTTAAATTGGCACCATGTTTTCGGTGTGTAGGCAAACACATCCGGCAACCGGTATCGAACACTCAATATCTTGTCGATTTTTTAACAATTACGAAGAGAATATCGTGACGGCCGGTGCAAATATACTGAAAGTATTCCGAATTACACCCGATGTTGAGCCAAATACGACGGAAAAATTCAGCGGTAAGTTTCGCGAAAAAAGAGAAAAAAAATGTCTGTAACCATAAGGTGTTGAAATGTGTCAATGGTTTTTGTTCTTTGTAGATCTTCGGCCGCCGAATATGCGCTTGGAATGTGTTGCAACGTATGAATTATTTGGAAATGTGATGGCCATTCAGTCGGTATCACTGTCAGGATCACAACGAGATGCTCTTTTGATCGGGTTTAAAGACGCTAAACTATCGGTCGTTCAACATGATCCAGACAATTTTGAACTGAAAACATTGTCACTGCATTATTTCGAAGAGGAAGACATCAAAGGTGGATGGCTCGGCAATTATTGTGTTCCCATCATCAAAGTTGATCCCGACAATCGATGCGCGGTTATGGTCATCTATGGCAAAAAATTGGTGGTACTTCCATTCCGTCGTGATAGCTCACTGGACGAAATCGAAATTCAAGATGTCAAACCCATGAAAAAGACACCATTACAACTCATTGCACGTACACCGATTCTCGCTTCATACATAATCGCATTGAAAGATTTAGATGAAAAAATCGACAATGTTATTGATATCGAATTTTTGCATGGTTACTACGAACCAACACTTCTCATTTTGTACGAACCGGTTCGAACGTTTCCCGGGTAAGCAAATTGAATTTCACTTGGAATTTTCAACATTTTGCCATTTCTAACCATTGGTTCTCGATTCCAGTCGAATCGCTGTTCGAAGTGATACCTGCACAATGGTCGCAATTTCACTCAATATTCAGCAACGCGTCCATCCTATCATCTGGACCGTTACCAGTTTGCCATTCGATTGTCTCAGAGTTTTGTCGATAAAAAAACCAATCGGAGGATGCTTAGTTGTTGCGATAAACTCGTTGATCTACCTGAATCAGAGTGTACCGCCGTACGGTGTTAGCTTGAATAGTATCGCAGATCACAGCACTAGTTTTCCGTTAAGTAAGTCCAGGCGTAATTAGTAAGAAAAAGGATATTTTTGTATTAACGAGAGGGAATTTCATTCACAGAGCCACAAGACGGAGTGAAAATCAGTTTGGATTGCGCTCAGATAGCATTTATTGGTGCTGATCGTTTGGTACTATCGCTTCGTGGTGGCGAATTGTACGTATTGACACTATGTGCTGATTCGCTACGATGCGTGCGAAGTTTTCATTTTAATAAGGCAGCGTCAAGTGTACTGACCTGTTGCGTAAGTTTAACTTTGTTGACATTTCACTTTTTAAACTTACACTTTTTTTTTGCAAGCAAAGCTGTTTTAATTCATAGTGTCATTTCATATTCTAAATTCAACTTGTATCAATGTGTATGAATCATGCCAATTCAACGTTATGAATTGCATTTTTCATTGGCACCAAGTGTAAATAATCTTCACTGAAGATCCTAATGATTGAATTCAATTTCAGATGTGCGTGTGTTTGGAAGAGTACATCTTTTTGGGATCTCGTCTTGGAAACTCTTTGCTGGTTCGATTCACTGAAAAAGACCAAAACACAGTTATTACAATCGATGACTCGGACATTTTGGGCAAGGAGAAAGAAAAAGGTACAAAAGATGAGAGAATTGAGAATTTATAGGGAATTTCATGAAATAGCGAATTGAGTCAGATGAGATGTAATTGCAAATAAATAATCAATTTGGATTGATCTATTTTGTAGAGACAAATAAACGTGAGGAAGAGCTGGAAGTATATGGAAGTGGCTTGAAGACATCTGTCCAACTGACTAGTTACACTTTTGAAGTTTGTATTCCGTATAAATTGCTATTGAATTGAAATTGAGCTATGTATATCAGTGTACTAATACCAAATGGCATCATTTTGAACTCACCAGGTGTGTGACTCTTTGGTGAACATTGCGCCAATTGGTAGCATGACAATTGGAGAAAGAGGAGTCAACGAAGAGGAGGAAGGTAAAGAAGAAACAAAAGAATCTAGTGAAAAGCCAGAGTTGGAGATTGTGACATCCAGTGGCCGTGGAAAGAATGGTGCACTTTGTGTGCTCCAGCATTCAATCAAACCGGTGATGCTTACATTTATTCCGTTCCCTGGTAAGTTGTGTTTATTCCAATTTCGAAACGAAATGTACAGAAAAATAATTGATAACCAAACTGAAATCAAACAATTCCATTCAAAGGTTGTCATGATGTATGGACAGTTTTCAATGAAGCACCACAAAAGACATCAATGCATTCATTTATGATATTGGCTCAAGAGGCGTCAACTACGGTAAGGATTTGAGTAAAATTAGTCGATTTTCTTAATTGACTAAGTTTTTTTTTTCGTTAAAAAGGTGCTTCAAACTGGTGCTGAAATCAATGAAATCAACAACACTGGATTCTGTTGTAGTCAAACTACCATTCACGTCGGCAACATTGGCCGTTACATTGTCCAAGTGCTCAGTCGGAGTATACGTTTGCTACAAGGCATTCGACTATTGCAGAATATTCAAATTGATAGCGACAGTCCAATTGTTCAGGTTTCAATTTGTGACCCATATGTTTGTGCTCAAACACAAAGCGGAGCAGTCATTACATGGGCTCTGAGAGATTCGAAAGGAATGTCACGGTTGGCAATGAATAAAAATGCCATCAGCAGCGTAAGTAGAGATTTTTAATATAGAACAATTGATTAGCGTCCAAGTTAATGCCGTTTATTCATGTAATTTTAGTCACCGGCGGTCATTGGATTGTGTGCTTACAAAGATGTGTCGGGATTGTTTACGACTAAAGTGGAAGATTATTCTGATCCGAATTCAACTACTAATCAATCATACAACGGTTCTGGATTTGGTTACATGAAGCCAGAGCCCAGCAACATGAAAGTCGAAGATGAAGAAGACTTGTTGTACGGCGAGAGTGGCAGTTCATTCAAAATGAATAACGTAAGTATTTCCAGCATACAATCAAGGATCCAATGAAGCAAAAAATGCTTCCCATTGAATAAAAACTCACGCATAACCTCAATTTTAGTTGGCCGATCTGGCGATACCATCAAATACAAAAAAATCCGACTGGTGGAGGCGTTTTATCCAACCGAAGAAACCATCATTCTGGCTATTCGTTATCCGTGACAATGGCAACATGGATATTTACTTTATGCCCGACATGAAATTGGCTTACATTGTGAATAACGTTGGCGAAGGCAATCGATATCTCTCCGATTCAATGGAATTTGTTCCGTTGATGTTAAGTCAGAATGGAAATGCCAACATGGATGGATCATCGTATCAAACGTGCAACATGTCTACGATGCCAACGGAGATCTTTATTGTTGGGCTTGGTTGCTACGGCCGTCGACCGTTACTATTCATACGAACAAAAGTCGATTTACTTATCTATCAGGTAACATTGGATTTTAAACATCTAAAAAATGAGTCACTTTCAAGACTTTCCAATTTTAAATTATTTATTTCTCTGTCACTCTGTTCCTCCTCTGTCACTTTAGGTTTATCGCTATGCTCGTGGGCATTTGAAAATTCGATTCCGTAAAATGCGCCATGGAATGATGATTCCAATGTCTGACAATCCGGCTAAAATGGAAATCGATGAAGAGGGTCTCATTGTTGGTGTCACCAATCGCATTCGAACTATTCGATATTTCGGTAACTAATTGACTTTTTCTAATTAGGATTTTTAATTTAAATTTGTTTTTGTTTAAATAGAAAACATTTCTGGCAACAACGGAGTGATCATAACTGGTGACAAGCCACATTTAGTCATGTTAACATCAAACGGTGAATTACGAACGCACCAATTCCATCATCAAGTGGTTATGAAAAGTTTTGCTTCGTTCAATAACTTGAATTGTCAGGGTGGATTGATCTATTTTGATCATCAAAGCAAACTACAAATCGCAAAATTCCCACATTACTTAACCTATGATTCACACTGGCCGCAGAGAAAGGTACCGCTGCGTTGTACACCAACTATGATTGTTTATCACAAAGAAAGTAAAGTCTATTGCGTGGCAACCTATACCGAAGAGGAGTGTAGAAGCTACTTCCGTTTCAACGGTGAAGACAAGGAGTTAACTGAAGAAAATAAGGGCGAACGATTCATTTACCCAACGAAACCACGTTTCGAGGTGATTCTCGTGGCACCATACGTATGGGAAATCGTACCGGACACATCGATACAACTGGATGATTGGGAACATGTTGTATCATTCAAAAATGTTCACTTGGCTTATGAAGGCACACGCCATGGATTCCGCGAATACATTTGCATCGGAACCAATTACAATTACAGCGAAGACATTACGTCCAGAGGACGAGTACGTTACTTTTGATATTTTGAATATTTTGATTCTTTCGAAAGTTTGTACTTTGGATGGACCATTGTAGACAAAATAACATTTTTTCTAAGTTTTGACTAAGAAAAAAAACTTTTAATTTCAGATTTTACTATACGACATAATCGAAGTTGTTCCCGAGCCCGGCAAACCGTTGACAAAATTCAAGTTCAAAGAAATTTATGTGAAAGAACAAAAGGGACCGGTGTCAGCAATTTCACATGTGCTCGGTTTCCTTGTCACGGCCGTCGGACAAAAGATTTATCTATGGCAATTGAAAGACAACGATTTGAATGGAGTCGCTTTCATCGATACAAACATTTTTGTACATCAAATTATTTCGATAAAATCATTGATTCTCGTTGCTGATATGTATAAGTCCATTAGCCTACTTAGATTCCAGGTAAATTTGCGGGAAATGAGAGAGTTTACCATTTTTTTTCCATTCATCTTCAATTCTCATTGAATTTCATTCCAAATCACTTACTTTTGAATGGATTTAATTTATCGTTACTGATCGGTTTTACATTGAATTGTCTAACAGGAAGAATATCGAACTCTGTCTCTCGTATCGAGAGACTATAACCTGATGAATGTACTGAATGTCGAGTATATCGTTGATAGCACGAACTTGGGATTCATCGCATCGGATATGGAGGTAAGGATTTGAGTAAAATTAGTCGATTTTCTTAATTGACTAAGTTTTTTTTTAAAGGAAAATTTCATTTTATTCATGTATCAACCCGAATCGAGAGAGTCATACGGAGGCCAGAAGTTGTTACGCAAGGCTGACTATCACTTGGGACAACGAGTAAGCTCCATGTCCCGTATTCAGTGCAACTATACACGTATTTTGAATGCTAACTATGATAACAAGCACACCACATATTTCGGTGAGTTTACGAGAGACTTACTTTCATGTTTTTGAAAGCCACCTACAAGAATTGGTTTTCGACTTTCAACTAATTTTGTTCTAATTAATTGTTTCCATCTTGGTTATTTCAGCTACGCTTAACGGAGGTTTAGGATATCTACTTCCATTGCCTGAGAAAACCTATCGTCGATTGTTCATGTTGCAAAATGTGTTATTATTGCACATTGAGCACTTGTGTGGTCTCAATCCAAAGCAATATCGCACAATTAAGACAGCCCGTCGTTTGCCTACCAATCCAACGCGAAGCATACTCGACGGTGATTTGATTTGGATGTTTTTGTATTTGCCCATCAACGAAAAACAAGAAGTGGCCAAGAAAATCGGAACGAAAATGGAAGAAGTTATGGCTGATTTGATGGAAATCAACGATGTGACCTCGGTGTTCTAAGACGCCCAAAACCTTTTACTGTTCGTCACTTAATCGATAAGCTTAATTTTATAGATGAAAAACAAATTATTTCAAAAATGTTTGAAAAGACAAAATTGTTTTCTTTTCCCTCCTGACTTTTTTTTTTATTACAGTAAAAATATGATAATATATGGACATGATTTTTCGGCTGAATTTATGTTTTGAAGAAGTATTCACGTTCAAATTTGGCAAAGTCCTCTTCGGTGAACACATCTTCTTCTTCCTTCTGTTGTTTCTCAGGCACAACATAGTGACCCGTTCGTGCCCTTCTCAACATCAATTCTTTTGTCTCTTCGTCGATTTTCAGGTCATTGTCCAGAGCCAACAATCGTCTCACATTCTCCTCGGTTCGGTCTTTGCTTCGTTTCATTTTGTCTTTCGCCTGTTTTACTGTGAATTTCTCTGTGGTTTTGATTTTATTCACTTTCTCTGTGAGAATGAAACAAATTTTTATGTTGAAATTATCTCTGTATTGAGGCAACTAAAATTGAAGCTTGAAATAAAATATTCTTACGTTTAGTTTGATTCTTCCCAGCTTTCGTTGTTATTGTTAAACGTTTTTGTTCCGGGATCAAGTCAAATATCGTGCTCTTCGTGTGCTTTTTATTTGTATTCGGTTTGGTTTGCTTTGATGACAAACTCGATGGCAAATCATCTTCAACGAGCTCAAGACAACGCTTTAGAATTGATCGAGACATTTCTCTCAATTTAATTATAAAAACTCAATGAATTTGCGTGTTTCTTTAAACAATGTTGATTTATTTGTAATTTGTCGGCAATATGAGATACATGTGGAGTTGTTTATTTCAATGTGTCATTTCAATTCAAAAATCAGACGGCAAAAAAATGCAGGGGTCGCTAGTGTCAGTATGTCACTCACAGAATGGTCGGTATACGTAGATTCTTGTTGAAATTCAAAAAGTATTGATGCTCAAGGATTCGTTTTGCCGAAATACGATCCAGTGGATTGAATTTAAACATTTGCTTCATCAAATGGATCTCCACATTTTTGGCACCTTTGATCTGAATTTTTGAAATATTCAATGAAACGAATGCAATCAACTAAATGCTTCCGCAAAATGAAGGTAAAACTTACAATCGACTTGAGATGGTTTTCTTTGTTCACTGGCAAACCAGAGAAATAGTACGGCAAATGTGCGACCTCGGGCCATGTTTGCTTATCTGGTGCTCCCAACACTCTGTGAAATGATAAATATTCAATTGGTACATTCGCCCAATAAACCAATATGAATCCTAATTTTGATGGACTCATTTCAATATTCCAATGGATTTTGCCTTTGAGATTTTACTTAATTACTCACCCAGCAATTTTGTACATTAGTCCAATCTCAGAATCAGCTTGGAACAGCGGTTTGCGTTGAAACATTTCAGCAAATGTGCAGCCGATGGACCAGATGTCAATTTTTGGCGTGTATTGACTTGTGCCCAAAAGAATCTCAGGCGATCGATACCATAAAACAGTCACATTGCGTGTATACACCTTCTGAGCTACTTCAAAGGCACGACCTGCATCAAATCCAGTAATCTGCCGGATGAAATTTAGATTTGTGAATAAAATGGTATTAGTTATTTGGAATTTTGATGGAATATATTTCTCAAACTAATGATGTATTGATAAAAAATTGTGTATTTACCTTAATCACACCCTTGCGAGTGATCAATATATTTTGCGGGCATAAATTGCGATGAAATATACGACGTTGATGGCAATAGGCGATGCCGGTTGCAATTTGATATAAGTAGCTTTGAATCACTGCTTGTGGAAAGACAAAATTGCCAGGCAATCGAACCATGTATGTTTTCAAGTCCATTGGTATGTATTCGAATTGAAGTGCAATGGTCATCCGATTCCAAAAGACATTTTGCAAACGAACAATGTTTGGATGTTTGAGCTCTTTCAACAACGATATTTCACTGAAAATTGTCGGAAAATATTTTCAATTTAATTCGATTCAACTTTCAAGTAAACAACAATTTTCTTCCACTTTTGAAGTGTTCATGCATGCAACCAAAATTTCCAATGGAATTTTCGCTATGAATTTGTTCCAAAATAGTCAATCTTACCGTATGGCTGAGCCTGGTATTCCTTCTGTCGCAACACTATGGCTGGTTTCCTTCAAGATGACCAGCCGGTTGGTGAGAATGTGTCGTCCCTTGTAAACATCATATTCCGATGTTTTGCGGATTTTCTTCACGATTTTAATGTATTCCATCGTTGTGACCAAAACACTGTAGCAAAGCACACTGAATTGATTTGCAATTGCCTTCCATCTCGAAACCACCAAACTGACTCATCGACTAAAACCCATTTAAATTTGCCTCGCAATGGAATCTTTGTTTAAGTTGATTCAAAGATGAACCGAGTCCAATGCCGTAGCGATTTGAATTCACTCCATCTACATTAGCGCCGCTCATTCTCCAAACGTCAAACCGAGCAATTGCAATAGTTAACCGTCACATCTGTCAAACATTGCTACCGTAGATATTTGGCTCGCAGTGCGTCAGCACAGTATGAAAATATAAACGAACTTTCGATCGAAGAGCAGATTTTTTTATTTTTTTTTACTAATTTAGCATTTTTTTTTCAATATTTCATTCACAATGAGTTTGTTGTCCGAAGTGATAAATGTGGTGAAAGAAAGTGAAATATCAAATGCACGCGTGAGTCTGAAGAAAATCAATCAGGAGATACGAAATTTGCAAAATGAATCAAAGGTGTATTTGGAAGAGAATTATGTCGAATTCAGCGATGCGGTAAACGAGAACAGCGAATATTTAGATCAAGCGGACGGTTTGTCACGAGAAGTGGAGAAATTGCTTGACGGCATTGATCGTGATGCAAAAGATGGAATATTGGCGGCTGCCGACGATGTACAGCGGTACTTGAGAGAGTTGGAAGAAATTCGAGTCGGTCTACGTGTGAATCAACGTCTATTACGTATCGAAGATTTGTTCCAAACATTGGACGAATTGAAACAGAGACAATCGTTCGGTGAAATTCGTGACACCATCAATGAGTTGCGCGATGCAATCTTCGACGAAGAGGACAAAGAAATCATACGTGAACTATCGTGTTTCCAAAGCATGAAGCTAAAATGGCATGTTGAACATGAAACACTGCTTGCTACACTACAATCCCAGTTCAATTCATTCGTTCAACTGCAGGAAAAAGTTTTTCAAAACACCAAATGCGTTACGGTTAAGGTGAGCAGTGATAAGATTGCATTGCAAGACATTCTTCACATGCTGTTTGAAACGAATTTCAATGCACAACGCTTGTATACGTTTTTCATTAAGAACGTTTTCGAGCCTATCATCACGCGGCCAGTCAGTTTTGAAGTGAATAAATCGGAATCGAAAGAAGAACGATCTGGAATTGAATACAATAGCTTTACATTATCGTTCAGCACCAAGCCGTACATTTACGGTGAATCAACGAATTTACGGCCACACTATAAGCATGTTTTCAATTATCTAACGAAAGTGTTGAATATTTTGAGTAACATTAACATTAATTTGCCGAATGATAAATGGATGTTTCAACAAATGACCGAACGTGTTGGCGAAGAATTCTATAAGTTGCTCATCAATGAATGTTTAACATACGCCATTCCGGATACGATTGAAGGCCTTAGCTCATCCGAATTGGCTAAAGAAATTAAAGAATTTGATCAATTGCTAAAAAATTATCATTTTATCAGCGATGAAAACGCGATAAAACTCACCGAATTCGCTGATAAAATCGATGTCATTTTTAAGAAACGTTTTTGTTTGAATATTGTCAAGAGTGCCGTAAATATAATGCAAAAAGATTTACACGAAATGCAAGTGGTCGATGAAACCAAATGGAATGGCTCATTTCCACGCTGCATGGTATCACGCAATACGTTCGAGCTCATTGATCTGATGGAAAAGGTGTTGAGAGAAGCAAACGATTTGTCCGGCAAACAAGTGGAGGAATACGTGTTGACCGACATTCAAGAGCGATTGCAAGCAACGATACCCATGATTTTGGAACAATATGCATCGGAAACCATTACGGCACATGGCAAATTTCTACAAACCATACCACAGCAAACGGCTTTGTTCCATAACAACTGCTCGTATTTGGCTTGGTGGCTCAACAACTGTGGCAAAGATTCAGATAGTCCAGAGATTGCCATCGAACGGCGTGACAGCATCGTTTCCAGTCTACAGGAACAAGGTTCGAAACAATTTGCTCTGCAAATTGCCAATCAACGCACGCAGCTAATGGAAATTCTTAAAGAATTTGGTAGGTGAAATAGTTACACATATATTTTGCTAAGGTTTAGACACTCATTCGAGTTTTGGACTTTTTTATTCAATTTTTGGAATTTTTCTTCTTTCTTTTCTTCAGATCTAACCGATTCGATGGTTGAGCTGGGTCCACAAGCCTACAAAATCGTGCGTCAATGTATGCGACAGTTGGATCTATTGAAAAATGTCTGGCAAACAATTCTACCGGAGCTGGTGTACAGCAAGAGTCTAGGCACTATTCTCAACGATTTGTGTGATGAAATCATACGAAAGGTGGTAGCACGCGAAGATATTTCATCGTCCGTTGCCAATGGCCTGGTAAACATCTGTGAAGTGATTCTCGAAAGAGGACCAACGTTGTTTGCGGTAAGAATAAGCACTTTGCAAATTCAAATCGAGGCTTTTCATCAACATTTGATCGTGGTTTCAATCAAATTTCCTAATTTCATTCTAGGATCCACTTGATGTGTCGATCTATGTAAAGCACTGGGTCAAACTACAGCAGATCAAGATGATTCTGAATGCATCAATGGCACAGATTGCCGAACAATGGGCCGATGGCAAGGGACCACTAACGTTAAATTTCCGTGCAGAGGATATTCGCCATTTAATACGTGCCTTATTCCAAAACACGGATCGACGTGCTAATGTCTTGGCCACAATAGTTTAATGCGAATGCATTGATCAACATTCAACCATTTTCATCACATTCATTTTTTGGGAAACATTTTTTTTTGTTATACAATTTGAAAGCATCCAAATCAAAAAGAATTTGTACTCAAATAAAATTTCATACAAGAAGAATAAAACGAAACCATTTATATACACACTCAAACTGTTTATGCCAACCCTGTGTCTTTCACTTGACACGTTCACTCACATATCAAAACTCTACTATGACATCACAGTCTCATTGCAGTATAATCGTTTGTTTACAAAACAACACGTTCGACCATAGTTCCGCAGGAATTATGAATATTTTAGTCAAAATGTGAATCAACCGAATAAAAAAAACCAAAATATTACGAATCGTTTGAAATGTCGAGGTTTTGCAAGAGATACTTCTGTTGCTCGGTGGTTATATTGATTCTAATTTTTATGATTTATTATCGGTATTTTGGGCGTTTTCAAGTTGATCAAATTGTTGTTAGCTCTGACGAATTCATTGCCGTCGCCTATGTATTGGAAGAGGATGACGAGAATAATCGTCGTCTACATAACGAACATCAACTCTTGAATCTAACCAATTTTCAATATAAATTGCAACCGACCGATGACGTCTGCACATATGGCGATGATTTATTGGGTATGACGATTTCTATGGCGTTTTTTTTTTCTTTCAATAATTCAATTTCATTTGAGAGAAGAAGAAACAAGAATGAAAATTCCAATTTATTTGCCCCAGCCATTTTAATAGTAACTTCTTATGTTGGTCACGATGAAGTGAGATCGGCACATCGAACCGCAATCAGCTCTGCCATCCTACGCAAATTGAACGTGGCACGCGTGTTTTTATTGGCCGAAATTCCGGAAAAGGAGAAGTTTATTACACAAGAAGCGGTTGAAAGTGAGCATCGACACTTTAATGACATTGTTCAAGGTGAATCATTGTTCAATATCCCATCATTACTTCATTTTGTGAGTAAAACTTCAACGGTTTTTGTCATTTTGCAGGGAATTTCCATGAAGCATACCGCAACTTGCCGTACAAGCACATTATGGGACTTCGATGGGCCTCATCTCACAAGTGTCTCCATCCAAAATACATCGTCAAAATGGACGATGACATTGTGGTCGACCTTTATCATCTGATTGAATACCTTTTGGATCAAAATCTCGACAACAACGTAGATATGTCCCACTTCTTATCGGGTTACATTTTCCGAAACGTAGTACCAATACGAAAACAACAGAATAAATGGTTTGTTTCAGAAGATGAATACAGCGGCAATGTGTATCCAGATTATCTCTCCGGATGGATGTACGTGACCATTCCACAAACTGCCAAGACGCTAGTCTCAGCTGCATCCGAAACATTTACACCGATATTTTGGATCGACGACACATGGGTGACTGGAATTTTGAGAGCCAAACGGCACATTCCCATTGATGATTCGCTCAATGAATTTTTCTCGGCCAATTCCGAGTTCCTTGACTGTTGTATCACAGATATGGAAAAGCATCAATACAAATGCCCATTCATAGCTGGTCCAAATGGTGGTGATCATAATCTAATCAAAAAGTATCTCGAAGTAGTTAATAAGTATTGCTTGGCTGACTCCAGTGACTTAAAACAAAACTCATGCACAGAACGAGGTGAGAATGTACCGTCACTGAAAAAGACATGCGTCGGCGGTGACAAACATCTGTTGAAGGAAAGCCATGGTGCAGCTGTTGTTAGTGCCATTAGATTATAAATTTAGAAATTGCCTTTTCTTTTTGTGCCTTTGTTACAAACTGACAATATATTCCAAATGTTCTTAACCATGCCTTAAATCGCCCAAAATTGTTCTAAAAAATTATTGCCAAGCTTTTAAAAACTATTCAAAATATCACACGGTTTCGATAAAACATATGAACAAATTTATTGGACCAAACAATTTTATTTTCATTCATTTTTTTTTCAAACAATTTTCCGCACGTCAAAAATGACCTTTAACATGCGTTAGCGTTATTCGCCTTGTGTCAAACAACAACTGTTGAAATGTCAAAATAAGAAACAAGTGAAACTAACCCATCCAACCAGAAATCATGTTGAAAACAATATTTTGCCGGGCAAATTCGTTGCGATCAGGAAATTTGATTGGTGTGACTAGAAATTGTAGTGCATTACAACATCAAATTAACAAAGAACACCATCGAACCAACGATAAATCAAAGCATTACCCGTATTTGTTGACTTACGCAAGTTTGCCCACATTTCTCGCATTCTTTCAAAAGAAAGAAGACGAGGAAACATCCAAAGAAACCTTTTTGGACAAAGTTCTACCCGAAGAGATTGCCTTGCTACTGAAAAAGAAACCAGTTGAAGATGAAACCACACCGGAAGGGAAGCTAAAAACCACATTGAAGCGAACTATACTGTGTATTCGACGCGGTGAATTCGATAAGGCCGAACAAATGGCGCATTTAGCATTGCGAATGGCACAAGATATTCAAAGCTACGATGGAATCACTCTGTGCTTCGATGTGATGGCTAATCTGGCATTCGAACGTGAACTGTACCAAAAGGCAGAGAAACTCTTTGAAAATGTACTACAACGACTTCTACAGAAGGGCGTTCCACAGGATGATATACAGGTAAAGAAGAATACATTGTGTTTGCTAACATTCATTTTCACCATTTTCACCATTTATATTTTTTGTTCCTATTCTGGAATACTATCTTGTCTTATCGCAGATCCTCCACTTGAGCTTGAAAGTAGCTCAACTCGATGAGTTACAAAATAAGAAAGATGACGCAAAAACCAACTATGTGTGGACACTATCAAAACTGGATGAAAAACGAAAGAAGGAGCCAGGAGACCTTGATCTCAAGGAATTATGGGGATTGACAAACAATTTGTAGGTTTATTCTACATCAAATCGTTTTTTTTTCCAGCAACAAATTTTAATGACACTTCATCCGCATGTTTTGTAGCTACGGAAAGTATCTCCTGAAAAATGGTAAATTCAAAGAAGCCGTTGAACGGCTAAAGAATTCCCGTGATGTTTTCATTGATGTACGTGGACGATATGAAGCCGATTATGTAAACATAATAAATGATCTGGCGGTGGCTTATCTACATGTAAGTCTAAGATTGAATAGCGCAATAGATGCATTGCAATTTTCAACATTATTATGCAATTCCCCTGATATGCCATCGTTTTTTTTTGACACAGGTCAACGACTTCGACTCAGCCGAACAGCACATAGACGAAGCGTTAGTTTTGGCCAGTGCATATCCGGAGTTGATGGAAACGGGCATTTATCATGCAAACAAAGCGTTAATTTGCTTGAAAAAAGGCCTGCTGAATGACGCACAAAAATTATGCAATCATGCTATTAAAGCCTCACAGCGAAGCAATGACCCTGATGGCAAAGAACAAGCTAAATATTGCCAAGAGGAAGTTGAGAAAGCTTTTAAAAAACGAAAATAATACCAAGATGATTAGATGTGAATTTAGTCATTACAGCTCACGATAATGTTTGGCAATACTTTCATATAATTAAAGTCAATGTTATTAATACTAAAATGTTTCAAGAATCTAAAAGAAAAACACTTGGTTTGTTATTTTTATTTGATTTTCATTATTTCTAGATTTTTTGTAGTAGCGATCACCCAATGACACCATTATTCAATTTTTCCTTTTAAGTGAACGCCGAAGAAATAACAAATATGGGAATTTGCATCTGGAATCGTTTTTAAAACTTCAAACAAAATTCTGGGCACAAGCACCAATTGGATGTTTGCAATATTAAATTCTTGGTACGGATAATTATTGATTTTTTCTCTTACAGCTTTGGGAGTGTTAACATTGTGTAAGAAGTGAATCGCTCTCGTACAACCTTACGCGAGTCTATTTATATTCAATGCTGAATATTTTTTCATGATGAAGAAATAAATTTGAATTGTTGCCGGATCGAATCAAAGCGTTTATACCGCTATCCCAGAATAAATAAACGCATACAAACGCATGTCACCCGATTTGACATCTCGTCATTCCTGTGGTCTTTCGCGAAACACACACGGAACAACCGATTGATTTGTGTTATTGTTTTTACATTAAAAAAAATTTGAGAAAAAATCGCGTGGCCATGGCGACTTTGAAGCGAGCTCAGGTAAATTTTGAATTTCTTTTCGCAATTTAATTATTTGTACCGAATGTCAATTCGAATAAATTATTTCGTTGGTTTTTTTTTGTGAGTGATGATTTTTGAGGTTATACTTCATTCATACAGAAAAAAAAATAGAAAAAGAGAATAAACATTTAATTCGAACATTTTTTCCTTTTCTTTCAGCAATGGGCTACATTCGGCAGAACCTGGCATTTGTACGATTGCTTGTGGCAGAATCCATTTCAATCGGGTAAAATAATTTCGACACATTTGAAAGGATTACACAAACCCATCTATCATCCGCTTGGTATGTAATACATTGCTTTTCCTACCAAAGCAATTTTATTTTGTCTTTGTTTGTCTTTAGACTGCATAGAGTTTTATTTTGCTAATAATTCTATTCTATTCCATTGTAGCTGACTGTGGAGACCACGTCGTTGTTATAAACACAAGTAAAATCGCGTTGCCGGGTGACGAGTGGACTAAGCGTGTATACTTCCATCACACAGGCTATGCCGGAGGCGCCACATGGACATTAGCACACGAATTGCACGAGAAAGATAAAACGAAGGTACAACAGTGTCACGATTAGAACGTAAAGAGTTGAGAATTCACATTAATATTGTCATGTTTCCAATAGATTATGTGGTACGCGGTGTATACTTCAATGAAAGGCAATTTGCAGCGACGACATGCAATGACACGTCTCCATTTGTTCCCGGACGCAATAATTCCACCCGAAATACAAGCAAATATCAGCAATCAATTGAAACAAGGTCGTCCCGTTCCAACGCGAATCGATGAATATGACGTGGAAACCATTAAGAATTTCCCCAAAATCATGGACTATCCAAAGGATTATGTTGTCAAATAAAATGCCTTTATATGCTACTGTTTTAAGTAATTTGTAGAAATGCGATGTTCCCCAGTAAGAAAAAAAAAAAACTATAAAATCAAATAAAACGAAAATGCTTTGTGATTTTAGGCTATGTAATTATTCACGGAATAAAATGTCGCCCAAATTGATCACTCCAGCTTTGTTAGCCAGATTCATATCACAAGACCATTTTCCGACGATTCAGCTCAAGGCCATGACATGAAGCTACTTTCAACTGAATGATCCTCGCAACATGTAAGATTACTCTTATGAGAGCAAGGCCAACCCATACCAGACTGAATGAATGCTTTGCACCATTGAACTAATTTCTTCATTGCAAGACTAATCTGGAATGTTATAAGATTTAACTTGAGGTTTGGTCTATATCACTTCCATGGTCCTTTTTCCTTGCTGGTACCTTAAATTCCAGGCTTATGCTTACTTGAAATGAAAATAAAAGCAAACATTGCGCCAGTTTTGAGCAGGATATCGTCCGAAAAAATCACATCTCCACAAATGAAATAATCAGAGAATCACAGTTGGTTTGATTTAGTTAAGTGTGTTTATTTGTATCTATATAGAGTTTCAACAGACATCGTAGAAATATAATGTTTTTTTTTTGGTTAGATTGATCAATGTGAACTCATTTCGAACGAAAGAAAAACCATTCGTTAGAAATGTCAATGTTTGTTCTAACTAAAATTGGGTACAACGTTAGCCTAACAATTTCATACTTAATGTGATCACATTGTTTCTTTTTTTTTCATTAAACGAGTTAGTGGATTTAAATTGGCTTCTAACAAAAGAAAAACTCACTGAAATCGAATAGTAGTCTCTGGAGAGAATTTGATTTGTTTAGCCTAGAACAGAATCATGTATGTAAAATCTTAAATAAAGTCTACTCTGGTAGACTGGATTTATTCAAGTCCTGCGATGATAATCATCAAACCGACGCCGGCAAGTAATGCTGCGATTTCTTTTAGTGATTGACCTAATTTGGTTGATTCTTCAAGCAATTCCGGCAACACGCTAACGGTGGCGATGTAAATGAATCCACCGGCGGTGAATGGCAGAACCCATGGTGCAGCCTCTCCATTTGTACCTAACAAGGCGATTATTGTACCCGAAAGTGCGCCGACAGCGGTCAGCAATTGCAAAGCCATTGCCTTACGTTTTGAACATCCAGACTTGATTAAAATCGCGAAGTCGCCAATTTCATGTGGAACTTCGTGCAGTAGAATTGTGATTGTTGTGATTACACCGATGCTATTGCCCGCTAAATACGATGCACCAATTGCCAAACCGTCAGTGAAATTGTGTGTGAAATCAGCGGCCAAATTCAAATATCCAGACACCGAAATCGGTTGTTCCTCCGCTTCTGATTCGTCACATTTTGTCTTGGGTGATTTCTTCTCTTTTTCGTCATCTTTCTTTTTCGGTGATGATTTCTTGCCTTTTGTTTCTTCTTGTGGCTTTTTGGATTCTTCTGGCTCCTTAGCAGTGGATGGTGGTGGCGGTCCGTGGCTGTGACCATGTCCACCTTTGATGAGTCGAACGCTCTTTTCAACGGCTAAAAATGTAATGATACCACCCAAAACCCATAAACCGATGCTCATGTCGTGTGTGTGACCGTGACCGTGACCGTCTTCTTCGTGATCATGGTGGTCATGTAAGTGTGAGTGTGAATGTTTTTCGTCGCCATGATGACTGTGTGGGTGAATGGCATGTGGAATTAAGTGCAGGAATGCATCTCCTGTATACGTGGAAACGAGAAAAAAAGTTAAAAACGCATATTTTTCGTACTCAATTTGTTCTTTGTTTTGTGTCAACAAATCAATTATTTTGAACGGATTGAGATACTTACCTAAGAGTCCACCCGAAGCGAATGCAAGCAAAACTTTTAGTCTAGGCTTCATGGCGTCTGTGTTGTCCAAATTGATGAAATATAGGAGAAAGAATGGCGCTGCGCTAATTAGCAGCGTCGATCCTAATGCGTGCGTCCACAAGCTCACCCAATCGCCTGTGAAACAAAGTCAGAAAACACAATGGATTATATAATTCAACTTGAACTTGCAGTCGATTTATTTTTTTCAACTTACTTTGTGTAGTTTTCGGTGCTTTTTCCGCATGTGTACCATGGCTGTGCGAATGTTCTTCGTGATGGTGTTGATGATGCGAGTGATCTTCGTAGGCTTCGTTTGCTTGTTGGGACCATTTAAAACTGGCTGGTTCCTCGTGATGATGGTGGTCATGATGGTCATGTGAATGGCCATGATGTGAGTGGCCACAATCAGCCGAGACCAAATGTGGTAAACTTAAAAATACAATCACTACACAAGCACCAATAGCAATCGTACGCCAAAACTGATTCGACTCATGATCCGAAACATTTATTTTATTTTTCCCACTCATTTTAATCGGTGGTTTTGATACAAGTTTTGACTGAAAATGCCACGAAAAACCAAAACGTATTCGGTAAATATGTTGCGAAAAACTCGATCAGTGCAACACACACACGTCACAACTCAAATATTGACAAGATGAAATCTTGATAACCAGTCTCGGTGGCCGACAAGTCAAATCATTTGTATGGAAGCAAAGCAACTGTGAACATACAGATTAATACATAGCTATTTATTTGGTTAAGATCTCCGAAAATGCAGGTCTGACGAACTGTCATATCGTTGATTTGTCAACGCAAACACGTCAACCGTTCAAAACATTTGGAATATTCGGTATTTTACTATTTTGTTCGAGATGAAAAGAAAACGAAAGCATTTGCGGCCACGAGGAACATTTGAATTTTAATTGATAATTTAAAAAAAAAGATAATTTATTCATAAATTTCAAATGGAACACGCAGTTCGAAATGATTGGTCGATTCATATACCAGACGATGGCGTCATTGAACGCACTCGATTGGAGAGTATACACATACAAACAATGCGTATTGTTTAGATGTCAAATTCAATCGAAAACAAACTATTGAAGTTTATTAACGGTTTTTATTGTGGTTTTTAGTCATCAAAATACTCAGAATTTCTAGTTTTTCATCGATTGCACCCAAGAATATTGAACACAAACATTTGTATGTTCATTAAAGATTAAGTGAAAATGGCATCGAGATACACGCCGACGGTTAAAAGTGCAAAGGTTACTACGGCAAAATCTTCAACACCATCATCATCATCAACAACAACAGGCACACCGATTAAACCAGCGCGCGCTACATTGTCCACAACGAAAAAATTGTCGGCAGTGGCACGGCCCACATTGGTCAAACAAACATCGGCATGTGATTTGCGTGAACGGCTTCGTTTGAACCAGAATGATGATATCTTGAACACTGGATTCACAGCATCGTCACCATTTACCAGCAAATTCTCAGCAAAAGGGAATTCGTTCACTCCGAGTGCTATGACTGCTTCGTCGAGCAGTTTAAGTGGAACAGTGAGCGCCTCAAAAAGTACAAAAAATCTTTTTGGTACATTTTCATCGACAAATCTGGCAGCGAAACGATTGTTTGGAAATTCCACACCAACCGTCGATCGTACGCCAGCCGCTCAAGTGGTTTCAACACCAGACTGTTTTAGCAAAGTTTTGTTAGACATACAAACACCTCAAAATGCAAAGAGAAGCTGTGAAACATCACAAAGTTTTCGGAAAAGCACCGATTTTGGCGATGACAGCAAATCGAAAGAGAACAGTGAAGTCAGCAATTTGACGGTAGCTGTGCGTGTGCGACCAATAAATGCCAAGGAATGTACAACGCCACTCGTAACAAGAGTGGTTACAATTCACAATTCCAACGAAATCATAGTTAAATCCGGGATAAATGTTGAATCTTACGCTTATGATAACGTATTTTGTTCATACGATTCCGAAGATACGGTGAATTATGCCAATCAAGAGACAGTTTTCAATGGCACGGCGTTGCCATTGATCGATAAAGCATTCGAAGGTTACAATGCATGTTTATTCGCCTATGGACAGACGGGTAGTGGGAAGAGTTACAGTATGATGGGCATTGACACGGGTATGTAAACGCTAGAACAATTAACATAATATACTCTGTTATCAATTTATTTTTTAATCTGCTTGTTTTCGACTGCGAATTTCATTCTAGATGACGATCACTCAAAACCAAACCGTGAGGCTGGAATTATACCTCGATTCTGTTATGAACTTTTCCGTCGAATCGACGCATTGAAGGGACAATTTTCGGCCGAAGTGGAAGTCAGCTATTTTGAAATCTACAACGAAAAGATACATGACTTGTTGGCCGTGACGCCGACCCATTTGCCCAATACAACGCCCGGCAGTCAAGTAAAGCGACAGGCACTTCAAATCAGAGAACATCCACAATGGGGACCTTACATTGAAAATTTAAACATTCATCCAGTCGATTCGAATATTGCGCTGAAGAATTGGTTGGCCGTTGGTAATAGCCAACGAGCTACAGCAGCCACTGGGATGAATGATAAGAGTTCGAGGTCACATTCGATTTTCAGTATTATTTTGACTCTATCGGAAATCGATAGCGAATCATCAAAAGTAACCACAAAACGAAGTCGAATCAATTTAGTGGATTTGGCCGGCAGTGAACGAGTCAGTCAAACTTGCGCCAGTGGAGAGAGGCTCAAAGAAGGAGTCAGCATCAATCGGAGTCTACTTACCTTAGGCAGAGTGATAAATGCATTGGCCGATCCGAAAAAGAACACATTCGCACCGTATCGTGAATCAGTTTTGACATGGTTATTGAAAGTAAGTGTATTTCTTGAAATTATTCTTTTTTATTTAAACAAAAAATAGATAGGAATCAATACAAAATATCAGAAACAAAGGCACCGGGTGACATCTTGACGATGGTTTTGTGATGATGTTTGCACTTGCACACCTTAGTACATTTGCAGCACTTCTTTTTCACGTCTCCGGCTGCATTTTTGGAAAACAAGTTCAATATCAATTGATAATATTCGAGCTCATTAGTATTTTTGTCCAGACGGAAGTTGTTATTTAACTTGTTTGTAACAAAAAAAAAGCGACTTACTCGAAATGGCCGATGACTTTTTGGAACTGGATGTAAAAATACGCTTCAAAACTTTGGACTTCATTTTGTTATTTAAGACTCTCTGGATAAAAGAATTTTATTTCTTCCCTTGAAACAGATTGTTCCTCAATTTCACACAATGTGATCGTAGCTATTTATTTGTTTAAAATCCGTCCGCTTCGTTGAATGACTTGGCCTCAATAAAGTGTGCTCAATTCGACTGTTTGATTTAAAATGCAGTAAAATCCACATAATATCCAAGTATAAACGCATTACCACGCTCATTTCAGGCCATAAACAAAGCGACAAAAATTGGTTATTGCGGTAAATACTGTCGTATTTCAACGATAATCTTTCACGCAAAATCGCTGAACCGGAAGCCATATTCAATGTGTGATATTATCACAACGCTGTGCACATGTGTGTCTTTTTAAATTGTTTTTTATCACTTCATGCTCACTTTTCATCTATATTTCGTACTGAATCAAGTTTCGTCTTTGACAATAAAAACAAACAGACACAAATTAAGTTACAGTTCTCGCAATGATAACGTCGACGAATGCTGTATTATATGAATTTACGATTAAAAAAGGTCAAAACGTGGAACAGCTCCTTATACATTTTTAAATACGTAATGACGGCTTCAATCTCGAAATGGCTCTAAAATACTATTCAACCATTTGAATTGATTACAAGGGAAAAAATACCAGCACTCGATTCCGTTATGGATCGCGTAATTACTTTCGAGCAGCGCTAATCGGCATTTTCTTTTGACAGCCAACTAACGTCTTCAAGTGTTTGTTTTCATTTGCTCTTTTTTCCGCGCATACCTTATCGCCTCGTGTGGTATGTAATCTAAAACATTTCGTTCCACGTCATAATTCATCTGAAAATTTGAAGAAAAAAAAAAACTGTCCCGACGTCGTGAACTTTAAAAATTGAAACAAAACAACCCAAATTTCGCTTGAAATACTGATTTCGATCCAATTGTTTCATACACCGTTTATTTTTGTAAAATATTTTCGTACATTTTTCAATAAATTGTGTATATAAGTTGTATATTGTGTTCTCGTATTTAAATATGAAGTATGAGACGAGAGAAAAAAGTGAACTCGGCGTGTGCTACATTTAATAGATTTTGAGCTTGGATTGATAAGAACCAAATGGTTTTTTTTCTCGCAATGGCAAATTTAATGCTTAAGGATGATCGACATCATCGATTAAATCATTTTTTTGCAAAAAAAAAAACATCATGTGATTACAGAAAAAAACTGTGAACGTCTGGCTAGTTTGACGCAATGCTACACACCCACTTGGATGACAGAAGAAAAGGTGGTTGGCATAAATTCGTTGCAATCACAATTTTGAAGTACAGTACAACCTCGATTATCCGTCAGGCACCGGACCAGCGCATTGACGGATAATCGAAAAAGACGGATAATCGAGACTTTCATATAAATAGAACAAAATAATCCAAATTTCCATACTCTCTAATTAGTTTATAATGAAAAACAAGGTGATGTAAAAAATATACAACAGATATGAGAACAGATTTGGTGCATTGTCCAAAATATTGGACAATCTTGTATATACGAGAAGTGTACCGAAAACGCAAAGCCTCTGATTTCAAATCTTATTGTGCAAATGTACAAGGGGCACACAATTGATTTTGATTATGAAAGTTAGTTGGCAACTTTATTCGTATGTTCAAGTGAAATAAACTGAAAAATGAACTGAAAAAAAACTTTTCCACCTTGAAAAGGTGTGACGGTTAACGGAGGTGACGGATAATGGGAGGACGGATAATCGAGGTTCTACTGTATATGATTCTATCAAAGCATGCCGAGTGGGAAAAAAACTTATAGATTATCAACAAAAAAAACAGTATAAATGTTATTATTTAGTCTAATGTAGACGAAGCAACTTATCAATAATTATTTCTGCAAATACACAAATAATATATATATATATACTTTCTAACAGTAACATGGAGATTTAGAACAAACAAATAGAAAAAATCGCATTTTCCATTTGCCGGCAAGCGGCTAAGTGTGTGACATTTGTTCGATGATTTACATGACCGATCAGTCTTTTTGTTGTTGTTGTTGTTGTGTTTTGGGAGATTTGCTCTTCATTCATTCACCATTATCAGTGTTCGATAAGAAGAAGGTTTGGTGTTTATTTATTTTTCTTTTTATGATTTCTGGCTGAATGAAATTTTTTTTTTTGACTGATATCCGTCCCTTTAAATGTTTTGCACAGGGCACGAATGTTTGTATAACGATTTGAGTTTTTTTCGATTGTTAGCTACCGCTGTTTCGGTTTTCTCGGATGAAGATGGAAAATTCGATTTACTTTCACTTAGAATCTAACTAATCGATATAGGACAATTTATGATAAAAGGATTCTTCAAGTGTGGTGTTTGTGTTGCGATCGATCTTATTTGTTGTTGGAAGCATGCTCTTGATGGGAGCTCGAGCAGCACTTTGATTGATCCTCTTCATCGTCTTCTTCGCAGATTTTTCCTGTGTTTTTCTCCAGAGATCGCTTGCGCAAGTAAGCATTGAGCGGACGCTTTTTCTCCTCCTTGCAAAATGGGCACGAGCCCTTTTTCGGTTTTGCCATCTCACGTGCACGTTGCAATTTTTCTGGAATTGAATGAGTAAACTTCAATTAATACGATGATTCAGATTCATATGATTTAAGGTTTTATATTTAGAATGATGAGCCATACTAGAGTGACTTCAATCAGATGATCAGCTTAGTTTCATAAGATGTTTCGAAATAGAATTAAAGCTGATTAAATTGACATTTCACGTTTATGTAAAGTCGATAGCTGAGCTGATGGCAGAAAAAACTCATGAAACGGTTAAATGATGAAACAGACTAAACATATCGAATTGCTCAAACACAGCCGCTATTCACTGCATTTTATTGCACCGGCGGCCTTTTCATGCACATCGCTTGTCTACATAACACCATATCGACACAATTATATACAATGCGAACATTTATAGAGGTCATCGAATAGTATTCGACGAATACGTTACTTTTTCACAATTATCATCAGAGATAGCTGAGTCAGTAATAATTGCATTACGAAGTGGATTTCATGATTTCATTGGAATGGTTCATTTTAATGTTATTTTTAGATGAAATCCGAAACTGAACAAAAAATCCCGATGAGCCATATCATTTCCAGCGTTCGATTTAATCCCCGTCCGTTATCAGCTTATTAGAAACATTTAATAATTGATAACGAGTCACCTTCAGTTGAACAAGCTAATATTTGCGCTATTTGTGCGAAAAAAATATCACAAGATTGTAATGTTTATTTTTTATTCGCACTTATCACATGATGATTTTTTTTGTTCTTATTTGTTAGTAGTTTGAAAATTGCAAAACGTTTCGTCTTTCCCAAATAGAGTCATAGCTAGTTCATTCTCACTTCGGGTTCATATCATAAAGATTTATGACCTATGGCAATAAAATTGATTTTTTTTTCTCCACAAAGCTGTGGCATGTAAACATGCGGCGTAACGTGTGTATGTGTGGAGGTCGAATAGAATTTATCATAGTATCAACTCGAAATGAGAGCACGTGACGTATATATACGTATTTGTTTACTGTTTTATTCGCTATTTTGCACATGCTCAGTATTGGTGTGGCCACATTTTTTTCGTTCGGATATTTTCGAACGTATTGAAAGAAACAGACAAAAAAGAACTGTTTGAAATTGTATCTCGTTCTGTATGTCCCTCGATAATTAATTTGATTAGTCACATTGCAGTGTAGATATAGAAACGATGAACCGAAAAAAATTGGCCTCGCAAAAAGTTCCTCAATCGAATTACAGACAATTCAATTGTTGTGTGTACTGGCTTATAGCCAATGACCGCCAATTCCTCCAATTTATTCATTTGTCATGGTTCCGGCAAGTGCTTCTTTAAATTGGATCAAGTCAATTTGTCTTGATAGGGAACTAGGTTCTTTTCTGAATGAACATGCGAATAATGCACAATCTTCAAATGTATCGAATCGCAAAAAAAAAACTCGATCGACTCTATAAAGACCTGGCTCCAACGAAAAAACTAAAATAAAAAAAATTATGTCAGTCGATCAAATAAAACGATAAAAGTCGTTCTAAACAGTCGTGCATCGTCAATGACGATTTGTCATTAAAAATTGACCGATTAAATTGTGCAAAAACAAAAATAATTTTATTTTTGCAAAAAACTACGCATTGAAAATCATCGTGGCAAACAAGCACTTGATGCATCAATAATTTTGAAAAGAAGAAGAAGAAGAGCTAATCAAATAAAATGACATAGATGTAACTAATTGATATCGAATCAAGATTTACGTTGCAACGCTTTCGTTAGTCACATATCAAGATGACATCATTAATCAAGCGAACTCATGTTGTTTTCAGCTCGAAATGCGTTCATTTATTTTTAGCTTCGCTGTATTTCTATTTTCATGTTGCCAACTTTCGCTTTTTCTTATAAAAGCCAATATATAAATTCGTTGAATGAATGAGGTGAAATGTTCCTTTGAAATGCACCAAATTAATGATAGGCTATGTTTTCGTACAATTGAGCACTTGCAAATGATGTATGTAACGTTGAGTCGTGAGTAAAAACTCATGTCTCAGTTGTGTGAATAAAAATAGCCTGCTCGCCCGCCCGCCTCACCTACTGGGTGCACACGCACTCAACTCAACACATGAAAGAACCGTCGTGCGATTCATCACGTACACACACTTCGATATACACAACAAGAGTAGCTACAACTCCCGAAACCACCGATTCTATTGGCACTTCTTTTTATTCTCCCATTTTTTTTATTTATTTGTATTTTTTTCGAATCATTTTTGGCGCATTAAATTCCATCAATTAAATTCAATACGAAATTCCATGTTAAAATTGGCGATATTTTTTGATGCGCAATTTTGTTTTCGTTCTTGCGAACAAATGCGTTTGTATGAATTTGTTTAATTGCGTATATGCTTGAATGTGTCCGCTCAACAATGTTTTTGTTTCACAAACTGAGTATACAGTGCTATATTCATAGTTATAGTATGGCTTTCATAGACGATATATATCCATTTCAAATTACCTTGGACCATGGTATAATAGCTCTTTCGTTGTTGCTGAGGTTGTTGGCCATTCCCCTCGAAAGTGCCATATGGATGTTTCTCATAGTCTCGAAACATATTATTTCGATAGGTTGATACACAATCACCGACATACATATTATACACATCCATATTTATATCGCTGTCTGATATCGGACTCCTTGTGAACTCCGTACAAATTTGCTTGAATCAAACTTTCACGTTCAATGGAAACTGAAGAAGCAATCGTACGATTAACACGAATGCAAAATGTTTGTAGCCGTTCTTTTTTTTCGTGAGATCACAATGCAATACACTCGCAATTCCACCAATACATTTAGTTTGTTTTAATAAATGCAGCTAAAAGTGACTGAAAAAAAAAATCGTTCGTTCATTGACACCTCTCTGAAGACAGCCAACTCAGATTCCACTTGAAACAATTTCAAATTGTTATGTCTTTGCACACAGTATTTATGTATTTAAAAAATGTCTGCTTGCTGTTTTTATAAAATTTAGATTTGGTGGGGCAGTTTATTTTCTTTTGTTACATCCAAGACATGTTACTTCACTTATTTTGATTTTATGGCTTTAGGAAATAAATGTCAGACTAAGTTTTCGACTGTTTAGTGTATAGTTATACGCAAATCAACTGTACGTACCAACGGAAAGTGTAAAACTGAAAACATCACAGTCGACTAACGAACGAAGTAACCTCGTGTATATAGCTTGCTCTGAGTTGTGAATGTTTCTTTGCGTATACAACGTAAACAGCCACCTCTCCGTCGCATGGATGTGTTTGTGTGGCGAAGAGCGTATATATGAGCATGACGAACCGAACGGAATGGAGAATAAACAAACAGAAATACCGCGATGTCGGTGTCTCGCGCCGTGCTTTGGCATTTTATGTTCAGAACCGAGAGAGAGATATTTTTTGCATGTGTTGATTAACTGCATGCCGTTTTGCACATAGCCACACAATCGAACGTTGTTTTAATGTGCAGCAGCAGCAGCGAAAAAACAATGTAAAGATAAAAGAAGTCAACAACAAAAGCAACAGCAAAATTGAACAACAAAAAAACGAACATCTCGCAAACGCTTTTATATACCGACGCTATTTGATGCGTCAATATGCGTAGTTCTTTGTGTTTCGACTCATCGCTTGTTGTTGTTGTGTTGCTGTTGTCTCTTTTCAAAATCACTGCTAACATTTTTTTTTAATATTCGTTGACGCTGTTTCTATTTGCCAATTTACTTTTTGATAAAAATGTAATATCGCGCAGTTTCATTTGTTTTTTTAAGCCACGATAATCAAGGGTATCAACAATCAAAATCAACATTATTTTATTGCGACATTTCATTTTTGAACACTATTTTTTGGTGCGTTCTACTTTGACGTGATTTTTTTTTCGACGTATGCGTCAAAAGCACTGAACTGAACTACTTGAGTGAGTGTTAATCTCCATTTGCCATATTTAAATGGCAGCTACATTACACAAATCACGTGCACCAGAAAAAATGATTATCTTTGATATGACTCGGCCGAGCTGAACGTTCAACAGATGTTTAGATTATTATGCGACCCATTGTTTACATCGTCTAAGGGCTTTTGCATTAATTTGTTTAGTATCGTTTTTTTTCATGTTGTTTACATGATTTATAGGACTTAATCATACAATTCACACTTTTCGCCCCATTACTATAGCGCATTCGCACTTTGATGCTGTTGTTGCCATGTTTTTATGAATAAACAATAACATTTTTTTACATTCACATAAATATTTCTTTAACGACACGTCAATGAGCTCGGACGGCAACGAGTGATAAGTTGAGCGTGTAAAGTCGTTTGAAATTTTTAATTTCTTATATAAATTGTTCATTGCAATTACGTACGTTTTTTTCGACACACGTTTTGAGACTCGACTTAATAAAACGGCCGAGATAATATGTTCAATATTTTAGCACGAGAACATAAAATTTTACAGGCAATTAACACATCAATGTATTATATCTACGTTCAACTACCACGGTCTGCATTAAATGTGTAAAAATAGAATTCGTGAATTTAATTAGCGTCCCGTTGGAAATCACGTTATCATGAAACGTTAGATGAAAAGTTCCACCGGAAAAGTACCGGAAAAAAAGTTTCGACACAAACTGTTTTGAGTCAGTTGTTGATTATTTCCCTATAGGAAAGTGTATTCCATGTTCAATGTAAATAATTCGAAGAACAAAAAATTCCAGATTGAGGTTTTGTGGCACCTCATGAAGTAATTTGTAAATACGTTTTAATCGCTGGACCGTAGTTTTCGCGGAATATTTCTTAACCGCAAATATTCGCGTTGTACCCAACAACCCGATGATTTACACGCTAGAAATTATTCTATCGCAAAACGGGTCACCTTAAAAGGGTATCTGGCATGTGCTGTGATGCATTATTATAAGCATTCTGATTCAAATTACCAACATGTATAATCGTTATATTCAATTACTTAATGTGTCGTGCAAAATGTATTCATGGGGTGATTGTTTTAATTATAACTCTCTTGAACGACCCATATTGAAATTAGATAGCTTCTGGTTTTTGAAATCTGAATATTTCTGTTTTTAAATACAATCTTTGCTTGAACGTAATCTTAAGGCTAATAAAAAAAAACTCTGGAATTAACATTTCCGCATTATAATTTCTTTGTAGGAGAGTCTAGGCGGTAATTCGAAGACAGCTATGCTAGCCACGATCTCGCCAGCCAGTTTGCATGTTGACGAAACATTGGCCACGTTGCGATATGCATGTCAAGCACGATCGATTGTAAATCGAGTCAAAGTAAACGAAGACTCGAATAATCGTGAAATCCATAAACTTCGAACCGAAGTGGATCGTTTGCGTGCACAAGTTCAGTATTATAAACGACAAGAGATTCAAGCAATCGAAGCACCACCACGAAAGATTATCATTGAAACAATCGAGGCTAATCCTGAAGATGAAGAAGAAAAGCAACGACTACGCGAACAATTGAGAGAAAAGGAACAAGAATTGGCGAATGCTCAGAAATCGTGGCGAGAACGACTCAGGGAAGCGGATAATAAGTGCAAAAATGAAATGAAACTACTCCAACAGAATGGGTTGGCGTTGCAGTTATCGGTTGCTCAGAAGCAACCGTGTTTGATCAACTTGGCTACCGATCCAATGCTGTCGGGCACGTTGCTGTATATTCTACCACCGGGAGTTGTTAGGATTGGGAAACCGAAGCCATCCACACATGCTCAGTCAGATATTGTTCTTGATGGACCCCTGGTTGGAGTGAATCATTGGTATGTTTGAGAAGTGAAGTTTTTATTAAACTTTTTTCCAATTGATACCGAAATTTCCAATTGTCTCAATTTGGAAAAAAATGCACACATTTTTAAGTACTACATGCAATGTACAGAGACATTGTTTGAATTTATTTCAACATTTATCCATTGTTTCTTCATTTTCAGTCAAATCGACAACAGGCGAGGCAAATTGTTCATTCGACCGGCTGACAACGATGACTGTGAAACATTTGTGAATGGCGAATTGATACACACCGAAAAGCAGATTTACCACGGTGATCGAATTGTCATTGGTGGATCACATTACTTCCGTGTATCGAATCCGGAATGTTCGCGTCGTGCGCAAACCGAAGTGGTTGACTATCATACTGCGCACCAGGAAATTTTGCAAGAGCAAGAAAAACGATTGCGACTGGAATTGATGGCAGAACAACAAGCGGCAATTCGACAAATCGAAGAGGAACGAACTAAGCACGAGCTCAATTACAATGAAAAAGTGGCGCAGCTTGAGTTGGAGCAGTTTCGATATAAGTGTTCGAAAGAATTGATCGATGCTGAGAAGGAAGTGCTGGCGCGCAACCACGAAGAGGAGGCGGAATTCGTGTATCGACCCTTCGAATCGGACTTGTGCGAGAAGATCAAACGCATGATGGAGCGTCCAACGGAAGAAGGAATGCATGAAACTCAGTTGATGGTATGATTTTGGGTTGCTCTGTTCAGTTTCAAAAAGTTCATGTTCATTTTGAGTAGTTTTAGACACATCTCGCAATATAAAACAATTGAAAACAAAATCAAAAACTCATCAACAACAAATTTCCCCTTTTCAGGTAAAAGAAGCCACGCAACGCTGTCGAAATCTTGGCCTAAACTATGAATTCGTTCAAACCCTGGTGGCCGATGAGTCAGACGTGTTCAAAGCAGTAGTGAAAATAATTGATCGACGGAGTAATCGTTTTGCTGAATGGCCAACGGCTCGTCTGTCCGTTTGGTTGGATCTGATGCGTGACAATAGTGATGCAACGGCTGAAAATGCCTTCGAGTCAGTGGATATAAGTTGGTCGGAGAGTACCGAGGAGATTGCAATGAATGAATCGCTGAATTCTAGTCGCATCTCATTGAATTTGAGCGCAATGAAGGAAACGCTATTGGGCAAACCGATGAAGAGTTGCTTTAAAGCCATACAAAATAGGTTGAGCCCATGGTCGTTGAAGGGTCAAAGTAATGCCAATCAACTGCCAAGTGCCACAGTTCCAAATTTCGAGAGAACGGCACCATCAAGTGGTCAATCGTTGTTGAAAACCAAGAAAAAACTGTCTTACGACGACTTTGATGAGATCGATGAAAATCCAGTCGAAAAACCAAAGAAAACCTTTACCAACGTCGAAAGTAGTTTGTCAACCTCAACGCCAGTCGAAGAGAAATTCGACGTGCAGGCACAAAAATACCTGAGTGATTTGCGAAAAACCACAATTCGAATGAAGAAATTGTGCCATAATAAATTCAATGAGAATGTCAAAGATCAAACGGTATCCGGGAAAGTGTTCACTGCACTGGAAGAAATTGAGCATTTAACCAATCAAATTCGGCATTTGATCAAGAATACCGATAGCGAACCATCGCCATGTAAAACACCGAAATCAGTGCGATTTATTTTAGACTGAAAATGAGTGTTCGCATTCAAAACCAATCTGCTTGTCTTGCCAAAAATCACATTCTCAATGAATGTGGGTGATAATTTTATGAACGTTTTGATCTGAACACTTAACTCCCTTTCTTTTCGATATATAGCTTTAGTCGATGTTCATTTTTTTTTTAAATTACCTTTGACACGAAAATCTAGCTTTAGTTCATTTGTGTGACTTACTTTAAATAAAAACGCCCTTTGAATCGAAAAAAATATCACCGTTTTCATCTTGAATTCAAAGCAAATCAACACCTTGACAATAAAATAGGTGCTATATTTTCTGATAACGATTTTATTATCACAACATATTGACTCGACCTTAAATTATTGCTTCTGCTATTCCAAGTGGACTTCATGATTCATGTTACTTTTCCCGTAAATGGATTATTGCACTTGCGTTTTGCAAACGTGGTGAAATTGAGACATTTCCTCGATACAATGTATCGACGCTGCTGATAATGAGAACAGTTCAATTTGAACCAAATTGCAACTATGCAATCACCATTCGAGAGACGATTTATAAATTGGAGTCAAGAGGTTTGCGCGACAAGTCGTTGCCAACAATTTATCAAATTTTATATTTCAGAATTGTTTTTTGAAACAATGATGAGTACAAATCGGTGCGAACAAAACAACCTGACTGGTTTTGCGAGAAAAGAACCATTCCAACTAATGAAAATGAAATTATTTTATCTTGAATTCTTCCAAATCTCATTTTAAACTTTAAAGGTAACCCCGTGTGAGAAAGAAATGACTGACTGACTATAACTTCAGTTGACTTTAGTTGATTGAATTTATATTTTTGTTCTAAGAAAATCACTTGGTCTCAAATGAAGCAACTTAGATTGACTTGTAAGTTCAAATGATTTCAGTTAACTATGATAGACTTACACTACACTTTGTACTGAAATGTCAATCAAAGTAAGTCATTTTTGTCCCAAATTAGTTAACTGACTGGTCAGTTACTATTTTTTCACACGGGACTTGTTATATTCAGAAAACGGTCAAATAATAAGCAAGCGAGCATAGATAAAGAGATTCTTTTTATTGAGGCGAAAAACATTTTTTTTTTGCTTTCTCTTTGTGTTGTTTATGTTAAGAAGCTTAAAACTAACAGCAAATGAAAATGTAATGCGAAACGAGTGTGCGAAAAAATTTATTTGTTTATTTTGAAGAATTTTATTTAAGAAAATGGTTGACTAATCATTAAAATGATTAGAAAAAAAACAATAAAAAGGTGAGAAAAAAAATTGATTTGAAAAAAAAAACCATACGGTTTTTTTCCTCACAAACAACCATTCTCTACGTGCAAAGCCCCCAATGCGTCCGCCTTACATTTGGCGAAGGCAGACTAACACTGAGGGCCACACAATATTTCTGCATCTGAAAGGGAATTTTTATATAACTATATAAACGACTTACTGCGATTCGAACTCGTGACCATGAGATAACTACACCGTGCACTCGATTGTGCATTGACCGCCTCGGCCACCGCTGCTACGAAAATAGTTGGTTTCGGTAGAACATTGAATTAAGAATGAAACGAAAGAGAAAACAGAAGAACAAAGCGTCGCAATGATGCTGTGCAAATCAGCTCGGTTACAATGACAGAATGGTGTGACAAAATGATATGAAATTCACTCTTTGCACCGAAGCATGGAGTGTGATAGTTTTGAATTCGTCGGCGATTTAAGCAAAACCTTTATCTCCTTTTCTGAAAGAAATTGGGCAAATGTTTCGCAGAATTCATATTTTGGACAGAACCGACATTCTTTTTTAAATAAAAATGTACAATTTGTCACATGCGGCTACATGATGCGTAGTACACGAGCAAGTGTCTGCTTTGCATGAATCAATACTTGTTGAAAACAACAGTTTTCACCGAAGCACCAAAAAAATCAAATGGGTTCTTAACTCTGACGAATGATTAAAACTCCCTATGTAAACACATTTTAAGAGTATAATTTTATCATCATCCAAGTTCAAAGTAATTCATCTTTTTTCATGTAAATTATTTTTAGATTAAAAACATTGAGTCAACCTTTTGGTCGCATCTTTTGCTTATCAATACTTCAGTTTAGCGCGTGATAGACCCTTTCATTCAGACGAAAGTGCAAAAGTCGTTATGCTATTCGCTTTCATCGGGAATTCATACAATTAAAAAGAGTTAATTACTCTACTTAGGCATAGATAGAGCTCAAAACGTGCAGAAGTTTGGATCTACTCCTTAAATAGATTGAATTTGTTCTATAAAATGTGTTGAAATTGGCATAATTCAAAGAAAATCCATCTCAATTTACTTCAAAAATCAAATCCGATGTGTTTCGTTTCAATTTGCAGAAGAAACATAATGTCTTCATTCACAAAACTACCGAATCCAACTGGAATTTGACAAATGTAAATGACAGTACGGCAATGTGCGCAGGGTTGTCAAATCCGTGCGATTGAACAGCTGTCAAACACCGCATACATGTCCAAAATGTGAAACGTCTTCAACGAGAGAAAAAACCAATACACAGAGATTTGGATGGAACACATTGAACATTCACAAAAAGCCGTAAATTCATGTGTATACATACACGGAAGGGAAACCACATACGCAACAAGATCAACGAAATTGATGATGATTTACGCGATGTGGTGGCAGTTCTGCAAGTGCGACGTGTTTGTCAACTTCATAAAAATTGAATAACTGGGCCCGTGTACATTATTTTTACAGGTGTTTTACGAACAAACAGAATTTGTTCTTTTCGTTTTGCTTTTGGTTGAATTTATCTTCTGTTTTTCCTGTTTAACTTTTGCCATTCTGAATTTATTAAATATGAGAGGCTCGACCGAAAAATATCCATAATTATTATCGCATTTTTCGTTTCAATTCATCACATCAGTTTCATTCATTGAGCGAAGCAAATACGTACGTAGCACAAACATTTGCAATGTCTTTGTACTCTAAAGCAAATAAATGCGATGTGTAAGCGCTACTTTTCTTGTGAATCGTGTGTTCGTTTGTATTCCAGCATCATTAGCCAGATGCGATAATGTGCAAATTGTTTTTTTTTATTCGGACGAGTCAACTAGCGAGATGTAACTATATAAAGAAATCAGAATCAATAGTGAAAATACTGAATTTTTTATTCGATGTGCGACCGTAATCAGATAGAATCAGAGCAAAATCAAGTAAAATCGAGAGAAAAAAAAACTGGCTACTGCCACCGTAGCCGGAGAGTGTATACACATACCATTGTTCATTCAGTGAATTTTAATAATAAGTGAGACAATTTTAAAAACTTAATGGTGAGCTGCTGCTGGGTGTAGAAAGTAGCAATTGGATTTTATTGCCAAACGACTGTGTGTTTCTGAGTGTTTCTTTCTCGTAGCGGTAGCACGTTCATTTTTTTTTCTCCTTAAGTGAATAGATTTTTTGTGTGTTGATAATTTTGTTGCTTTTTTTTCGGTGCATGTTTTAATGCTCAATGATTTATTTTCCATCGAGGAAGGCATTTTGTTTACGCTCGAAATCCCTCTGATTCCGGTCCTATGATTGTTTTCCAAACGAAGTGTTTTTATGGTCATTTTAGTACAAAAAATTTCGCTATATTTGGCCTGCTCCGTCGATTTGTGCCTTTCAATTTATTCGTGTTATTCATTTTTTTTCCACTCAATCCCATTGTAATGTGTTTAATCTTGGTGCGTTTAATAGTTATGATGCCCATCTTTAGAGCGAGAGAGAGAGAGATAAAGAGCGAGAAAGAGAGAGAGAGACGTAAAAAAAATGAGCGTATCTGCCAGTTGAGATCTGGTTCGGTTGAATGATTCTCAACATTTACCCAAATGGTGGAAACAATGCGAAGAATTTGTTGATTTTTTCCTCTCCGCTCTTTCAATTTTTAACATATTTGGCGTTTTCCAAGTGTTTCTGTTTACTTTTCCACATTTGTTCGTTGTCTATTTTGGTTGTCGAATTCAACATGTGCATCGAATATTATAAATGTCTGTAAATCGCGCATCTTACACACCAAAAATAGAAGAAAAAAAATCAAAGAAGTGCTTGCATTTTTTCTTGTTCGTTCGCTCTTGAGCTCAATACACAATCAAAAATTGTGAATAATTCCCTCACTCATCGGTTATTCGGAGTGTGTGTGTGTGTTCCCTCTCTCTCTCTCTCGCTGTATCATCTTCGTCGTTTTTCAACGCTGTCTCTGATTGAATCTTCAATTCGATGCGTTCAATTGCCGATTCAAACCAACACATTTAACGTGAAATAATGATGAGCAAGTGATGCAAGAGCCATCATATTTGTTCAGTATACTGAAATGAATTCCGGCTGGTCTCCACTGATTCATAGACAACAACAATATAAGCAATAACCAACACATAAAGAAGATAACATGTTTTGACATAGTGAATTGTTGCAATGCAAAAAAGCATAGCAACAACAACAAGATGCCATCATAATCGGGCTATCGGAAAGTCTTTGTGCGATAACTTCAACATGCAGCATACAGATTCGAAATATGCACAGACAATCAGTGCATTCAAATTTATGGCTGAGCAGTTTTAACAGATTTTTTTTCTTTCTTTCTTTCTTGCAAAATTAATTACACGAAGTATTAATTAATAATAATAAAAAAAAAACAAATAAAATATATCTCCCAATAATAACGATACGCTCGACCTTCATTTTCAAATTCAATTGTTTATCGTTGGAAGGAAAATGAATAGACACAATTGCACAAAACAGATGTATTTGAACAATTTTGACGCACGCAATTACCGACCCTGAGTCGGTCGTTTGCGTTTTTGGAAATCGAAATTCATTAAATGGTGTTGAGTTAATCATTTTACTTTATTTTCATTCATTCGACATGTGTATGTAGTGGTGAATGGCGAAATCTGTGATTTTAAACTTGTAAAACCCATAAAGCGAAATGGACTGCAAAACCTGTTTTCACATTCATATATGGATATAATGCAACAAAGCCGAAGAACACCAAACGGAAACAACCGTATTCGAATCGGCTGTGCTCCGAACCCAAAAACGATATAAAATCCATCCGATGATTTGTTGGCAAGCAATTGTGTGTGCACATTGGATCAAAAAAAAATTATTATTATTACAAAAAAAAAATGTTGTTGAAAGCATAATGTTTGCGAAATAATCGAAAAAAAAAGAAACATGCAAAAACCGCATTGAGGCATCTGTGCGGTTAAAAGCATTAATCGATGTGTTACACATTCGCGTTACATAGGAAACGTCATTGTGTGTTGCGATTGCAATCATATGCGTTCGAGTGCAAGTTCACAGCAGCAGCAAGATATAACCTTTGCTAATTACCAGCCAACGTACCGTATGAAGTACAGTTCTTTGAAGTGCATGCACTGCACGAAGTTGAGGTTTTCCATTTAGTTTATTTTTTTTTCTCTTTCGTCGTCTTCTTCAGCAAAACACGCCAAAACAAATTATAATTAAAAACCTTGCTTAAAAATAGGAAAAATGCCATAAACAGAATAAGCGGCAAAATAAAGCCAAATCATCGTGTTTGCACACAGTACACGATGAAGCGAACCGTTACAAAATGAATTCAATTACATGTACAAGTGGAGCTGAATCGTAGACTGACTTCGACGGAAAAAAACAAACAAACTCAGCAACCACCACATGAATTTCATATCAGAAGCAGTGTAGCAAGAATGTGAGACGTCTTCGTAACCACTGTGAAAATTTAATTGCGGCTGGTGCAGTTTGCCATCGCCGTGCATTTTTTTCATACAATCCCACACTTTCGCGCTCATTGAATATGATTGTTTGTGTGTGTGCTGTTCCTTTATTTTTTCTTCGCCGTTCTTAACTTCATTGTTTATTTAACAATTTTTTTCTTTCGTTAATTGTACGCTTACACTACCACTAATTCTATTTCAATGTGAATTAGCGGTTACGTTTCTTTTTGCCCGGCATCTCAAAAGCATATTTCGCTGATGCCGCACAACTGATTGCACTTACGATAATGATGTCTTGCTGCTACGGTAGTGGCGGCGACTGCTGCTAATATGGAAGCATTTTTCATACTGGTAACTTCCATGTAACTAGATATCAGAGCAAAGAAAAAGTGCTGACTCTCTCGGAACAGGAATCGAACGAGAGAAAGAAAAAATCTATTACATGCAAACTTAATCTAGACGAGGAATATGATAATGAAAAGACAACCAACGCCATTAATGGCACTGAACTGACGCTGTGTGTGTGTGTTTGGTGTTTTTTTCTTTCTATTTCGCCTGTGCAACTGAAAGCATTCATCATGTTTCGCATTTATGGCTGTAGTGGTTTAGAGACACAGACACGATAATGAAAATATATCCACTATGATAGAAAGTTGTTTGAATAATAAGAAAAAGCAAACAAAAAAAGAAATATGCCTACTCGGTTCAATTCGACAGTTGACACGAAGAGAAAAAAAAGCAAACGAAAAAAATGATTGTATATGCAATATATACCTATTGAACACTGGCAATATGATCGTAAAGTGAAAGTTTGTGGACGTCTAATGAAATGCGATCGATATGACAAAGCGGATAAAATACGCTTCGTTTAAGGCGAGAGGTGTGCCATTTGTCATTATCCAAACAAAATGTTATTCGATAGCAAGTTGGTGCTAAAAAACCGAATGATTCTTTTTTTTCGCTTCATTATTATCTATATAATAAAAATGATTCGTATTATCGATAATAATCGAGAACATACAGCTAGTGTCACCATAACCGTTATAATTTTGAACATTGACGACAAAAAATGAGTCATTTATTGGAGGGAGAAAGAAGACAAAACAATGTTTTCCAAGGCGATATAAAAAAAGCACCCAACGCTTAAACTGAAATGACCAAATAATTACACCAAACCATACCATTAACCTTCGTACAATGGTTTTGCAACATTTTATCGTTTGGTGTTAATGTTTTGTATCGCTTTTGTCTTCTTGGAAAATTGCACTCCGAAAACAATGCAATCGTTTTGAAATTGATGATGAATGGGACAGAACACCAATACAGTAGATTATATATAGCCGTTGTTATTGTTCCGTATTGAATTAGTATGTATTGTGTGACAATAGTGATTCGATTCGATTCGAAGCATGGGAACAATGCGTTAATGTTCATGGAAATCGTGATATTGGGCAATGGCCATTGAAAATGGGCTGGGCAACGGCTATAGATCATTGGCCTGGCTTGATTGTTTTTCTATTCCCATTCACCGTGGTCGACAAGCTTCGGTAGCTTAATTACTTATCATTTAAATGTCATTTGTCTGAAGACCGAAGAGATTCATGTGAATCTCAAGATTATCAATTTACACCGACCGCTATACAAGGTACAAGAAAATTGGAAAAAAAACCATCAACGAAAACACCGACCATCAACACATAAGCGATGTGTTTTTTCCCTGTTGATGTGCTTTCTTTTCATTCGCAACTCAGTGTTTACCTCTATACACGAGTCTGTTATTCTTTCATTATTATCCACTGCTGACGTACTACATTCATGTAGTAAAACGACGTCGAACAAGAACAAACATGGTAATGATATTCGTTGTGAACCAAATAATGAAACGCCGTTACGTGGCAAAACACGTTGAATAATCATAGACCTTAAGCCGAAAGTACGTATGCATCTTCTTCTTTTTTTCGTGTATACATGCGCTGTACCTGTTTTCATTCTTCCGTGTGACATTATGCAGCAATTCTTTTTCACCACGCTTTTTGTTTTTGCTACATTCATTCGGAATTGAAGCATCATTAGAGAGAGAGAGAGACAGAGAGAGAGAGAGAGAGAGAGAGAGAGAGAGAGAGAGAGAGAGAGTGTAGATGACATGTAAATTTCCTTATTATCTTCTGTAAGCATGGGAATTGTGTGCAATTATCACATGTTGTACATGGAATCAGAGATGGGAATGAAACATACATCGGACATGACATTAAATACTCGCACAAAATCCACACAAAAAAAATATTCAATTAAACTTCGAGATTTGGATTTTTCAACGGCGTTTTTTTCCGCTAATTTGATTGAAGTGATTCCTATGCGAGTCGTCAGCTTTTGCCAGCCGACATTGAAATTCAAATTCAAGATGAAATCTCTGCAAATGGAAAAGAAACACACACGCGCCATTACGATCTTGACAGCTGAACTTATCTACCGTTTTTCCGCAATTGCGGTGTATTCATTGCCGTGCGATCGCAACAGATGAGAGATTCGATTTTGGTTGGAAGAGAAAAAAGTGAGGCTAAAGATACTCCGATGCACATTATCTCTCACCAGATATTTTCTACTTTTATTTCCACTTTACATTTCGCGCCTTCTGCAAACACCATACGCGTTCGCACAACATACTTGGCATTAGCTCGCTTCGTTCGCTACACTTTGTTCATAATATGCAACAAGCAAACATTAAGACAATTGGCCCAATTACCATAATTACACAGATTTTTGCTGTTTTGCCATGTTGTTTGCATAGTTTTCATTCTTGTTTTTCTTTTTTTCTTTTTTCATTTCTGTTTTTTGTTTTTACTCGCGCTTTGTTTTGCTTCGTTGTTTTATTTAGCTGCTTTTCATTCGTCATTTTGGTACATATAGAGCAATTTGCACATGAACACCGAGCATAAATTACCGTATGATTTGGAAAGTAACTTCAATTGCCTGATGCTTTATTCGTTTTGTTGTTCATCAATTAGAAATTGGGTCTAATTGAAATGTATCACATTGAAATGTAAAACGAACATACAGGTGATCATTGAGCTTCAATAATGACGGTGTGTATGGAGAGGCAGTGTGATGTGCTCATTTTGTTTTCGCTTTCATTTGTGCAATGAATTCACAAAACAATTGAATAAATATTGGATATTTAAACGCGGAAGAGACGTTCACAGAATCTCTTCCATCTTATCAATCCATATTAATCGAGGCGTGATGCGTGTTTACATCCATTATTGGCGCAGATTCGGATTTTAGGAGTGACAAATTTCAACGTATTTGACGCAAACCATCTGTGCAAAGCATCGTCCCACGCGTGTCTCGTTTCACTTTCGAATTTACTTTAAAAAAAGCAATCAGTTGCAAAGTACAAAGCATTGTAGTCATTCTTTCGAGTGCTACAATGTTGAGCAGTATAATTGTGACATACAGTCATTTATTTTATTGAACAGTGTAAATAGTAGCTTTCCATTCTTAAGCATTCTATTGTCGATATTCTTAAAGTGAATTCTCTTTTCACAGAATCAATAACTAGAAATAGAAAACAAATAAGACGTGTGCCGAGTAGGAAAAAGGCAAGAAATTTTGTGCAAAGCTACATCGTAAAGACCATAAAGTAGCCGTGTTTATAAATTTCCTGTATGAAAAGAAATGAACAACTACTAGTCGTTATTCATTCCATATACGCTCCACTTAGCACATTTTTTTCCGTCCATTTTTTATCGTGTTTATGTTCCACTCCGCAGTGTAAATGTTGTTCGAATTTGGTTGTGATGTTAATTGAAACTGTCACAAAACAAATAAAACTCGCTGAATAATTTTTGGTAATTAATCATTTCGTTCCAATGCCCGGTTTTTCCACGGACCGCCCGTTGTATTCAACAAACGGCAAAATGACTAAATTTAGAAACAAGATCATTGTGCTGGAGAAAAAAAGAAGGAAAATATGTAACACTGATTCATAGCCGTTGAAAGATTCTTCATATTTCGAAAGAAACAAGCTCAACGTTTGTTTTCGTTACTGCTTTGTTTCCATTTCTAAAGCTTAAATTGTGATGTAACGGTGGCAACTATCAATGATATATACCCAATTTAACCCATTCGAACAATAGATCTAAATGAATTGCCCCATGGAAAAACTGTAAATACTTCGTGTATAAGATTTTGCTTCGTTCAATCAAAATCTCAAATCATCATCGAATTTGTTGAAAGGTTCTCTCAGTTGGCAATTAACTGAATGACGAGAGAGCACAATACAAAGTGGTTTCGTTACGAGAACATAATGGATGTCGATAGTGAGATTCTGTTGCGAATGAAATCTAATATTAAATTTTCACATTTGTTACGCTTTAGAAAAGTAAATACCTCCAAATGGAGATATAAATGGTGTTCGAAACGGAGTAGAAACAACCAGAAGTAAAAAAAATGAGAAGATTGATTCGTATCAACGTATTCTTTGTGCTTATGATCGAATGAATTATATATCGATTTGATAAAGATAACCACAGTTTTCAAGTATTTAAATGTGTGATGAGTCATGTTTTCAGTATGAACACATCGGTACCGATTCGGTCACGCTCATCGTTCAAAGTAAAACTGCTCAAATTATTTCTACATGTTAATCTCCACCAATTCCACACCGTTTCTACGATTCCACACCGTCTCTACAATTCCACACTGTGCTCACAATCATGGCTAATGGTTGCCTATTTCCTCGGGCGTTGTACAAAATAAATTTAGAATCTTTTACTTCAACATTTTAACTTGATTCAACTTGAAACTAGGGAATCTTCGAAATAAACGAAAAACATAGAAATAAATTGAATATCAGGCCGCAAATGCAGCCGAAGCGTTTGAAGTTGTTATTCGAGCCGATTTTTATTTTCAAACATTTCAACAAGAATAGTAGACTTACACACACACCATAACCGATATCGATAAAAGTGATTACGTGTGCATTTTTATTCTAGCAATTAAGTTTCTAGCTATATATTCAAACGAATTTATTTTATCGAATTTTATTTCATCTGTTGAGCAAACTAACGTTATTTATTTTCTTTTTTGCAGCAAAACCAACACCAGCCAAACAAAACGAACGAAAACATGAGTACACATGCAGAAGCACGTCATAGGCATTAGTAGAACATTGTAGGTGGAATAGGAACACGTACATAATAATTCACACAAAATTGAATCGACAGAAAAACGCACTGCGCGGCAAACATGAACAAATGAAGAAAATCCATAGAGCCAAGTGTAAATAACATAAACAACAGCATCAACATCAACAAAAAAATACATACAAAAAAAAAGCCCAACCAATTTCACGCGTTTTAGTTTTAAATTCGTATTTTAATTTTTTACAACGCAACGCGGAAAAAAATAACGCGTACAATTTTTTTTTTCGAGAGAAAAAAAAAGCATAATAGTTGAATACGTAATAGGGTTTGATGTTTTTGTTTTCTACTAAATGCTCATCGTTTTAAAATAATAATCTAAAGTAAAATAAAAGGTCAATTGTGCGCGTAAAGTGATAGAGAGTAAGTGGTAGAAAGAAGCCAAAATTAATATCCAATTTATAAATGAAATAATGACAAATGTGACACTATCAAGAATGTTTCGAGGAAAAGTTCGATCAAATACATGCCGAATTATAATCTTGACATCTATCGTCTGGCTGTTAATCGATGTGGTGGTGTTGATGCACTATGTCGATTTATTCAGTTCGAATACAGGCCGAAGGGCGGGCGAATACGAAGTTGAGGTAAGATTCCATTTGTTTTATTCATTCCTTTGTTCAATATGTGTCTAGACTTGAGTGACTAAAATGAAGAAATCGGTCGTTTGTGGTTTAAAAAAAAATGCAACATTAGCCATTAATGTGTTGTGCGAAGGTAACAGCTGTTCTGGCTAAACGATCACGACTCGTCTCTGAATTGAAGTGATTAAAGTGATCGAATACGACTTGATTTAATCGCCTGAGCTGCATGCACGTGACTCAATCTCACTAATGCTGACGCTGATTATTCACGTTTTTATTTCTCTCTCTCTCTCTCTTTTCGTTTTCCAATCGTATAGATTTCACATGCGCACGCGTCTAAACAAATCGCACCTGCCGAGGATGATGATCCAATTGTAGACAATAATGAGATAGACACAAACAACAATTTAGATAGTGAATGGGCCATTACCATTCCGCGAACATATCGTATTACTGAATTAAAGAGATGGCGTTCGGCACCGATCGTTCCAAGTGTGTACGGACGACCTGGCGAAATGGGTATGCAAAACAGTTACATACAAATACAATGTCCAATTGATTTTAGCACACTTAAATTACCATCATTTGGATGTTTTTTTTTCGATTTTTTCAGGTAAACCGGTGGTCATACCGAGGGAACAGCAAGCGCTGATGAAAGAAAAGTTCAAGGAAAATCAATTCAATTTAATGGCTAGTGATATGATTTCATTAAATAGAAGCCTGTCCGATGTTCGTAATCCCGACTGTAAATTAAGGAATTACCCAACCAAGTTGCCAACCACATCGATTGTGATCGTGTTCCACAATGAAGCTTGGACAACGCTTCTGCGAACTGTATGGAGTGTTATTAATCGGTCACCGCGACCATTACTCAAGGAAATTATTCTGGTGGACGATGCTAGTGAACGCGATTATTTAGGCCGTAAACTAGAAAACTATGTGAAAACATTACCGGTCAAAACATTTGTGCTACGCACAGAAAAACGCTCAGGTCTTATACGAGCTAGATTATTAGGAGCTAAACATGTTACGGGACAAATTATCACATTTCTCGATGCGCATTGTGAATGTACCGAAGGTTGGCTGGGTAAGTCAGCAATCTAGCAGTTTTTTTTTGTTTCCAAAGAACGTTCACTAATGATAAAAAAACTGACCAATCTCTTTCTTCATTTTACAACTTTCAGAGCCATTATTAACCAGAATCGCAAAAGACCGAACAACCGTCGTATGTCCTATCATAGATGTCATTTCAGATGATACGGTAAATAGAGTATTGAAACTTTGACTTTTCTTGCAATAATTCTCAATTTTTTTTTCCTTCTGAAATTTCAGTTCGAATACGTAACGGCATCCGATCAAACGTGGGGTGGTTTCAACTGGAAATTGTAAGTAACAGCGATACTTTCACAGCTAAAATCTTGAAAATAGAAAAGATTGATATTCTTTTTATCAATGAGTTAGATTGAAGTGTTATAAATGAATTCCAAAGTGTCTGCAAAAGCGAGACTAGTATCATTCACTTCTGTAATGTATCGCAATTGCAAAGTAAACCCCTATTGTATGTTATTTGAAATGTATGTTCTTTCTGTACACTGGAATGGCTATTTATAACATATGTATTCAATTTAAGCCGATAAAAATGGAGAATTTCTTTTATACTACATGAAAAAGTCATATTGTAGGAACTTCCGATGGTATCGTGTGCCTCAGCGTGAAATGGAACGTAGACATAATGACAAAACGGCACCGCTGCGATCGCCAACGATGGCTGGTGGCCTGTTTTCAATTGACAAAGATTTCTTCTACGAAATTGGAAGCTACGATGAAGGCATGGACATATGGGGAGGAGAAAATCTCGAAATGTCATTCAGAGTAAGTGTCGGTCAAACGGATAGATCCTGATCAGGATCTCGAGTGACTGGAAAAATCGTGAATCAACATATGATTCGGTCATATATTTGTTTCACAAATCAATTTTTTCAAATTTTCAATTTATTGACGTTTTTTATTCAAATTGAAACAAAATCAAAACTAATGAAACAACTATCTACCAATTGCAACGAGTTAGATTTGGCAATGTGGCGGCATTTTAGAGATAATCCCATGTTCACACGTCGGCCACGTTTTTCGCGATAAAAGCCCATATACGTTCCCGGGCGGTGTGGCCAAGATTGTTTTGCATAATGCTGCTCGAGTGGCTGAAGTTTGGTTGGACCAATGGTAGCACCACTTTTATTTTCTCTATTTTTCTCTCTCTCAATCGTTAACAAGATTGAATCGAAGCAAGAAAAAAAAAATGTCCGTTGAAATAACCTGTCTTTTGCAATTCTTCGTTATTTACAGGAAGGAGTTCTACTATGCAATGAGTCCAGGTTTGACCGCATTTTATGATTTTCATAGCATACATTTTCGATTAAGTCAAAACGAATTTCGAATCTGATTAACCATTTGGAATTTGTTTTTTTTTTCTTGGGGTGGTTCCATGGACTCATGTCATCGTTAAATTTCATATCTAGCATTTTGTTTGTTAACCAAAATCTATTGTGACTCTCTTTCTCTCTGTTGAATATTTCAATATAACTCATATACGTTTGTGTCTGCGGTCCTATTTATTCATCGGTGGCAAAGTAGCTCGTCAACCAGCTCCAGCATGAGAGAAAATTATGCTTTATAATCCCATTACTATTCTAATAATATCTATATATTGTATTGGTCTTTATGCATTTATTCCGACTCTGTGCTTGGTGATGAATTCGATTTTCAAACCATTCGTATGGTATTCAAAATGGGCTATCGATTTATTGTTGTTTCAAATAATACCAAAACACATATTGGCTCATCAAACAATGCATTAATTTAAAAAATGCAAAACTGAATTTTTAAAACAAAACGAGAAAAAAACGAGCCGATTTGTTGTTCCATAAATTTGATTAACATTTTTCGCTATGTAGGTCATTTATAAAATATTTTTACATCATGTTCATCATTTTACTAACACAATTAACAAAAAAAAACGTTTTTTTTTCTCTCTTTGATCATTTTTTTATACAATTGATTGGCATCAGGTGTGGATGTGTGGTGGTATTTTAGAGATTCTACCTTGCTCTAGGTAGGTGTTGAATGCTTGAGCTGAATTAACATTTCCTAATTAAAACCAAATAATTTTGCTGTCGTTGTTATTGTTCCTTGCTCTATAGGGTAGGGCATGTGTTTCGTAAAGCGACACCATACTCGTTTCCAGGTGGGACGAGTCAAATTGTCAACCATAACAATGCTCGTTTGGTTAGCGTTTGGTTGGACGAGTTTGCGGACTTTTACTACAGTTTTAATCCAGGTTGATATTTATTCACACACTCACACACACACATACACGTACAAAAGAAATGCGTTTTATGTTTGCAGTGAGACCGTTTGCACTCGTGTGACCCTTTCTTTCTTTTTGTTGTTGTTGTTGTTGTGTTCCAAAGACGAAATTTACACGCCGAACCTATTTCGGATTTTGTGTTAAATGTTCACCTGTTCTAGTTTGTTGATCCTATTCGCACTCCCTGTCCATCCCTGTAGTAGTTGGCATTTATTTAGGCATTTTTTTCCATTCATTTTGCATGCAATCCATACTAGAACTAAAGCATCATTTTGGCTTGGTGACGGGACCATAAAACATTTCCATTCCAATTGGCATGCTTCATGACTTTCAAATGACATTCAACTTCCGCAATAAATTTTATGCACACGCCATTCGAAAGAATGCTGAACAAAAGGCACATGGACTGTAGACGCACGCTTAATGAATGCTTTTTACACGTTTCAGCGCCCTTTTTTCACATACAGTGCAAATAAATGATTTAATTGATATAAAAAAAATACGCTCATTCTGCATTGAGTTCATGTTTCGTGTATGCAATCACTGCGCGTGCTTTACAGTCAAAACATATTTGAATGCTTGTGCTAAATTAAAATTTCCTAATTAAAACTAAATATTCTTTGTTGTTGTCGTTGTTATTGTTCCGTCGTAAATAAAGGAGCGAGAAAAGCATCAGCTGGCGATGTAAGTGAACGAAGAGCACTTCGGGACCGGCTCAAGTGCAAGAGCTTCCGTTGGTATTTGGAAAATATTTACCCAGAAAGTCAAATGCCGCTTGACTATTATTTCCTCGGAGAGGTAATTATGCAAAACTATTAACCGAGAGAATTGTTCTACGAGAAAGAATATTTTCTTGCTTTTTTGAAGATTTTTCTTTATTCTGAAGAATAAGTCAGTTTTTAGATGGTTTTTAGTTTTTAATGAATTTTTCTTAAACATTTCGTTCTTTTCGTTCACGGTATTTCAGATCCAGAATGCGGAAACGCAAAATTGTTTGGACACGATGGGTCGAAAAGCAAATGAGCCGATCGGCAGCAGTTACTGCCATGGATTGGGTGGCAATCAAGTTTTTGCATACACAAAACGGCATCAAATCATGTCGGATGACAACTGCTTGGATGCGGCGCATCCAAGAGGGCCTGTGAAACTCGTTCGGTGTCATGGAATGCAAGGAAACCAAGAATGGAAGTATGACGAAGAGGTAAGTTTAGAAGAGAAAAAACTAAATTTGGACAGGTTTTTCTTTTGGTTTTGATATAATTTCTCTTTTTCGCATAATTTTCTCTTTTGCAACGAAAAAATAATGATTTTTGCTTCTTCATTCAGGAAAAAACAATTAAACACATCAATTCGGGTAATTGTTTAACTCGTGCCACATCAGAAGATCCATCCACGCCGTTGCTTCGACCGTGCGACTACTCTGAAGGCCAACAGTGGCTTATGAAGACACAATTTAAATGGCAAGCAAACTAAATTCGAATTTCGAAATAAAACAACCTAACTCTTACACACATACACACATGAGGAATGAACCGTCTTTTGGTGCTTTAACCCGTAGCGACTTTGACACTTATCTACAAAAACTTTACTGGGAATATTTTAAAGATTTTTTGTCTGATAAAAACAAAAATAAAAATCCATAAAAAACCCTCTCTAAAGAAAGAGATAGCGAGTGAAATGGATCAAGTTTAAAGACTAATGATTTATGTCTTCCTTTTTATAAGAAATTATACGAAAATCTTTCATATCCGCTGTTCACTAGTATAGTTCCGTTCAAAATTAAAGAGAAACAAAAAATGAAACAAACAAGAAAAAAAAACTTGTGAAAAACCATGAGATAAAACATTCGAAATTTACTATGATAAGCTATTGCCACAAGATGGTTGACAAATTGTACAGAAGAACAAAGAAAAATAAATGAGACATTTTAGCGGTTATTAAATTGGCTCAACATAGACAACAAACAAAATGAACAATCGACATAGTATAGTATTCTATACGGTAACATGATTCAATTTTAAATGAGTGCAAACATGCGAATTCACCGCTTTAAATCCAACGATCAATCGATATATATGTAGCAATTTTATGAGAAAATATTAAACTACAACAAAAACAATTTCTTAATTACACAGAACAAATTGTATTATATTTAAAAGAAAGAGAAAATTGGTTTGAAATGACCAAGTTTTTGAGCATCGTCTCGAAAACTAACTGCAAATGACTTGTGAATGAATTTAATGAAAGAGACATGCATGTTTTACTGGTTTAAGTTAGTTAGAGAAAAGTTTGAAGAAATGATTATTAGCGCATTCATTGATATTAGCAGAAAGAAAACTTTTCTTTAGACGCTTTTTTTTCTTATATCGATTCTTGGCTTGCATAGCCATGTACAACAATGTTCTGGTGATGCGTGTCAATTCACAATATATATATATTGAATGAATGTACGATTATTGAATTTTTTTTCCTTAGTTAACATGGAATGAGAAGAGAAATGACACAAAGAAGAGAGAAAAAAGGAAATGAAATTTCATTGACATGATTGAAATATAGCTGAACTAAACGTAATGCATCCATTTGCTCTAAATTTTATTATAGCATGAATAAAAAAAATTGAAAATATGTGATTACGACGATTGATTTACAATTTTTCTTACGTTATAGTTTAACTGAAAAAAAAATCTATATTATGATATTGATTCAATCCAACGTTTTTTTTTTTAATATAAAGAGCGCACAACTGACAATTGGAGTTGAATGACGTGAAACGTTTTAACTTTTGATTGATTTTTCATTTGCGATAAGAATCGGTTATGGTTTATGACGAGAAAGTGGAATGAAAATAAGAGAAAATAAATAGAGCGTTCATGTTTCTTTTTCCTCTCTTTTCATTCTTATTGCTACAATAGATTTGCTTGATAAATTACTGTATAAATTGAAATTCATTGCCAATAAATCCTGAAACAATTTTCTTTAGAAATACATACAATAAAACTCAGTTCCAAATGGAAATTCTCAATGACAATCGTAACTTTATTTTTTATTGGATTTGCATAAATCACTTATATGAATAATCCAAACTGTCAAACATTCAGTCCGATTCCAGCAATGAATTATTATACTATTGTTAAAAGCTATATCGCATATCACAACAATAACATGAATTCGGTGCAATAAAAATTAATTCCAAGAAATGATAAATAATTTAAACACCTAAGCGCGATGACACATGTATGAATGCATAATTTTGAAGATATTTCGAGTCAAATTTTTATTAAAAAAAATATTAAAAACAATTAATGTAATAATTACAAATGTAAAATAGCCTTGAAATGAGAAAAATTAGCAATTCTATTGAAAATATGAATGCAAATTTTCCGTAAAAAAAGAAATTAAGACAGAAAAAAATGATGATAATTGAACGATGAGAATTCGTTCATGAATAAAATTCGAATAAAGATAAAATATGCTCAAGATCATGTTGTTTTAATTGAATTCCCATTCATTTTTTTTTTCTAGATATGACGTATCTTTGTGTTCAAGCTTACCTCCAACATTTCCATCTGGAATACAATAACCTGGAATTGGCATCAAATGAAAACCATTTTGTTTTTCTTTATTTGGCGTTGACAAATATGGAATAGTACATTTATTTAATAAATTTTATATAATTGTTGTATCGCACTCGCGATCATATCCAAAAATAAAATCAACAATCAATTCACAGTACAAAGAACATATCCAATTCCAATTTGAATTAAAAAAAAACTTTAATTTTTGTTTAGAATTTCTGTGGAAGATAAACGATTATAAATGAATCTTCAAAAGCACGTTTGTCTTTTCTTCGTTCGATTTTCACTACATAAATGAATTGTGAGCTGAGAGGAATTGTTTTTCCCTTCCAAATGGTTAATTTTTAAGCTCGAACATGAATATGAGTACATAAATTCAAGTGCTTGGCCTGATGAGACAATGCGCTCAAATACACACACTGACGTCCAAAAGACTTAGGTATCCTATATGGTTCAACATCGACATAGTTTTTTTTTTAGTTACTTGACTGCTATTCCGTAGAAAGATTGATACGATAGTTCGATAGTTCCAAGCATTCTACAAATCACGTTATTTCATTGCTATTTAAAAATCGTACGAAATTTAGATTTTGGTTTTAGATCCAGAAAGGAAAAAAAATTGAAAAACATATTTTTGATGTTCTTGTTCGATTTGCTCGTGTTTTTTTTTTGTTCAATTCATTGGCCGAAATCCATGATGCCTTGAGATCATTACTTAATTTACAAATGTGTCGAACCTCAATCATGAGGTCGATTATATGGCTCATCAGTGAGCCTATGGCTTGAAACTAAACCCTAACTCTAATTTCAAATAAATGGTCTCTTAAAAATGGTCACAGAAAAGAAGATAGGAAACGCAAGATTATTTTATTGGTTATTTTTGTTGTTTTAGTTTCTTCACTAAAATTAGAACATATTATTACTACGACGACTACTAACGAAGACGTAATTTGTTATCGTTTCAAAACCTGCAAAAAATGATTAAAGTATGGCACACATTTTGTCACTTTTTTGCCGAGTCATTGGCATCGGTTCGATCGGTGTTGGTAGTAGCTCCTGTTGCTTTGTTAGAAATTTACGTCGTTGTAAGCGATAAATGACGATGCGATAAGCTCCAATTATATCGCTACGTGGTCCGCTGTCAATCGAATGACACAGCATTTCGCTGGTAATGCCAATCTTCTGTAGAATCGAACGAGCTTCAATTTCCAACGGATGCAAACCGTCCAGGCAGTCTGTATTGGTTGGTGCCATAACAAAATCACCTTGCTCCTCGTCATCGTTTATGTCATCGCAACCGCCACCGGAGCGACCACATGTAATGCTATTATGCTTCGAACTTGACTCGACCGTTCGTCGCAACGCTTGTATTTGATCGGAATGTGATATCGATATTTTGTCTTCAATACCATTTGTGCAATTATTAAAAAGGTTACTTTTGCTTTTCTCCTCCATTGGTCCGATTTTCTTCTTCAATGAATGACCGAATATCGAACGTCGTCTCGTTTTTGTTTGACCGTCTGCGACATTTGACGCTTCATCCGTTGACGACGGCAATATATTAATCGGATGTAGAAAATTCTCTTCTAAAACGCTGTTCGCACGTTTGGTGTTAAAATACAATTGTACTAGATTAGCATCGGTTTGACTAAGATCGGTGCTTTTGTGAATGATACGTTTGCGTGAGAACCAATGGATTTTTTTGGTATTATTTGCCGTTTGTTTGGTTGAACCGGTTATTGCGCTTTCTAATGTGATATATTGGTTGTTTATCCATTGGCTGGTTAAAATTTCGCTGATTTTCGGGCGTCTTGATGGTACATGCACTAAAATACGCTCTGTTGTCGTGCAACAAACAAACAATGGAAAAAGTCCATTGGTAAATCCAATTACTAAAACATGTTGATCTATTGTGATTTTGTGAACGAAGCAAAGATGTCAACTTACGAATTAATCTAAGACATGGCAAACTCAAAGTGGCAGGTAACGAAAAATCGCCTCTCAATACGGCGGTACGCAATGCCGGCACGGTTGGTGCTCGGAATGGCATATTTCCAATCACCATAAAATATAATAAAACTCCCGAAGCCCAAACATCCACCGGTCCTCCAAAGTAGGAATCATCACTGAACACTGTGAAAATGTGCAGAAAATTGGCGCATAATTAAAATTCAAATACCCTCTTAGAATATAATGAACAAACAAATAAAATGTAAATTCAAATATATGTATATACGTTCGGGTGCGGCATAAGGAGGTGACCCACAAAATGTGTCAAGTTGTTGCTGTGCCCCGTTTATCAACTGTGTACTGAAGCCGAAATCGGCCAATTTAACTTTGTTCTCAGCAACCAGTAAAACATTCTCCGCCTTGATATCACGATGTACAAATCCCAAATTGTGCTGTGTGTGTGTTTGTGCGTTGGGTCGAAAAAGATTACAAAATTAGTGTGTTTTACATAGAGACAACAGTGGAATCCTTTAATCCATTAATTGTGTGTCCCTAATTAATATTCCATACCATGTGCTGAACGCCCAGCAGCAATTGCTTAAACAGTAATGCGGCATGAACTTCCTTCAACGGGCCATCTTGGTTAATTCGATTGTATAATTCACCACCTTCATAACATGAAGAATGCAATCGATAAATTCAACGAATCCACACAATAGCATTGAACAATTATTCGGACAAACCTTGAATCCACTCTGTCACCAAATGAACTCGACCAAGAGTCTCAACTACTTCAAATAACCTAGTGACAAATTATGCAAATCAAATCAGAGTTCATTTCGCTTATTTCTTCTTGTGTGAGTGGTGGGAAGAGGTGAGAGCAGCAATAAATTACTATGATTATATAGACCAATGGCAAAAAAGAGCTTAGCGCCTCTTCATCAGTGACAAACAGACAGAATTTTATCCATTTTCCCATTGGAATTGAGTGCGAATGGCAATGGAAACATTTGTATGGCTTTTAAGCCGGGAGCAAAGTTGAAGCTGTTGAAAAAAAAAACCACTCTACCATACGACCCTTTTCCACTGAGAGATACAGTAATTTGATCTTTTGAATGTTAACCGCCCACATTGTGCCATTAGCTCAAATAAATAGTTTGAATATTTTGAAGGGAAAAAATTCAATTGTTCAACAGGGGATGGGTTAAGCGACTTACCTTAAGATATTCGGATGATGCACACATTCTAAGGTAGCAACTTCGCCTGTGGCAATATTAAAACATATATTCAAATATGTACAGATGCCACACAAAGGCTACACAAAGGCTACACTCAACTTACGTGATAGCATTCGCAAGGCTCTTGTGTCCAATCGTCCTCTGTCAACAACTTTGATCGCCACTTTATCTGTTCAACAAAAGAGATTTTTTTATCTTTCATGCAACAACAACAACTGTGCGCTTATCAACGTTAATTCAATTTAAATCATACCTCTTGTCAGTTGATGAACCGCTAATTTCACACGAGAAAAATTTCCTCTGCCGATGTCTCCACAAAATCGGTATAAACCTATTCTCCTGCCCAAAGCAACCTATTGTAATGTACCACAAAATTGTTTTGTTACATTGAATGCCATTCAACGGCGTCTAACACAACAGTTTGTATATGCTAAATGTATTAAATCAATTAAATTTGATCACATCAAAGCGATACCAATTTAATAATTACTAAATTGTACTAATTGAACGTGTTTGATTGATATATATTTCAATGGGAGAGTATTACAATGTGTCAAATGAAGTGTGACTTGGTAAAAGTGGTTGTTGTGTATCGGCAAGTGTATTTAAATAGCATAAACTATTAGTGAGTATGAGCTATTTTTCTTCTTATTCTTCTTCTGAACAGAGCACAAATATTACTAACTAAAACTGAAATGGTGTGAATTCACTCTCACGTGGTGTTATAATATGATTATTTCACATTTATCATCATTATTGAATTGTGCTGAATTGAAAATAGATTGTATGTATTTTCAAATATTTTTGCTCTATTATTGTAAATCGGAATATTTGCAAAATCGAAATGTGTGTTATCATTAGAAATCGTTCCATGCGTTTCAATTCCAATGTCGATAAATGAAATCTATTTGCATTGCTGATATCAATGGGTACAACATGTATGTATTCAGTACGATATCAAGATATCGATTTGGCGGTTCTACATATTTTGGCATTATATGACACATTTTCAATCAAAATAAATGGAAAAGCTGAAGGGAAATGAAGAGGAAATTCACTCTGAATGACATTTACTTTGAATGATATGTACTTTGATAAGGGAAATTTACCTCTGTCGCACATCTTGGATCGGTTTGTAGTGCGTTGGTAAGTCGCTGATATGGTGTTATTGCGGCAGGAGATGGTTGACACAGGCTCTCGTCACCTTCCACGACGATTCCGGTTATTCGATTCTCGAACAAAAAAAACCTAAATGACACAGAAACACAGAAAAGAAACACGTTATTACACCTACTGCGTGGTTTTTTTTTCATTTCTTCATTGACGGTGATTTATTTTCGAAATGATTGCATTAAATGAAAATTGGTTGGGATGGTTTTCTGCTCATTTCGTATATGTATGTGTGGCAATTTCAGCGGGTTTTTTTTCTCTCTCCTCTGCGTATGTTTTGTGAATTATGTTTCGTGATTGGGAATAATTGCATTTAGAGGGTAAATTGTGTGTAATTTGTTACACACGAAATTGATTATCACTTGTGTGTTATGAGTAGCGAACACAATCGTAAAAACCACGAACGAAAAACAAATGAAGTTTATAGCTCGTGTTTTTTTTCCAGTCCATGATCAACGGATGTGTAAGTCTGACGCGGTTTTTATAATGTGTACCGCATACCGATAACATCACCCTTGAAATATATATATATGGTATATACTTCACTGCAGTTTTTCGATTAGCTGAACACTGAGCTCAAATTATTGCCATCAATGATGACTGTCGGATTTGGTTTGAAATTAATTTCAACGTCGCCGTTGCGCCAAACACCAACGGAATGAAACGAAATGGACTTGATGTTTTTCCATAAAAACACACACACACACAAGCAAACACAATTACGGTTGAGAAGTTAAAGGTGCGATTACATTAATTGCATAGAATCACGATCATTCTGCGAAAATCAAAGCAATACATCTTAAAGACGCTGCAGCCGGTGGGAGGGTGGAACCGAGCCAAAAAGGAAGCTTATTTTTGGTTTAGTGCTTGTAATTAAGGGGATGTGATGCTTTCACTCTATGTTTTATACTATTTTATTTTCTGCCTAATACATTACCGATAAGTTTCATGTGTATCATGAAGGCGGCTTATTTATGAGGTAAGTAGGCACATTGAGTCAGCGATTAGTTGACATGTAAGAATGTCAACGGAATGACGGTCCAAGTAACATGTATTGTATATAATAATTGATAGAAAAACAAATCTAATTCTATTCACTTTAATGACCGTTGTTACTTGGAAAACTTTTGTTTGCTGTCGTCAGCAGCAGCAGCAGCAGCAGCCACATTAAATTAGCCGGTGAATAAGGGAATTGAAAAACATTGCCCTCAGCCAAACCGATTCAAGGTCTTCTCGCACAAGAAAAAACCAAAAGAATGAAAAAACACGAAGCAGAAAAAAAGAACGACAATTTGACTTGGAAAGTTATGGGTTTTTGAAAGCAAAATCAAAACCTTCAACTTCGATGTCGACAATAAAGCTTCGTTTTTTGCATGGAAAGCAATGGAATCAATTAAGACGGGAGAACAAGAAACAAAAAATAGAGTCATACGCTAAATGCACGACACAAATGAAACGGAAAAGCAAATAGTCCATCGAAAAGAAAGAACCAAAAAGAAAAAAGCGATGAATGTATACATAAGTTTTATTGTATAAAGCTTTGCTTTGGGGTGAGAGTCAAGTGTGTGCGGCGTGTGTTTAGCTGTTCATCAAGTTTATCGATGCGCAGATATTTGCATAGACTCTATGGATATGCTAATTAGTTAGTTTCAGTTCAGTTGGGTTGAACCACGTGTTTGCTCCATCAAACCGAACACTTTGTGGCGATTTTCTAGCGGCTCCATCATTCACATTTAGCTAGTTTTTTTTTCGTTTTCCACCAAACGCGTGTTTTCAATGGGAAGCGTGTGAATTATAAGCGCCTTCTTCGCGCTAATTTTCGTGTTTTCATTCACACTTTTCGGTGGTTGCTGGCAGCGTTGAAAAGAAGAAGCAGCACCAGCAATGATCGTCGAACGGAAAGATGTTTTTGGAAAATCGCGTGTCGACGATGTTGTGTTTGTATTTCCCAAACATATCCTTTCCGGTACGGCTCGCGGTTATGGGGTTTTGCCACGTTCAAAAAGTTATGAAACAATCGAACCAAAACGGGCTTATTATTTTGGTTTTACTTTTGCTTTCGAACAATGAGCCGGATTCTATGCTCAAAGAATGAGCACCATACACGTGTGCAATTGAAATGCCGAAGCATTAGCCTTAATATAATCATTTGTTATTCGTTCGGCCTAGCATAATGAGTCTGGAGAATTTGCTGCTGCTTCTAAATGAAAAACACAACACAATACACAGAACAGAAAAAAATAACAAGCGGTCAGGAAAATGCAAATGCTTGAACTGAATTATGTTATTTCATCGAGCGTTCAGTCTATTGGCACTGCTTCAATCATAATTCATGTTTGACTGACAAGTTTATTGTTATTTTGATTTTGAAGGTTTTCCTCCAATTGCGATTGTTTTTCTTTTTCTCCGAAACACTTTTGTGTTTGATAGCACAATTAAATATTCATGAATGCGTGGGCTGTTCTTGCTCATTCTTCTTTTTTTCCATTTTCTCACTCTCTTCCTTTCGCTTTCTATCTTTCTCATTCTCTCTCTCTCTCTCTCTCTCTCTCTTTCTCACACACACAAAAAGCCCAGCTCCAAAATTACTGTTAAGTCACTTTTGTGTCAGCCAAGTTTTTTCCCCTCAAATCTACCACCAAACGAAATTCAGAACATGGAATATGCTATATATCCGTAATGACTTGTGTTGAAAATTGGCCAAAATTACATATTTCACTTTGTGGTTTTTGTCAAAATTTGATGAATGCTTTGGTAAACAATAAACTCCGAGCCGAGATTAATTGAATTGTTTATTTGCTTAAATGTATGCGCGAATTTCATTTTCACTTTATAGATTTGTCGAACTGGATGCGCGATAGCATATTGTGAAACGAGACGAGAACGGCGTATGTGCGCGGCTTTATCACATCAACATATCTGAATGCAAATAAATGGAAGTCTTCTTCGTTTGGTGGCTTGTCATTTATTTGATTTGTGTGATGCAGTTGTTTCTTCTTCTCTCTTGCTCTCGAATTGCGTCAGAAGATAAGAAATTAAGCCATTTTAGAAGCGCTCTCTTAATAAGTATTAATGTGCTTTACGTTCTGTTCTTGCACGTGATTCGATGCTGTAGTCTCTTTGAACATTCACCAGCATAAGCTGCTTGGATCTCATCCAATTGAACAAACGAAACAAGAGAGAGAGAAAAAATAATGACGTATTTCCTTATCACATTCGTATTTATTCAATTTGTCGATGGTCGTCATTTCTCGAGTTTTTTTTTGCTGTTCTTTGTGTGCCTGTCTTTGTCTCGTTCAAATGCAAAATGGAAAAAAATATATTAAAGATTAAAAAGTAGATCGAGTGTCATCTAAATGTGCATGTGTGAATTAATTCAAGCGATTCGGTTAGATACATTCTGTAGTTTAGTAACATAAAACCTAATGTGCCATGTACTGTATGCAGTGCGTGTGTTTGTTGTGTATACATTAGTAAATTTATCTTTATTGAATTTGGAATTGACCCAAAACACTTAACATCCTTAAGATATGGACGTGTAAATTCACATTCAAGGTGACATGTAATTCTACTTTTGAGCTCCAATTCTTGTTATTTGCTATCGTTCTTTCTCTCATTCGATCTTCCCATGCTATTTATAGCAATGCGCGCTTGGAAATCAATTGATATACATTCTTTGCTTTCGTTGTTATAGGTTGTTATATTCTTAAATTACGATTATTACTTTATCACGACACGGAGATAATTAATGGTGGCGGCTATCGATTGACAGCTGCGCGCATATCATTTGAGAATTGATGGCGGCGTTCGGAACTGAATTAAAGGAACAATTACTGATAATAATCTATGATTAATATGTGTTGTTGTGACCCAGTCGTAGTGTCTGAAAATCACTTAATGTGTCGAAAGTAATATTTCTCTGTTGGCTCGTGTACCGTGAGACAATATTTTCCGTATTTGATGAATATGCCATCCAAAACATTATTACTTCACTTCTACTGCTGTTGTTAGCACCGAATCATAGCTCCCGCACACTCACACACACACACACACACGTTCGTAAGGACAGCGGGATACCATTTATTCCATAAAACTCTTGTTATTAGTTTTAATGGAATAATGGTGTTTATTGAGTTTAATTCACTGGTTTCCAACTTACGGCTGAAGTGTGTTCATGTGTGCGTTTTTTTTCCTCTCTCTTCATTTTCATAAATAGATCTTGACACACACACAACCACACAGGCTGGTTGCAATGTTACTGCCAATGTGAGAGTCTGAAATGTATTATATTGTCATTGTTTTTCTTCCTCGTCGACCTCATCATAATCGCCTATTTATTATCAACAGCAACAACCAATAATATATTCGTTAATCCACATTGATATAAACCACAAACTCATTCTCAGTTCAGCAGCGTATATTTATAAATAAACTGGTAATGCTATCAGTTTATTTCAATATGATTTCGAATCAATTTCAATACGAAGAGAGAGTGGGGGAGCGATAGCAAGAGACCCTAATGACCGCTTTTTACATATTTTTGAATATGCAAATGTGCACAAATCATCCAATGATAATTGATTTGCGCTCTTTCTGCTTCATTTCGTTCATTATGACTAGTAATGCTATGTACGGCTCTAGGCACCCGAGTTATATCATTTTCTTTCCACAATCACTTACATCCAAATGTGCGAGAAAAACACAAGGAAACGACCAAGTATAGTAGGGAAAAAAACGAGCAAAACAAAAACTAGCGAAAACCATATGGTTTGCTAAAGTCCCTGTGCTAACACACAAACTCAAGTCGATCAGTCGACTTTCGCAGTGACACTGTTTCGTCAGACTTACAATTGCCTCTATTGAAAGTGTCTATTCTGTTTTTTTCTTCTCTTCTTCTCTTGTCGCATTCTTCTATTTTTTTCACTACCACACAAACAGATTGTGTGCATTTGATGTTTGCAATGTGTGTTTTGCAGGCATTTTTATGCAACAAATATCAAAGAACAGTGTAACATGAAACGGTGCTGCATTTTTGTCAATTCCACTTGGTTTAAGTGAATGTCAAGCAGAGAAGAAGACGACGAAAAAAATAGGTAGCTCACGAATGTGATATCAACTGAACTCAACTGAACTGGGCTGTGTGTTTGTGAGTATTTATGGATATTTCAGCGAAGTGAGAAATGCCGACACTCGGCATCATGTAGCAGAATCTGTTGCTGGTGACGATGATGCTGCTACTACGACCGTGATGCTGTTGCTGCTGCTGCGGCGGCGGCGGCTGCCACACTTTTTCATATCGATTAGTTGGCTTTTTATGCGTGAGAGAATTTTCTGTGTTCATCCGCATTCACTGCTGCCACACACATACACACACACACCACACACACTCACTGTAAATTCTCTCAATTTTCTGATGCTTCGGTGCCGTTTGTCGCACTGTGAGATAAGCACAAATTGATTTATACATAAGATAGAGATAATCGCGAGCAAATGACTGACGGAATGAGCAAACCAAGCAGAAAAAACACGTATTTCAAGATGCCTGAACTGATATGGATGATGCTTTTTCGGTGTATCCAAAAGTTGTCATCTTTTTCTCTCCTTTTTACACTTTCATTTGTTTATCATGGAATAAGAAATTTAAACTCTCGTTTTTTCTTCTCTTGGCAGAAAAATGGAACGAAACCGTAGAGCATTTGAAATGAGCAATTTTTTCATATGTGACTTGAAGTTGTTGTTTTTGTTTTTGATATAGGATTTGTTTTTGTTTAACACATGTTTCAATATTTTACGAGCGAATAAATACGAAAAGATTGAATCGATGTCCTTGACAGTTTACTAATAAACACGCGGGAAAATATCATCGTTGTTTTCTAATCGAAAACTATTTCAGTCGATTTAGTGTAAAGATCGTGTTTTTTTGTGGCTCCCATACAAAATGATAGACGATTGGTTTTTTTTTTACTTCAAATATTGACATTATTCACCTGAGATGTTATCAATTCACACGAAGTCACACTTGATCACCATTTCTTCACACGTTGAAAACGTATAAAATGCGAATCACATAAGATCTCCTCTATAGGTTCTCCTTTAGTCGAATCCAGGAAGAGAAATTTTTGGTTCTATTACTTTCTTATGGTTGGTTACACGAACAGAAGAAAAAACAGATTTCAATGCTTGTTGATTGCCATTCACATTTCACGGCGTAAAAATGTTTAAAGGCAACTGCAGTTTTCACTTTTCTTTTTATTATTTGCACCACACACAAATTGCTTGTTGGTTGGTAATGAAAAACATCAGGGCGAAATCAGGAGATTTGTATGAAATTTGGACTTTTTATTTTCCTATCTCAGCACAATAAGCAACCAACTCCCAACATCGCCGCGTACACCCGCAAAATGCAAAAGTTACACTGAAAATCCGACAAAAAATCAGCGCATATTTCACAGACTGTTGCTAGTAGAGGAATGCCTGGTATTCTCTTTTGGTTGTTTTTCTATTTGCATATGTTGTCGTGTATGCATGGGTATGTGTGCGTGTGTTTGATACGGTGAACCGCCGATGTTGCCTGCCACCGCTTCGTCACATATACACACACACACACGCTATGCCATCGTATTCGTGCCGATGTGTGTCAGTCGAAGCGACCGAAACGTTTTGTTGTATAACGCAGTTATCACATATCACACAGCCGTTGGTACTAAAAACATGCACACCAAATAGATCGCTCTCAAAGTTTTTCTATTTCTCTTTTGAAAAAAAATAACGAACGACCGGACCGGACCGGACCGGACCGAACGAACCGAACCTTCCAATGAGAGGATATTGTTGGATGAGACGACAGATACAAATTCGCATACGTACAGAAAGGGGCTGCATGTCTCTCTCTCCGGCACCGATACGATTGTTTACTACGTTATCGCTTTGATTTGGTTTTACATGTTGAAACTGAAGACACAGGCACACCACACTACACGGCAAACGAAACAGATAGAGACAAAGACACTTTACTCTCTTGAAGTAGGGAAAAAAACGCGCACGCATCATCACATGTGTGTTGCTTTCGTTGCGAGTAAAATGTTTGCATTGTTCCACGCGCTCTCATGCTATTGCACTCAGCCGGATGGAATAGACAGGGAGCGTGATATAAACAACGAAAATATTTGTACAGTTGAAAATGTGCGCGCTTCAGTTATTTGCTTCTCTCTATAGTTGACACAACGTTGGAATTTTCTTCTTCCAATCCATTTTGACACTCTCCGCCGTGAACCGCGTGTCCCCACTCTCATGGATGAACGTGTCTGTCTGTGTGTGTGTGTGTGTGTGTGACTGTGGAAGCGGCTCGTGCCTCCAGTTAAGCCGCAATTTTCTTTTGTACAAAACATACGATAGACGGGGAAGCATTGGAATGTTAACTATGTTTATATTGTTTTGTTCGAAAATTTCGTTTTGGCTGTCACTCCGTCGGTTCCCACTTCAATGGCCAATGCGACGGTTTGTTGATTCTTTTTTTTTTGTATTCTTCTCTCATATCTCTCTTCCTTCTAGCCACATTCAAGTGGAGAGAGATCAGACCGTCAGCATATTTTATTGCGGTCATTGTAATATTGATTCGCTATAATTTTGAGCTACAAACGGTTTTTCCTCTATTTTCGCATATCTAACAATCTCTTTTGCGTGTGTCATGTGCGTGTTCTTGGAAGAAGAAGAAAAAAAACTCGATTGAATCAGTCAAACTTACAAGGATAGAACAAGACAATAATGATAAGAGTTGCCGTAGTGTAACATATGTTATCATGTGTTTTGTTATTCTGGTCGCTTTTTCGTCTTGTTCTCTGAACGAACGAACTAGCTAACGAACCAACGAACACATATATCAGTTGAAGTAAGATCCATTCTGGGCTTGCGAGGCTTAACCGACAGCGTCCAAAGTAAAAGCGATTGCGTTTATGCCAATCTTTAAAAAATAACACATATGGACTGGGGATGTAGGCAATCGTTATAACATGGGAAACGACTAATTTCATAGATTTTTATAAGCGCCAATATACCCATGGGCTGCATGTCTCTGTAACTTATCTTCTGTCGCAATGGATTTTTTTTCTCTCTCTCTCGTTTGGATTTTTTCTCTCTCATCTCGACCGGATGTGTTTCATTCTTTGGTTCAGCAAATTTTCTTCAACGGATATGGTTGTGATTTATATTTGTAGATTTTTATATATATATATCCATCTGGCTTCATGTCATCGAAAGTCAAATTGAAATAAATTCCTATATATATTCGCTTTGTGGATGGGCTTTTTTCTCTCTAGCCAAGGATAACCAAAAAAGTGTTGTTTAGCCGCACTTCACCAACAACTACAATTTACATCAATTTCTTTCATCTGCTTTGCGTGACGCTAACACTTTTTCTGATTTGACTTGGCTGTTCGGCATGTGCTTTATCAATTCATGAGCATAGCGTTTTTTTCTCTCTTCGTGCAATTGAAACGAATTTCTTCACGAGCTTTGAAGTTTCTTTTTTCTTGTGGGATGTTCATTCATTCTTCGCAATTTGGATACATAATTCTTTTCAGTTTGAATAGGGTACACTGCAGTGCAAAATTACGAGATCACCACAACGTGATATACGGTAGAAAAATACCATCAAAAGTGTTCCAAAGAAAACAAATCGAGCTAAGTATTAAGAATACGGATAAAAAGTTTACACTCGACATAATGGCATTGAGTGGCATGGAGTGGGAGAGAGCGAAAAAGTGTGTGTGTGTGTGTGGCAGAAGAGCCAAGCACTTCACTTAAATCTGATTACAGTTCGAATCATTCCCCAAGAGAAAGGACCAATATGTTTATACGCGGTCTATCCGCCGAAAATACACTACAATATATATTCACACTTATTGGACGCCCAATTGAATATATATTCTAGTGTATATTCGGTGTATTCTTCAGCGTGACACATATTGAATCAATGAATGCATTCATGGCTATCAGAGGGCGCCTGAACATGTTTCAATATGTTTCACGCTGAAGAATACGCCGAAAATACACTAGAATATATATTGAATTCGGCGTTCAATAAGCGTGAATATATATTGTAGTGTATTTTCGGCGGATAGACCGCGTATAAACATATTGGCCGTTTCTCTTGGGTCAAAAGTCCAAAATTATGGTTAATTTTCGGAAACGATTATAAATTTAATTATATCTTTGGCGGCTTTCATATATATATTTCACGTTTCAACCCCTTAATAAATTTTGTATTTACAGGCAGTTTTTCGCTAAGCACCACTCGAAACTTTCGACAGCCACTGTATCAATGTGTTTTTCATTTTGCCACTCTCTCTTTCGCTCTTCCTCCCGTTGTTGTTGTTGTTGTTGTTTCCTTGTCTTTTCAATTTAGTCGGTTTTTTATATGTGGGCCGATTGATGAATCGCTTTGCGTAGGCCATCGAACGGAACCGTCCAAAATCATTCATACAGCTGAAAATGCTCCATCCGTTTGGATAACAAATGTAGGTGGAAGTGAAGTTGCGCAATCACACTTGAATGCGGCGCTATATGGAATTCGGCTCTGCACAGAAACACCATGCGAATGAGAGGGCGAATAACATTCGGAATCCCGATGTTTATCACGCAATAGGACCGTTTGGTGTTCCCTGAAAAATTGGTGAACGTTTTTTTTCGGGAAATCTTCCATCCAAATGTGTGTATGCGAATCATCGTCGTCCGTGTTTGTTCCATTTCTTCCAGGCTCATGCAAATTTACAACCAAACCAACACAGGTTCTGTGTGTAAACATAAATTTTCCTCTCCAGTCTGAGAGTGTGCGGCGCGCGTATGGACATCTCCCTGTGTGAACCATTTTTCGCAATTGTGTGCGTTTTGTCTGTCTTTATGCGTTCATTTATACTTTTCCGTTCAGCAAATTCTCGTATTCACTGCTGGATGGTTGTAAAATCTCCTGTTTTGTAAAGCAGAAGGGGGTAGTACGTTTACGGCAATGGAATTTTTCCCTTCGACCACTTGCAGCTTTCAATAATATAATATGTTTATTTTATTTAGATTTCTCCATAAAAACAGCATTAACAATTAAAAATTTTCTTTGACGTATGTTTTCAACATTGTTTGGAATTGATTTAAATTTTCTTGGTTTTTTAATTCTATCGGAAGTGTGTTGAATAATTTAATTCCTTTATAAAATAAGGAGTTTTGGCTACAAGCCTTAATTGCATCTGTCAGACAAACTTCATTTGTGTTTCTTAGTGTTCTGTTTGTGGTTTCATGCTTAAAAATTATTTTTTCAGTTAGATAATTTGGTTCATAATTTTTCATAGCTGAATGGGTTTTTTTATGACCGATTTGAAATCAATTCAAAGCTTTTTCCATAAGAAATTCGAATTTGAAGTGGAAAAACATAAATTAGAACCAATGGAAACAATTTTCCAAGCCAAAATTCAATTTCAATCACCACATTGGCAAGCACCATTCACGGTGACGTTGTCTTAAAGATACTGTAGCATGTGGAAGGAGCATTACAGCATCACACCGAAACTTTTCGATCCTCTGCGACACACAAATCGGTGAAAATGTGTGCCATTGTGATTTGTGCGCTCGCTCAATGAGCATGTGTGTCTTATTCCGTGCAGCAGCACAGTTCAACACAAGCAGTTTTCCCGAATTCGTGTTTTTGAGTTAATTCATGTTGTGCTGTTTTTGTTTTTTTCTCAATTCATTTCATTCTCAATCTCACTGTTTCTCACACTGTGTCGATGTGCATATAAAGGCTGGAAAATCACGCATAACACTTCAGTTCGTAAATCGCGGCCTTGGATACCGAAAGCGTCCTCCTCTTTAAAATTTAATACAAACACAAAAAAGAAATAAAAACATAACAGAACAAAGCGAGAAAAAAACGCACCGAATAAAGTTGTCGATTATAGTGTTATTACTTGTCACAAGCACATAAAAATGGTTTAAAGCTTAATCGCTTCGCACTTCGAACTTACATATATATTAAATTTCAAGTGAGTTTTTTTCTCTTTCTTTTTCCCTGCTTGTCCATTCTCTTTCATTCTATCTCTAGATATGGCGAATGTCGAGAAATAAAATTTAACACATTTTAAATTCCGTTCAATGCACTCATTTGGAAAAGTTGGCTGTGCTTGCACATAGTCATGACTCAAAGTGAACAAAATACACGAAAAATTCTGGCTTCTCTCACGAAATCGTACAAATAATTTGATACTAATCAAAGTTACAGAGCAAAATGAAAAGAGACGAAGAGCATAAATTCGCTGAGGGAATGTGCCGTTGATTCTCTTTTACGACTACACTGAATCTACGAGTGATTTTGAGTGTAAATAAATGAAATGTTTATTAAGGTTTATTTTTTTTTACGTGGAATTTTCTACCTCGGTTTGGTTTTTTTTACCTTGCATTGAAAACTTTTACAGATGTTACACCACTGCACAAGAAAAACTACACTGCAGAAAATCGTCGGCGGGGATAAGAAATACTTTGTAATTTTTCGCACGTTTACTTTTCCTAATAAAAAAAGCCAATTTACAATCACGACAAGCAAAACCTTTTTTTTCTCGGGGATTTCTTTTATTTCGCCCATTCGCTTCTTTTTTTCTATTATCTGCCAAAGGAAGAGGAGCTGAAGAATAAAAGGAAACGCAAGTCGGTGGAAAAGCATAACTCGCCAAAATTTGCTTGTGAGGCCGTCCCATCCGCTCTTTTTTTCATCTCAAATCGAGAAAAAAAAACACATTTTCTCACCCATCGACAACGACAACGTGTATCATACACAACAGACAGAAGAAAAAAAACCAGATCCGTGACAGCATTCCAAATAATTGGCCAGATGCGATAACAAAACGATGGCACCGTATTGAAATCAGCAATGAAATGAATCCGTTAAATACAAATTGAGTCTGATGCGTGCATTACCCTTCCACTTGTGTTTTCACATTTTTTGATGAGCACGCCAATTTCAAAGTGATTGCCTCAAGTGGTAAAATGTCTGCAGTGAATACGGTTTTTTTTATTCTTTCCTTCATTCGTTCGTTTGTTCGTTCGTTCGTTCGTTCGTTCGTTCGCCCGCTCCTCTGACGCTTGGCGATGGTGTGAGCAGACGGCGAACGATATAAACGACATAAGCGTGCATCGTCTCCTTTATAGCTGTGAAAGAAGTGGGCTTGAGCAAATAAAATTTGCCGAGACAAACACTTTCGCGCATTGAATCTGTCACGCAGATGAAACAATAGAAACGCAACCATTGGCACCCCATTCTCATATTTCTGATAGCGTGATCTACCGCAGATGAATAGAACATGTGCCACTTGCCGCGGTTAGTTTCTATTTTCTTTTTTGTCATCGCAGTCGTCGTCGTCGTCTTCGTTATCGTTGTTGGTGGTGCTTATTCGTTCGCTAATGAAGTGACAAATTCGAGCCGATTTCAATTAGAATTTACGTCTTTTAAATTAAAATATTCCGCATTAAGAGCTGTGTGTATCTGTATGTGCTTCTTCGGCCATCGTTTTTATTTTGCAATTTTTCCTGCTTCATTAAAATTTTATAAGTCTTGAGTGTGATTTAATTTGCTTTGCTTTCGGGTTTTTCCTTTTTTCACTCTCTCATCGTGTTCTTTCTTGGGTTCTGTTTGCAGGTTATACCTTATTCATATTGAATGAAAAATTAAATGAGAAGCTGTGCTTTTCAAATCAATTGAAAACGGAGTTGAGGTGGATGGTGAAAGACAACGCGGAGAACGCCAGAGTGAGAGAGACAAAGTGGGTAAAGTTTAGGCGCATTCATCTGGATCTGGATTTTATCGGGCAATTGAGCGCGGCGAAAAACGGTCGAACACTACGGGAACTGTATTCAGTATAATAAAAATAATCGGTAAGTGTACAAAACGTCCTATGAGTAAAAGAAAAACGTAAACGATATCATATATTTTAATTATTTTCTCGGTTTTCGCCATTTCAAAATCAAAGACAGATAAATATAAGTGCTTTTTCAAACAGAATGATCGAGAACTACTAACGAACGAACAAGAGGAATAAATGAAATCCTTTGGGATCCTATTCCGTTTTTTTTCTTCTATATTCCACTGAGCATAGGCAATATTCCGTGTTTTTTTTCCGTCGCTTGAGTAGAAACGGAAACCATTTTTTGTGCTTCCCGTTCACTCCCTCTTCGATGTGATTGAAGCACTGGCACATCCTTTGTTTGGCTTTCATATTATGTATAGCCAATAAGAATTTCATCGTATGCTGGTTTTTTCTTTCTTTTCTTGTCCTGTTGTCACTAGCCGAAACGATGCGATGCGATGATGTCTTCTTGCGCTCGATAAAGTATGACAAACAAACTTAAGAGCCAAACAGACTGTGTGTGCCCAAGCCGCGCTATCTGCCCGATATGATACGCTCCATTTCGATGTAGTTTTTCTTGCACGTGCTATGCACTGACATGAAGATGACTGCGCTTTACTCGATTACAATTCACCACAACGATATCAAAGTCGATGAGATAAATGTCTATATACTGTCATATTACAATCTTCACATTTATTACATATAAAATTGCTACAGATATAGCCCCATTGCCATACAGTGCCATTTCGACTTCGTACGTAAGGTAAACACACAAAGCGAGTGCCAGAGAGAGTGAACGAGGGAGCGAGCGAGCGACTGACACACATACCGAAGGAAGTTGCGACTTTCGAAAAACAAATGCTATCCTATCCACGGTGGATAATCTACCACCAAGTGACTTTTTCTCTTTCTTTCTTCGGTTGCCTTTTCGAGAAATTGGTATAGATACATTCTGTATGTGCGGTGTGTGTGTGTGTGTGTATGTGTGGGGATGCTCCACCGTCGCTCAGCAACTGTGTTTGTATTTGTAACATTTATTTAGAGGCATTCAGGATTCAATGACATATTATTAAAAATAGAATAAATACATAATAAATATAATGGAATTTTAAGCGCTAACCCACTGCAAGCACAAAATCATGACCGAATTTGATGAGAGAATGAAAGAAAGAGCGAAAAGAAGAAAAACAAGTGTGCAAACTGGCAAAAGGCACACATTCTCTCGTTCTATATGTATTCGCTCGTCTGCAATATGCTTTCAGTGTGCTGCTCTTCGTATTTCGCTTTTTTCTCTCGGTTTCGTTCTCTCTCTCTCTCTCTTTCTCTCTCTCTTTCTCTCTCTCTTTCTCTCTCTCTCACTCGCACTGCCATATGTATTATGAAACCGTTCATGTATATCAAATCGTATGTACAATTTATGTGTACATGACTTTGTCCCGATGTGTAGATAATCTGGCACTGTTTCGAACAACGCATGCAGACACACCACGACACATGCTCCCCTTTTTTCTTATTTTTATATATTATAGAGATATCATTTCTTGTGCGCTTTGAACTTTTATGCCGATTCTCTAAACTGTTTCGTTCGGTGTGTGTGTGTGCGTGCTATGGAAGCTGTCGAGAAAAGTCATGCTAAAACTCAAAAACACTCATAATAGTGGGTTATTGCCATTGGTTATGCTCGGTGTTTCAGTGTAGGTGACACATCTCAAAATTGCGGCAGCAGCAGCTCCTTCTTCTTGCAATAAACGAGATTTTCATACTGAACTGCTGAAAATTGATGCCATCGCCTCGATCGTTCCTGAAAATGGTTTGTGCCAATGTTTTCGAACCACCATGAGCAAAATGCGTAAATTGAAAAAATATATTGAAATACTTTCAGAAGCCCAAAAAATATGCAAGATTTGCAAAAGCACGGCAACGCGCAGAGGAAAATGAATGACAAAAAGAAAATTGTATGCCACGCAAGGGGCACGATGAATATCGTCGTCGTAGCAATGGATTATTCAGATATATACCAGAACATGTGATTGCATTCGAGCATAAATGAAAGAAAGAACAAAAAAAAACTGCTGGAAACGGTTCGCTTAAATAATAGAAAAATCGACAATCAGGCGAGAGAGAGAAAACCAGCAGTGGCAAAACGTTCAATTGAAAATCAAACCGAGGGAAATTGAAACGAAATTCCTCCTGTTTTTTTTTTGCTATCCCAGTTTTATAAGAAAAATTTATCGACACTTTTAATAAATGGAAAAACCCATTATTTTCTCATCGATTCCGTACCGCTTCGTTGGCATGCGAATTGTTCTATAAATTTTTTTTCGGCGACTTTTTCCTTCATTGCTTACAAAGTTAAAACGGAATTGAAACATTTTTAGAGTCAGGAAAAAAGTGACTGGGATAAAAAAAGGAATCTGTCACGAAAAGTAATTACCGAATTCACTTTGACACGATTGCTATAGATGGAGTGTGTCTCAAATACGGTTTTAGTTTGTCAGCTGTCATGAGTCGAAATACTTTTTCATGACTTCATGGTATTTTATGAGATCAAATGCAATTTTGTTGCGACTGCTTGTTTTTTTTCGTTACTATATTTACCGTTTATATGAAAACCGTATTCAGATATGTACACTTTTTTTCGGCCAAATTCAAGTATGTGTATATTTGCAAAGTTCATTTTTTTTATTGGCAATGCCTAACATTGTGAAAAATCACAACTGCATCGTGCATTTCTCTCTCTCTCTCTCTCTCTCTCTTTCTTTCGTATAGACGAAAACGTACAGACTATGCCCGACTAGTTGCACATGTGTGCAGTTCCGTTGTTTTTTCCCTTCGATGGATCACACAGTTTGATTACGGCAAACTAAAGTAAATATACCGTATTCGACCCGGTCCGCATAAAACATGTTCGCCGTAAAACAAGCAACAGCAAACATAAAAAACGAGCATCAACTCAATCATCGTTAAATTCGTAGTTTGTTCCAGGCTCTGTTTTCCGTTTCCATATCAGCTAGCCATTTAGCACCTGCCTGCATCGAATCGAAACATTATGCAATCAGAGAATTGATTTTTGGCGTAACAATTCATTTGACACCGAATGTGTGAATGCGAAATCGGGGCCACAAAATATTTGGTATGCAGTTACAATCGAACACGTATGGCTGAACTGTGCGAAGCAGAACAAAGCGTTCACCGCTGAGTTCACCGTTTGCATACCCACATTTACACACTCACACACAGTAGACACATAACAAATAATGGGAAAATGAAATTGACGACAGGAAAATACCTCTCTAGCTATCGCAATTGCTTTCTCGAATCGAATTGGTCGAGAGAAAAATACAGTGCTTTTTTACATTCTGGATTCACTTTGAAATCCTTTTAGCTGCTCAAAATTGTGAGAATTCTGAACGTTTTCCCTCATAATGGGGATGAGATGTAATAAGATTGTTATTTCTTGAGCATAAATTTCACTTGTCACATAACAATGTGCTAAAGTATTTAATGTTTTACGTTCAATTTTCCCATCGTATTTTGCTCATTCTCACTTTCGCCTTTTTCGGGTAATAACTGATTTCGTAGACGTATTTAATCATTTTGGATGTCTGTAAATGCACACGAACCTAAGAGAGAGAACGAGTCAGAGCGGGCGAAAATTCATGGGTGAAAAATGAAATTCATTCATTTGTTCATTCATCATCAAATTAATTTTCGTGTTCGCTTTGAACTTTAAAGTCATGGCAGAACAAAAATATTGATAAAATAATGTTTGACTGTATTGCCGAATAGGATGCGGGGGCGGAAAGTACGGAGAGGTTCATGTATGAATAATTCATGAGTCACAGAGATTTTCAGTCTGAGTGCATAAATTAGCACTCCTTTGAGTGGTTCATTTCTCTTGGATTTGTTTGAACAGATTTTATCAATTATCAAAAAGCCAAAAATAGCATATTAAATTAACTCGATTTTGATTGTAGTTACCATACTTTGTGAGCATTCGCAAAAGCACACAGTCACACACAAGCACAATCACACCCATACGCGGGTAGAACAACATAAAACATATATAATCTTTAGAAATTCGCAATTTAAACAGAATACAGCAATTATAAAGGGAATGTTAATAATTAATTTGGAAATTGTTTCAATTTTTGGTCCCTTTCACTCGCTCTCAGAGAGAGAGAGAGAGAGAGAGAGAGAGAGAGAGACAGAGAGCTGCGTGTGCGTGTGTTTTATAATCGGTATTGTTATCACTCTCATCATTGCCACTTGACGAACGCATAAAACATGCATATACACCCACACATATACACAATGAATAGCGAGTGGCTGGGAAAGAGAATGAGAGAGATGGCGGCTCGTTGATACCGAAAAATTTTGCCGCCGCTTCAAATCATGATAAGACGAGCCTTTTGTCATCTTTTGCCACCATTGTGAAACATGCTCATTCATGGATTTACACCATTCGGAGAGGACTTTAATTTCACCTGGTATTAATAGCGGGTGAGGATGACTGTAACGCTTCTTTTACGATTATAGCCGGTTTCGACATTGTTCACGAGTCACAGCATTTTTCATATATGCCGACTGTTTCTGTTTTTCCGCCAGGACCTTGGCATTTTTGGTATGTATACGTGTGGGTTCTCAATGTGTGTCTGTGAATGTGCGTTGTTGGCGTTTTGGTTTGAGTGTACGCTGTGGAAGTGATTGTGAGTATCGCATTTCTCGTGGGATATATCGTGAATTCTTGTTTCGGCAGCATATTTCATTTGTATTTAATTCCACATTCCAAATGGGGTGGTAGCCTGAGTGAAAACGAGAGAGAGAGTTTGCATTCATCATAGAATTAACTGGCCATACTGTAATCGTGATAGTTCAAGAGAGACATTGGCATCTATAGGCTTATAGGCTCGTTGACACACACACACAATGTGTATAACACATATCTTGCACACCAACCCACACACATTCACTCACACAAATATTCACCCATACACACAATCATCTTTGCAAAAGCAATGGCTC